AGGCAAGAGGCAAGACCCTGCAGGAGAGGCATTCCTGCTGTCACACAATCAAACACGAGCACCGAATCATTGTGCATGACTCAAACTGACACATCCCATTATTTCAGAGCCAGAAACTTTTTTACTTTTCCACATCCTCTTCCTATTTGGTTGTTTCAAAATGTTGTTGATAAAGGAATGAATTAATTAGTATTGCAAAATGCTGAAGAGTGTCTTTTGTATATTATTTGGTGAATAAAGGCCTTAAAACTCAAATTCTCAGCTATAAGTACACCATGAATTTCTCCAGAAATGTTCATATGGTGCATATCTCTTTTCATAATTAAAATTCCTCAGTCTTTCTGCTATCCGGCTGTCTTCTCTCCTTTGTAGTTGAACTACTTATTTTATCAGAAACACTTCAGCAGAAGTAATAAAAAAAAGCACAAATTTTAAGTATGACCCTATTTCCTGTCTCTTCATCTGTCAAATCGTATTGTTCCAGTCTATAAAATTGTGCCAAAATCTATTACTGTAGCTCTCTCTCAGCGTAGAACAAAGTAACCCTGCATGTCCAAGGGTGGGGGTTGCAAAGAGTTCCTGCAGGAGCAGACAGCGATGTGAATGAATGAATGAATGAGAGTGAAAAGTATAGAGGAAAACATCTGAGACACAAAGAAGACAGAAAGTGTCTCATGGTTGGCTGAGAAGTAGCAGTCGTCAGCGGGTCTGCAGCACAGTCGTTCTGCAAATAGTGTCAGGAAGTCTTTGAAGGGCAAACTAACACACAGGGCACTGTCAGATAGAAGGGTTTGCTTAACAGCCCATGACTGCCTACACCACATACCAGCTTCCCCAGAGTGATGCCCCTCTTTCTCATGTGTATTAAAAAAAAACCTTCCTGCCCAAAGCAACTAGATTTCTCACAGAGATACTCTTCAGTACAGATTTGGGGAGGAAGACGCTGCATAAAGGCTTCATGCAGATTAGAGGATTCAGTCTGATGAATGAGACAGAGGTTTAAATTTACATTTTTGCCCTCTTATGTATGTAAGAGAAGGTGACTCCTTACCAGTCCTTTACAGGTGCTGATGGCAGCAGTTCCTCGCACATCAGATGCTGCCACGGTGCCAAGGAGGTGGCAGGAGTTCCTCTCAGGGGGACGATGCTCTGTCCTATTGGCACTGCCGTACCTCCTCTCCAGGATGTAGTCACTTGAGACCAGGTGATTGTTTGCAGTCAAATTGAACATTAAAGTGCGACCCTTGTAGTTGACCCTGTAGTAAACCTGTCCCTCCACACCAAGGGGTCGCAGGTCACGCCTGGCTCGCCCACCCTTGAAGTGGTGAGACAGAGAGTGGGAGATAACCTCTCCATCAGGAGTGGTTTTCACTGGGTGGATGATGGACACATCTGACTGGGACAACTGACCTGCAGGAAGTTGAATAAAACACCAGAATGGTCTCCATACAGTTGTGAAATATTGATTACAGGTTGTTTTTTTTTTACCTTTAGTACATACCTTTACTGATATGTACTCAACCATACAAACTTTTCCAGTCATGCAATTCAGACGTGCACAGAAATACAACCTCCCTACTATAACTGCACCACACTGACCTTGCTCTGCAAAGAGGGAGAGGAGTCTGCCAGTGTCGGAGAGCTCGCCGTGGCCAGCTGCCAAAATGAAAACAAAGTGCAGCAGAAAAAGAACCGGGCACTCCTGCGAACATCGCATATTTCATGTAACCAAACTCAAAGCGCTGCAAAAGAGTCCTGGGCTCTGGGGTTCCAGTGGCGTAAGAGGCGACCACTTCGATCCTGCGCTGCACTGTGTCATGTCATGAACAAGCTCAGAAATCTGCCCTCACGAAGGGAAACCTGCACCGAGCAAGACTGGGAGCAAGATCATGGTTTAAAGAGGGGGAAAGCTCCGGCTCCGCGGAGGAAGGAGGGGAGGAGGAGTGTTCTTTGGGCCAGTGTCTACTTTCCTTGCGAGGAGCGAGGGGGAGCAGAGCACGATCGCTGCTGCAGAGCTTCATTGATTTGAATAAACCAGCTGTCCTGTGTTGAGACTTGTCATTATCTCCACAACACCATTATTAATGCAAGACAATTTACTGCCCCTCCCAGAAGACGCTTGAACAAATGAGGTGGGACATTTAGGGTGAAGCTTAAAACTTAATGGATGCAAAAAAGGAGGAATAATTCATTGTTGTACTACTTACATCAATTATATAACTGTAAAACAATCAAAATATTCATATTAGTCCACTAATCAGAGTATTCACAACAAAAGCAGTAAGTACTCATTCAGTCCTCATGTAGGCTATGTCTACAGCCTACCCATACCTTTTAGTGCTCTATGGTCTAATAGAGAAGCATATGCGAAGGTGTAGTAGACTTGTGAGCAAGAGAAAGGGGAAAAGGTGTATAATATGTGCATTAGTAATATTTTTTTTCTTCCGCATACTAAAGGTGTGTCTAAAGGTCAAACAATAGACTCACATTCTGTGCAAACACATTCATTCTTTAGCTAATTTGAGTAAAAGGACAAATATTTGTTCTTTCCATACTATTGCTGCTGCGGCTTTCTGCCTTATTGCCAACAAAGTTCATATCACTTTGTATCAACCATGAATTGGATTCCAGTGCTTAGGATGGTAGTGGATTCAAGGAAACTGCATGCCAGGAATTTCTTAACACTTGTACACAAATATATTGTCTGTACTTAAAGCCTTGATTGAGTTCCACCGTAAAAGTAGATGAAATCCCTGAGAGATGTTTTTGGTGTTTGTAGTGTTGAATAGCCCTCAGTAGGACATTATTTACTATTTCCAGGTTGTCCCTGTGGACTATAGCATGCTGTAGCTCAGTGTAAAAGCCTTTTCATATCCTCTGAAGGCCCCTCTCAGTAAATACTGCTGTTCTTTAGTTGTCTAATATTTTCCCTGGAGTAGATTTATGTGTCACTAAATGGCTACTGAGACTTGACGCATTCCCTCCTCTTTTGTCTCAGAGACACAGAGGCAGACAATGCAGTAAACTAATCTATCTGAACTCATTTAACTCTGAGTATCTATCTATCTATCTATCTATCTATCTATCTATCTATCTATCTATCTATGTACTGACATGTGGCAAAGGCCCGTATGTGACTCAATATTCAAATGAGGTTTTTTTTAAACAAAGTCCTGCAGCTTTACATAAGGCTGCTGGATAATGGGGGCTTTAAACAGGGAAAAGCTTGCTCTCTCATGAATTTGATTTACCCCATATAATTTTTAAAAATGTTGTGCCCCGCTAAAAATAACTTGATACCACTGATATCCCACGGTTCCACACAAATATATGTCTAATGGGCCATACTGGGGTGTTCCCCTAACAACATAAGCAGTAAGCTCTTTGTGTTGAGGCTTTAAGATAAAAAAAAATAGCTATTTAAAAACAAACAAGCACTGCCTTACTGGAACTAACACGCCCTAACATTAAAGGACAGATAGTGTGTTGTTGGTGTTTTGCTGCACATGGAATGTCTTCCTGGTCTAAAATCATAGGACTATGCAATTTGCCTGATTTATTAACAACTTTATTGCTCTCAACGGTCTCACTAAATCTAAGTGATCACATCTTTTTGGATGAGAAGTTAGATTTTTGGACATGAATTGTATCATCATATGGTATATATCACTGGTATGTTACTGTGGCAAGCAGCCAGTTTTCTTTGCATCTTTGGTGGAAAGAGGTTCAGTCCCAGAATGAATCGCGCTCTTATCATTCCCAGAGACATTACCCAAACTGACCCCCTGAAGTCCCCTGTTACAGTAATGTGCAACAGACTGTGAAATGTATGAACCTGGAAAATAATCAGGACCTTTTGTTAGTCTTAGGTGGGAGAGAGAGGCTTTTACAAAGAGATTTTGTGGCCACATTCCTCATAAAGGCTTCCCTGTGTTGTGGTGAGTAACATGTCTGAGAGGTTTGGGGAACTTTACAACAGTCGTTACTGTTTCCCAAAATGCATCAGTTTCAGGTCAGCATTTTAAGCCGCTGACTCAGTGATCGATGCTCCCAAAGGACAAGAGAAACTGAAAATCATTATATGTCTGCAAAAAAGGAAAAAATATGTTTTTTCTAAGTTTTTTTAACCCGAAACATTTTATCACAAGGTCCACTTACTTCCTGGAGCTTTTTCAGGAGCTTTCAGCCATACCCTGTGGTCTTCGTTAGTGGGTAGAGTTTATTCAAAAAGGGCTCTCATGGAAAACTAGTGGACATATATCATTGCCATTTCCATGCTCAACGTTTGTGTTATTTTATTGCACTTTTGTATGATTTGACTTTATTTATTAATTGAATCACATTGAGATCAAGATCTGTTTTAAACCTAGAACCTAGAACGCAGATAAGATACAACCTAACACAGCCACACAGAATAATCTCTAAGGTTCAAAATTAAAAGTTAAAATCATGAAAAGTTATGAGACTTTCAAGTTTCTTAGTCCTTCGTAATCCAAATCAAATCAAATCAAATTTATTTATAATGCACATTTAAAAAAAAAAAAAAGAAACCCTTGGTGACCAAAGTGCTCTACAAACCAGAGCGGGTAGAGGAGACTATAATTAAGAGAAACACTTAAAACAAAATACAGATATGATCCAGATAAAAAAAATTAAAAATAGGCACCAGACAAAATCAGCCACATCAGGAGGCTTGAAAATAAAAGTATGTTTTAAGCTTGGACTCAAAAGAGCCAATGGAGGGGGCAGAGCTGATCTGACGGGAGGATGCTGTCCCACAGTCTAGGGGCAGCAACAGCAATTTTTCATTCTATTTACAGGTAATATGGTACAAAGTACTGGAAGAACGTCTTCCTAAGGTCATTATTTACTCATGGGGTATTAAGAATTAGCCATTTTGGAAGAACATAAACTAGAACATAATTAAATGTGCTGCAAGTGTTGTCGTCTGCACCTCCCTTTCTGTCCACAAGGGGCGCTGCTGGGCGCTGCTCCGTGAACTTTGTTCTAGTAAATGGGCGTGTTTGCTCTGCTCATTCCTTTGAGTTACTCTCCGGGTAGAAAGGACATGGACTTAAGGTTGACAGGTAAGATGAGCTCGTCTAACTCGAAAATAATACTGCTGGTAGCTGTAGAAAGCAGAAATAATGCAGTCGCGTACACACTGTTTTAGTGTAAGTATAGAAGAGCCCTGCTTCAGTTTGGTTATACATAGGTTTGTTTATATTGGCAGGAACACATGTGAGAGTGATCGTCAGTGTTTCTGTGCGCCCTGTCACTGTGTGTCTGTGAAGCGTCCTGTGACCTGCTGAGGCTTTGCTCCTGATTAAATTAACTGGACCGCTTGTTTTGCTCTCTTTGTCATTGTGGTTGTTTTTGACCTTGATGTTGTTGACCCCCCTCACACACACATACAGGACTACACTACCTCTGAGCCACAGGGTTGCTCTTGGACACATCAGGGACTAAGGTGGAGATGGAGGATTTCTGGGCAGCGGCCATTTGGGCCCTGGAGATCTGGCTGTACCTCATTATCAGCACCATCATGATCCCAGCCATGTTTGGATTCTCACTGGGCATCTCCGAGACCTACATGACAATCCTGGTCCAAACCTTAGAGGTACTGTTGTTTATGTTGTTTATGTTGTTTTGTGCCTTTATTTTGGTGCTGTGCATATATTTTTAAGAGATATGAGACATGACCATGAATGTCTCCTTTCTGTCCTCCTCTGCAGTGGGCCACTCTGAAGATACAGAAGGCAAACGCTGATGAGCGAACACTCAAATCCTCTCCATCGAACGGTGAGTAGAGACACTGTGTGTCTGGAAGGATGTTCGTAGTAGACAGATCAACATAAATGTTTGCGGTTCTGGAAAAAAGTTGTCATATCCTTTATTGTGAAATGGTTTGTGACAGATGTTACGCTGTCCTACTATTTCATAAGACACTTTATTACAAGTCTGAGCATGTTGCAATAGTATTGCCCAGCTTTGAGAGAGTAATTGATTTACCTGTGCAGTTCTGAATGCTTTAATTTCTGTGTACAGATACATTTCTGATAGCCCCATGACCTTTAATGATTTCATTTTGGACTACAGGACTGTCTCTGTCTGGCACTGTGACTCGGTTAACTTGAGAACTTTTACAATAGGCAACAAGGTGAAGTTGCTCCGGGAACTCTGCCTATCTCACAAGACGCAATTACTCAACTTGTTATCAGTCCCTGAGCTGCACAGGGTGGTATCCCCTGTTGTAACACATAAAGATGTTAGTTATATCAGCAGAATGTGGCCTCTGCAAAGTCCAAAGTATGTCAGTGTTACATTTTTAAATTTGGACGATAATACAATAAGTGAGAGAGCTTCATAAACAGAGATAAGGAGGACATTGTGCTCAAAGTTTTGATTGAATATTCATTGAATTCAGGGTTTGTTACTCCAGGTTTTGGACTTTGTCCTCTGAGTTATCAGATAATGTGGAGTCTGAGTTGAGGTCAACTCTTAACTGTTCTAAGACCTGTTAGGTGGAAAGTGTAACTAGGCTGCAACTATCATTAGTTCTCCTGTTGTTTATTATTATTATTATTATTATTATTATTATTATTATTATGTATTACAGGTCAAAAGGTGAAAGGTCATGTTTTAGGTGGGTTGTTAAAACATTTTGTTGGCTACGGTACATTTAAAAGGAAAGTCCCTGCTGCGATGAGAAACCTAACGCAATATCTGGGCTCTCACTGTATCAAAGGCAGTTTTTCATGTTGAAATGAGCTTATTCTGCCAAATGACACACGTATATCCTTGGATGACGCAGAGCTGCCGTTACTGTTTTCTTTCTCCTCTGAAATGTATGTCCCAGGATGACTCTATGCTGTGTTTTACTGTTTCTTCTGTTGACTCAAACCATTTTGTTTTCTAACACTATTATCAACACAATCTTAAAAGACATGGCAAAGCTGACTTCTCTTCCAAATTACGACTAAGATAATGAGTCCTGTGCTGTGCTGTGCTGTGCTGTGTGTGTGTGTGTGTGTGTGTGTGTGTGTGTGTGTGTGTGTGTGTGTGTGTGTGTGTGTGTGTGTGTGTGTGTGTTAGGTCTCATCCAGAGGGAAGATGGCTCTATGGAGAAAGAGTTGGAGGAACTTAGACGCAGTCGCCCCAAACCACCAGTGGGTGGGGATTTTACACTTAGTGACTGTTTCTATTTCACCCGGCGAGGAATTGAGAGCATTGTAGAGGATGAGGTACACTTAAATTTATTAACAAGAACACAGTTTGGTATGTAAATGGTAATAAGTGAATTGCAATCCCTGGTTTTGCATTTCAGACTTTTAGTAGTCTGGTTATACTGGTCTGTTTTTAATGAGTTTTAAATGTCTAAATCATTTTTTTAATGTAGGTGACCCAGCGGTTCAGTTCAGAGGAGCTTGTGTCCTGGAACTTACTGACTCGCACCAACAATGATTTCCAGTACATCAGTCTGAAGCTGACGTTGGTCTACGGCCTTGGCATCTTTGTGAGATACTGTATCCTCGCCCCTCTCAGGTACACGAACACTGAACAGTCTGCTTACTTCAAAGTTAAACTGTAGTGGTACAAATGTAGTGCTGCCTTCCAGACATAGGTTGAGTCAAACCTCAGTGGGTGGCGGTTCAGAACTGTGGTCTGACTAAACTCTTTACTGTTGCACCAAAAATGTGAATGTTTGTCTAATGAGTTCATTCAAGCCCGCTATGAGACTGTGTTTTTTGTATTTTGTGAAGGCTATAAGTGTAGTTAGAGTTTTATCTTGAGTTTGGCCTACAAAATAACTTTTTGTCTGACTATTCAGTATTTTATTATGTTCTGAGCTTTTGTTTTTTCTGCTGTCAAACTGAAAAACAAATGTGTTCCACTTTCTCCAGGATAACACTAGCCTGCATTGGCCTCACCTGGTTGGTCATAGGAACATCTGCAGTTGGATTACTTCCAAATTGGAGGTGACTATAACCATCCAAATAATTTATTAAACATATTTAATATTTAACTTGTTCTCATGGAAATGGTTTCTTCCTCATGCATGTTGGCTCATGTGTGTGGTTTTTCTTATAGGATTAAGTTCTGGCTCAGTGAATGGGTCCATGTGATGTGCTACAGGATCTGTGCTCGAGGACTCTCTGCCACCATCCGCTATCACAACCGGTAAGTGAGTCTCCTCATTATGTAACTTTCTAACAAAGATCAGGAATATCTTCTTATACTGACTTCATTACATGTCTTTGCCTCATAATAACAGGGAAAATAAACCCAAAAAAGGAGGAATCTGTGTCGCCAATCACACCTCTCCTATCGACATTGTGATTCTCTGCAATGATGGGTGTTATGCTATGGTACAGAGGCAGCTTAATTCATTTGAACATTTCCACACTGATACTATAGGACATTTTTCATAACTGGCTGCATGTGTTCGTCAGGTGGGTCAGGTACATGGAGGTCTGATGGGAGTCATCCAGAGAGCCATGGTGAGGTCCTGTCCTCATGTGTGGTTTGAGAGAGCAGAGATGAAAGATCGCCACCTGGTGACCAAAAGGTCAGGTTTCCACTCCTCAACTCCAGCATGTCTGTTCAGGCTTGTCTTTGCACGTCTTTCTCGCCTGTATTTTCTCTCTGTGGCTGCTCCGGTACAGAGAGAGGTTGGCATTTTCCTGGCAGTAAAGTCTTCTAGAGTTATCTCTTATTATCCAAACAAGAACAGATATGTTTTGGAAAGTTGCTACTGAACAGTGACTCACAGTTTGGATTCCAGTTCCTCGTAATATAACATCTTCACTCCAGACACTCTTTTCAGATGTTTGATATATTCTCCCAAATGTAAAAAAACTCTTCAAAGGTGCAACATGTAGATATTTATAGGTTTCCATTACTTCTTTGTGTTGCTTCCAGGTTGAAGGATCATGTGAATGACAAGACAAAGCTTCCCATATTGATATTTCCAGAGGGTAAGTGTGACCATGTAGAGAGATAGAGTTACTATATCCACACCAGTTTTATATTTGTCTTTGTCTCATCAAAGATAAGAGCCAGCGAGTGTCGTTGTTTTAGCTCAGTGCCTGATGGCAGTCTGGCCACTGAGCGGAGACAAATGAGCAACCATTTTATGTGGGTTTGGACAGAGCTCACACAAGTCTGTCTGCTTTAATCTCCTGATGTCTGGTTTCCACAGGAACCTGTGTCAACAACACATCTGTCATGATGTTTAAAAAAGGCAGTTTTGAAATTGGAGCAACAATATACCCAGTAGCCATTAAGGTATTTCAGTTCTGTCTGTCAGTCAAACTCCATCCCTCATTCAGATTTATTTCTGGTTTGCATATTTCAAAGTACAGTTCCTCACTTGCATTGAACGTCTGTGTATCTTTTTTACTTTTCTTAGTATGATCTAAAGTTTGGAGATGCTTTCTGGAACAGTTCCAAGTACAGCATGGTCAGTTACCTGCTGAGGATGATGACCAGCTGGGCCCTTGTCTGTAACGTCTGGTACCTGCCAGCTATGCACCAACAGGTGTGTATGACGTGCTGAAGCACATGAGCACACACATGCATAAAGCCACGTGTACAGCCCACGGGTGCTACCCCCACCCCTCAGGTATATGTACACTCACAGACACACATCATGGTAGACTGAGTTTGTTTTTTATTCAAAAATGACAGGAGGGGGAAGATGCTGTCCAGTTTGCCAACAGAGTTAAGTCAGCCATTGCTCACCGAGGAGGGCTGGTAGATCTACAGTGGTAAGATTCAACTTTTTCACTTTCTTCACTTGATTGTTATTTAATTGTTCTGTATATGTAGTATTTTTCTTCTCTTTTTTTTTTACCCAGAAACTGACTTAATTGACTATAAGGCACTGCCTTTTATATGAAGAATCTCCTCTCAAAATAAAGTTTATACTTAATCTGTGACAAAGAGAGAAAGAAACTAACCCATTGTGTTTTAGTACATATATAATTGTACAGTTATATCACAGCGGATGGAACATGAAATCTTTAACTGAATGTCAAACATGAAAAATACCAAAAAATAGTCCCTTGACAGTCATATTCACTGACATTGAACATATGTAGTAAAGTGATTAGCCCCAGTCTCAGTACAGTCCTGTCACCACCTGTCTGTGTCTGCAGGGATGGAGGCCTGAAGAGAGCAAAGGTGAAGGAGTCGTTTAAAGAGCAGCAGCAGAAGCAGTACAGCAGCATGGTGGTGGGAGACGACAGCAGCAGCAATAGTGACTGAGATCCCCGACCAGGACGCTGTACAAATCCCTGCCCCATTTTTGGAGAACATACACCAGGAAACAGACTTTTCTCTGCTAGAATGTTCTCATTAGCCGGACCTGGGAGGGAATACTGCCAAGTGGACTTAAACACACTGTGAAACCTTAGGTACAGCTAAAAGGAGGAAAGTCTCAGTGATTCAAAGAAAACACGAAGTGCAATATTGAACTTTATGAGACACTGACTGAAGGTCTCTGTTTTTACTGCTGCTGAAGATAACATAGCAACTGTTGTGGTTGAGTTAATGCTGAGAAAATGCTCTGAATGAAATGTGTGATTGCAGAAAAGCCACTGGATTCACGAATGTATCTACTCACACAGTCATTTGACTCATTTATGTGTTCATTGTTTTTAAAAAATAAATTTTACAATTTTAATACCTATGGTGTAATTATGCAATGTCAACAAGAACCTGGAGGTAGTTGTACTGTTTCATAACACAACATGACATATTATTTAATACATATGACATAATGATCATTTAAGCATTTAAATATTGCTTTTAAGAATTTAGATCTTGCAGTATTATACTGCAACATTATTAACACTGACAAGCACCTGTAAAACATGGTTCAATTAATTCAGTTCAGTTAAAAGACAACCTGTTTGAACGATCTTCTGTTATTGAATTTAACACTGATAGACATATAGCCTTAGCTTTACAAAAAGGAAACATCTTGCACAGTGTTGCACAGTAACAACCTTTGATCCTTTTTTCCTCACAACTGTAAAGGTAAAGCAAGGACACAAGACACACAAGGGGTTGGCACTTAAATAATACATGATAATGTAGAGTGTGAAAGCCGAGTTCATTAAATGTCCACATGAGATGTGACGGCCTTAAAGGAGAACACACAGATGAGACTTTTTGGATCTCTCTCCACTGGATTTTTTTCCTGAAGTGGGATCCTCGCTGCCGCCATTGCCCTGTGTGTTCCCTTCTTTGGCTCCTAAAAGCAAATTAAAGACAGGTTTCTTTTTAAGTTCACTCACTGTGTGAATGTTGATGCAATCCTGCTATTTCTTTTGTTTAAAACTGTCAGCGTTCTCACCATCATTCTCCTGATCACTTGGATCTGTGTTGCCCTGAGTAGAAACAAACATCATTTAATCAGATGAACGACAGCCACATGACCACTTTGTGCCAGACAGCCTCTTAACCAATCAGTGATAGTCTCTACTTGATGACAGCACTCACCTGCAACAAGTTGGCTTTGTTCTTCTTTCTCTGCTCCTGGTATCTGCAAATATCAACAATGAAAAGAAGTTTGCACGTAATTGTAGAAACTCAGCTGAGTCTAATTTATCTACAGTGATGTATACCACACCAGCAGTGTGTCACAGCTTTCTTTAAGATGTGACTTCCTGCCTTCCTTTTAGTGAACCAGCCAGGAGAAACTAATGGTGTGGTGAAATATTTATGAGCCTGATTAGTGCCTCACATCTGTGTCTCCCTCTGCACAGTTCAAATGACAAACAGGTTGCTGTTGATTCAGACAGGCAGCGTTTAAATGAAGCTGCTTTTATCTCTCAGCAATAAAAGCCAATAGAGATGCTCTGTGGCAAATCTTCTGGGGGGAATATGGGTTCTGTACCCGGAGCATCCCTAACTCTAACAATCTGGTATCACACTACTGTGTTTCTAGTTGGCTATGATTTTACGTTTAGCGGTGTTAGTTTTCATTAGTTTTGTGTATATTTAATTAGCTACTGGGAAACTGGCGATTGAGTGTCTCCATGATAACATTAGCCTTCACTGGCCTCAGTTGGGCTAACCAAACTTGAGGTGACCACAAAATATAACACTCAGTAACGTACAGCATTCAACACAAAAAGCAGATTGTTTTATTTGCATGTCAAAAGTTTTAATTATTTGTGAATACCAGTAACAGTTACACAATTAGAGATCTTATTGTCTCTATCCGTAAAAGAAACATGATATTACCAAATTTCTTTCTTAAAATGTTGTATTTCCTGCAGTGACACCTCTATAATGTAAGACATTTTCTCCGGTACTGAAAAGCCACAACATTGCATCTGTCAGTTGATGCAAAATAAAGTGAATCTTCTTCAGTTGCTGCAGCTACACACGCAGTAATCTACCCACCTTTGCAGATAGGAGTCACAGTTCCTGTTGGCAGGTTTGGTCTTCCTCTTTGTGCCTGTATCTACTCCTACATCCACTCTGCCTGCAGCTCCAGATGCAATAGGCATCTCTGCCAGTAGGACTACAGTTTTCAGAAATCAGACATTAACTCACAGTCATTTGGATGCAACACTGCTGTTGCAAATGTGCTGAAAGTGGAGCTTGCCTTGTAGAGTTTCACACGTCCTCGTCCTCTTGTTGTTGACTGGCTGTTTGCTGTGTGAGCAGGAAATGTGGCTGTGGAGTTTATGGAGATGTTTGTTGTCGTATCCACGGCAACAGTGTCCCAAAAGAATGGAACAGCATTGAGGTCTCCTTGAATGTGAACCACTGACATCTTCTTTACTTTACTTTACTTTACTTATACTGCAGAATATTTAGTAATAGTCCTATATGACTTTACATTCAGTCTGTGGAAAATCTTACATCACAAAACAATTTACTAAGAAAAACAGTGTTTGTTGTCATATAACTGATCCTCTTTCTACTGAAAGGGTTTCATCAATATAATAGTATGATAAAATAATCAATATAAAGCAGAACAAAAATTATAGTAGAGGAAGAATTACTACTATAGCAAATATTTCTAAACTGAAGTAAAAATATTAAAATCACCAGTTGGGTATGAAACCCCTTAATTATGTCTTGTCTTTATCTCATATTCCTTTACTTCTAAAGCCATTATGTATAGTATATGGATTAGGGATGTGCATCTCAAATAATCAAGGATAGGACCTTTTCATGTGTGATTTTATTTTGGTATCACAGCCATGATAAGGAGTTTTCAATTTTATTTCATACAGTGTTTGTTGTCAACAACATGCGCAAATAAGCTTTTGAGGAGCCAAACACTTTATTCTCAACAGCATACAAACAATTGAGCCACTTATAAATACCAACAGAGCTGCAGCATTTATAACCGTTGAACAGTTGAGGTTGAATTAATCCGATTTCATCAATCATTGATGTTTTGTAAAATGTACAAAACAGTTACTGACATGTTTAGATGACCTGACTACACTACAGGCTTACAGTCCTTGTTAGGATTCCTCCTTCTCATCTCCATGGGTGATGATGTAGCAGAGTGACTTGTAGTCGATGTTGCCAGTAGGATCAATAGGAGCCAGAGCAAAGGCCTGATCCACCTATAGGTTTATGAAGTGACAATTTGCCTGATGAAAATGATTATCTTAAAGAACAGTTTGAGAGTCTGTCAATATAAAATAGAAAACACAAACCTCCTCTGCTGTGAATTTATCAGCCTGGTTCATCAACAATCGTCTAAACCTGGATTAACAAAAGAAAGTGTAAAAGGAAAGGCTAAAAACTGTAATGTTACTGCTAATAGTAATAACGTGTAATCTAATTAATAAAATGTATCTTACTCATCCTTGTTAACAAAGCCCGTTCCATTGGGGTCAAAAAGCTTGAAGGCAGCAAGTATGGTGTCTTCAGGATCGGTTCCTGGAGGAAAACAAAGAATCATTTAAGCATCTCCTACAAATTCATTAAAGAAAATGAAAAGATTTGTTTCAATGTTAGTAAAGGGCTCTCACCATTAAGTTTCTCCCCAAAGAGAGTCAGGAACACGGTGAAGTTGATGGGACCCTTCCCCTCATTCAACATCTCATCCAGCTCCTCATCATTGACATTAAGCTTCCCTGGTACACACACGCACACTTCATCATCATCATCATCATCATCATCATCAATAGAGCATACACTTTTTGGTTTTTAGGTATATGTTAATAGAGAAAGGGTTAAAGGTAAAGAAAAGAAAAGAAAAAAAAATACCCAGCTGTCCATAGGTCTCCTTTAGGTCCTGTTTTTTGATCACACCATCTCTGTCTTGGTCAATGCAGCCAAAAGCCTGTAAGATAAAGCACAAAAATAATAATAATGAAGAAGTAGAATTAAATATGTTCCTTTTTTCAGTTGTTTAAAACTGAAAAGTGGGTAGCCTATTTCACCTTGCACAATAATAGTTTTCCAAATGTAAAATTTGCTCTTTACAATCTGTGCATCTCATCCCTCATGCATCTCTGAGGGAAGTTCTACAGTACAAACATTATTGAATTATCATTTTAATTACTAAAAATCATAGGGAGAAATAGTTGCATAGATTATTTTTAGGATCTATTGTACAAGAATCTGTTTTCAGAAAATTGACATAATTATGACAGATGCTTAAATATTGATAAACTAACTTTAAAACATGAAACATTTATTGTACTTTCGTTGTTTTCGGTCGAAATGAACAAAATACAGGTTCTGCAAAAAGGAATAAGTGCTTTGCTTGAATATTTCCCTTCCCTTGCATGTATTTGAAAATCAAAAAATCACAGGTTCCCATGCACATTTCCTCCAAGAAAGGTTTAAAGGGAGCTGTGTCACGGCAGGACAAGACCCAATACCGTACCTCCTTGAACTCCTGTATCTGGGACTGCTCAAACATGGAGAAGACATTGGAGCAAGACTTCTGTCCTCCCCTCTGTCTCTTATTGGAAGCCTTCTTACTCGCCTGAGAAGATGAACGCAAACTCATTCAGTTTGGACACTGATATTTTCTTTACTGCATACCCATGTGTCAGCATAGAAATCAGTCAAAAGCACACAAAAGATACAAAATACAAAATAACATAAATACAGTATTGACTGAAAGAACTGAAAGAATGAAAACGCAGCTGACTTACCATGTCTGAGTGATCTACGTGGACTCCCAGCAGAGGTGTGATGCTGGGGTGGGTTTTTTGTATGGCCCATCTTATCTTCTACCCTCCTATAATAGCCTTTGGTGGGCAGCACAGTCCCTTACATGGCCATGGCTGCTCTCCGTGTGTCACCAAAAGGACCTGATAAGAGGTGAAGCAGCCAGGATTCCTCTGGGCTGGAAATTAGAGATATGAAGAACAGACAGGGAGAGAGGAGACAGGGGAAAGTGACCTCTGACGTTTGACAGTCACTCAACCAAATAAAGTTACTCTTCAGAGGTCAAATCAAGCTCTAAAGATTTTACTTTAATGTATATTTTATGTGCACTATTATTGAAACTTAAGTAACAATAGTGTATGAGACTACACAGCAGACATTAAGCCTGATTATCTTCTTTAATATTATAATTTCTTCCAGCAAATGAGATATGATACGCTCAAGGGTCTCCCAGTGACCTCTTTCATTCTAAAAACTCTATTTAAATGAAACCAAAACAACTATGACCAAATAAAACCAGATTTAAAAAAGCAGCAGGTATATTATCTAGGATTAAGTTAAATAATAACAACACCTCTCTTTAAATGTATCTTGATTTACTTTGGGACAGCTAAAATCTTTTCCTGTGCAATATACCACCTTATTTACATCTTAAGGGAAGAGCCCCCAAGCCCAAATTTCAATTAGAGACAAGCTTGATAATTGATGACAAAGTGAATGTTGTAGATAAACAGACATACATTTTTGTTATAGGCTAAATAATGGTGCCATAGACTTAAGTCACATCCTGTACATGAAATCCATAATCCCCAGCAACACCACTGGTTCCATTAGATGAACAAGAAGCTTGACCATTGCAAATCCAGAGCAGAGGTCATCTGTAATCTCATTCCATTTCAGATAAAAACATTTTTAGATAAGAAATATTCATGAGGTGGCAAGAGGTTGGCATGGAGACTTTGAGGGGTGGCAGAAATATACATGTTGATTTAATTGTAAACATATATCGCATATATCAATATTTTGCTTGGAAAAGCCCCCAAATTAAGATATTTCAACTCAAAAACATTACATTATTGGGGCACATTAGTATAGCATTGAACATAAATACATACATTTGGAATTAGAAATCAATAAATTGTTTTATTTCCATATCTTCACACATTTTTCCGAAAATATTTTTAATTGAACTTACCATTTAGTCTAAAAAGTGGCCATGACATTTTTTTAAATCTAAATTAATGTGTTAAATTTCATAGTATTTTATACCAAACTTGGGTGACCAGAATTATATTTGTATGAATAGATTCAATTATAAATATTCTGGATCCATTTTGTAGTTTGTTATTGTAATGAAAGCATAATAATTATTGCATTTATAGGAAATAAGATTATATTCATGTTTACTTCATTAATGTAACATTAATAGGACTATTACATCTAGAACATAAATTTTATGTCACTTGAGTTGACATAGAATTAACAATAAGCCACAACTTAAAAACATTTACTAATCCATTTTAGCTGGGGCATTACATCTAATCAATTCAAAGTAAATAGTACAGTATAGTTAGTTTAATTGAGCAATTTTATTTACAGCATTTATTTTACATTTATTTAAAGCTTATTCACATCCATCACATTTCATCATGCACATATGAAAAACTACAACCTACTGGCATACACTCACACACACATTAGGTTGTAAACAACAATTTAAATATACAATACCAAAGAAATATTTTATTGCTCACTAACAGGAATTACTACACAAAAATGAAAGAATTTGATTTTGTTTACAACAGTATTTACCAAAACAATCCTTTTGTTGTACATCAACCAGTTTGCACTGGTTTTTTAATGCATCAATAATACATCCATTTTTTAAATGGGCAAGTCAGTCACAGCAAACCAATTCAGAAAATATTGAAATTGCTACAAATTGGTCTAATACTACCAAATACAGTCTATAATACAAGTTGTTTGCTGCTTTCTCTTCTGCACATCTTCCAGCAGTGACTGTCCACTTTGCTGATACACATCCTGCAGACCTTGAAAAAGGCCAGTGCTGCCGACTGTGGATGACATGTCATCAATGTTCTCAAAACAGAGTTCAGGCTTGCTTCACCGCTGTCCTGCCGGGAGACAGCTCAGTGCACAGCTCCCTTTTTTACTGTGTCAGCATGCATGCCGCCATCTTACAGGCCACTGCTGAGATAAGAGCAGCTCCGCGACCGCTCCCCTCCTCTGACTGGATGAACGTGATTTCACAGTGAGGTGTGAGTTCCCTGACGATTTTGTGGAACCTGTCACGGAAACTGAGACAGAGAAACAACAACATTAGTGTCAGTCAAATAATCACAATCTTTCCTTTGCTTAATACTTTAACATGTTCAGAAAACTATGATATTCAAAAGTTGAAAATCATATTTCTCACCATGGGTGCAGCTTGTAGACAGATCCATCAACCCCAACTGTGATCTCCAGGGCTTCCTGGCTGCGTCGCTCCCGCATCAGGTTGATCACACCAGCGAGCCCTGCGCCACACATATGAGCAGAGCGAGTGGAAACACTCTCACAGACCAGGCGCACAATGTCACAGTCCAGCTCTGACGGCAGAACACCCAGTGAGGACAGGATATTGTAGATTTGTTTTCTGTCCCCAGTGTCACTGAAAGAAATTGGCAACAGGTAAATTTAAAGACTATGTTCACTACTATGTTCATAATACATAAATACTGATATGACTATTATCATTACTTTAGTACACAAATACCACATTTTATATTTTCAGCATTCAAATATTAAAACAGGCTTCTACAAATTCTGCAGTAAGTGAAGCAAACCAAATTGCTTCGCCACATTCCCCATCAACACTGTTATATAAGCTGATGTCATCAGCATACATATATATTTATGTTATATAACACAACAGGCTTTACATTATCATTTGCTTTTTCCCCCCCCATAAGCTTAAGCAAATGCATTGATTGTCTACATGGATAAATAGTCTTAGTCTTATCTTTTGTCTGATTTTTTATAAGCAACTTTTGTATGTAGTTTTCTTAAGTTGGTGGATAACTGCAGCCTTTTAGGATTCATTCATGCTCACCTCTCCACCTGTGAGACGTAGCGTGTCTCAAAGCTGCCACGTGTCTTCAGTTGCTCTGACGCTTCACCATTAAACAGCAGATCTTCATTCACCAACTTCATCAGAACAAGCCTGACCAGCTCACCCATATACTTCCCACTGATCAGCTTCTCATAACTACAGGAGACAAGAAAAAGAGAAGAGACAGATAGCTTTAAAAACAGATAAATACTGAAAGGAGGAGGGGGGAATTAACTAAGGAGAGTATGTTGAAATAGTGGAAGAAAGAGGAAGGTCATGCACATCACAAAACACATGAACAAACAACTTTCTCTCTCTACATGGGCTGGGAAAGGAGAGGAGGGCGGATAAGGATGCCAACGTCAATGCTAAAGAGGCTGAATGAGGCTGGCCTCAGCAGTTGTCTGTGCAAAGGGGCTGCCAGTGCAAAAGGTAAACAGCCATTAGGCCAGCAGGCACTATGGCAAGCAGCAGAGAGGGATCATTAATCTGACACCCCCATCCGCTGACTGACCACTGACGTATGAGGGCTCTTGCCATTTACAAACATCCTCGGGAAAAAGAGCTGGTGGCTTAGCAACTACACAGACACCTCAGGTGAGAATCAGGTGAGTATTGCCACAGGAGGATGATTAATTCAGAAAAACAATAAGAGAGTGAAGGAAAGAGTGTGTGGCACATTTTAAATTACAATACAAATCTCACTACCGTCACCTTCGATGACATGCTACTCTGAACTTGAATCTACACTTAAATTCATGTGCATACAGTAGATGAAGCTGGAAGAGATATGTTGTAATCAAAGAAGTGATCAGCTGTCTTCTGGGTGTGTCTGACTCACAGCTGATGTCCGGGGTTAATTGAGGTCTCATCCACCACTCTGTCGTATTCCAGCCGGAACTCCTCCAGCTCACCGTTGTCTCCAAATGCCCCCCACTCTGTGTTCACACACATCCGGCCCTCCTCCCCTTCTACAAGCTCCACAGTCCTCATCTCCTCCATGTAACATGCATTACAACCAGTACCTGGTCAAAAAAAGAAAAAGAAAGAAAAATGTAGGTGTGCTTGAGTATGTGAGTCTCTGTATTCATAAGTGCATATCAGTAGTGAAATCATGCAGTGTGTTAATAACTACTTACCAACAATCATTCCCACTTCACAGCTGCGATCCTCATAATAGCAGGAAATCATGGTGGCTACTGTGTCATTCACCATGGCAACCACATCCATTTCAAAGTCCTAAGTGACAAATCGTTTTGCATTTAGAGTCATCTAGCTGTATGCAAGTGTTAAAAGTCATCATTTTGTTCTGTTTATAAATAAAGAAAATCATTCTAATATGCAGCAACTCACCCCTCGTCTCTTGATAGCATCTCTGAGTAAACCCACAACATTGTTCCCTTCTGCCCCAGATGCCTTGAAGCCTTTGGTCCAGTTAAGCAGGATACCCTGTGGAAAGAAAAATGCTATAAATGTATAAAGCCTTTTTAGGGGGAAATGTGATGAAGGTTATTGCTACCCATCTCATTATTGATTAACAGTATGTACAAGTATAACATTGTACCTTGTCAATGTCCTCATGTCGTACAGGAAAGGAGAAGGTGAAACCCAGAGGAAGCTTCTTGTGCTTGAGATGATGTTTGTCCAGAAAGTCTGACATACACTCTGCTATGTAGTCAAACAGCTGCAAAGAGACAGAAAGAGGATATGAGATAGATGCAATAATTGGTGCTGATTTCATTCTGAGAGGTTTAAAGTGTTTACAGAAAACCATATTTAGACATGTTTTTGGCATTGATAGATTGTTTTAAACAGTCACCATTGAGCTATATCAGTTACTGTTTGACTTATTGATGCTGAAAAGGAATTGTAAATACTAGTGTCACTAACCATTTCAGCAGTGCCTGTCATGGCATCTTCAGGAATGGAGTACATCTGGTTCTTGGTCTCCACCTTCCAGCTCCTCTCCTCATCTTCACCCACCTTCACCAGCATCACACGGAAGTTTGTCCCTCCCAGGTCCAGAGCCAGGAAATCGCCCACCTCTGTCAAAACACACACTACATCTGAATGCATGCACTGGCTTTACCTTCTTAGTGACATCTGCATGATTTTTGAGAAAAAAGTGATCATCATCTAATGACTGAGGAACGAGTATCTACCTGATCCTTCAGGGGTGGAGCAGACATAAGTTGGAAGCATTTTGACGCTGGCCTGTTCGTGTGTCTCTAAATGCAAGCCTTTGTTCATCTCACGTTGCATCCTCTTCATGATTTCTTTTAGGTCTTCCTTATTCAGCCTAAATTCTGATAGGATTTGCTCTACCTGCAATGAAAGGATAGAAGAACAGGACAGAAAGTGCACACAGATCAATTAACTATATATGTATTTTAGTGTAGATCATATGCACTGGACCCATTCTTGTAGACAAATTAGATGCTATATTAAAAGAAGATAAAAAAGGCACTACTTTAGAATACAAAACAATGAAAAGAAGTGGAGAGGAAGTTCTGCAGGACGAAGCAGCATCTGAGCATCTCAAACAAGCTCCAAGAGTTTCTTCTGAAACAATATGGAGCGGTCTGTGCGTGGTTAAGACTATAGTTAATTCACACAACAGTCACATGGAATAAAAGCACAAATCCAAGCGATACTAAAGGACTTAAACCTCGACAAAGTCTTATCAGACACAAACGCAAATCTTACCATGAGGATTTCATCAACCGCAGAGCTGTAGCTACAAGGCATCTTCACCATCTGGTCGAGATAAGAGCTGACACAAGGCATCTTCGCAGGTTTAACTAAATGAACCTCTGTGTGTGTTTCTAGGTGTGTGATGAGTGTGTGTCCACCCTGTGTGTGTGCAGAGTCAGTGAAGTGTGAATACCACTGAATGAGAACCTCAGCTGTTTTTATGCTCAGGTGAAGTGGGCTGGCCACACCAGACGCAAAATGCCCACCCCTTCCCTAATCTCACCCCATCTGGGGATCGGGGGTTCAAACATGCACATGTATACACACACACACACACACACACACACACACACACACACACACACACACACACACACACACACACAGCCTCAGTACAAAAAAAACTATGTATGTGACCTAATTTTTTACAAAGTTAAAACTAAGTTTTATGTTGCATAACCTATCAATAACCGGCAGAACATTTTGATAGATTTATATTCAGATATTTTATTCTACATAAGTCTCTGTCATGATAGAATATCCACAATTATTTTATTCTTTTGTTGGAAAATAAATTCTCAAATGAACCATAGAAACATGAATAACTTAATGCTGACTTTACTTATTACAATAAATTCTGAACTACAGGTTTTATGCATCCCATGTTATAATGATGACATTTTAAATAAATAAAATATTCTAATATAATAATGATCTTGTGATATGTTTTAAGTTCTCTGCTGTGCTGTTTTTCTTTAATTAATTTTAATTGCTGCTATCTTTGGAAAAACTCTTGAAAACTCCTGAAAAGGGCACTTTTCAGCCCACTGAGATTTTCCTTGATTTAAGTTATATGTGCAAAAAGAATCATAATCTCACAATAATGACATTGAAGAAGTTTTGAAGAACTGAATACCCATCACTGTGAGGGTATATAAAATATCTATAGTTAAGATAAATTTGGTAAATTATTCTTTGCTTTCATGTGGCAAGGTGTGTGACCTGTGACCTAGAGCTCACCCAACGGACTGAAACTTTAAAACCCACCAACGTAACAAATCGAATGAATCTGAACATGAATCCTGTGATCATCTTCTTTTTTTAATTTCAGAAGAGCAGCGTGCAAGGCCACAGGGTTGCTCAATGAGGGAACTTCAGAGGCCTGAGAGAGTTACGCATATATTTGTAAAATTAGAAACATGTCTAAAATTAGTAACAGTGAGGGATGAACGACCTCTAAAACCAACAATAGTATGCTGCAGGTGAAGGACTCCTGTGCTTATCAGCTGCAGTTGTTTACCAGGTCAGAGGTCAGAGCTTTTCTTAGCTCTGACCTCTGGCTGTGAGGTAACTGTTAACTGTGACCCTCTCCCCCAGTGCCCTGATGGTATGATTTCTAACTAAACCCTAAAAGTCACACTGACATACATTAATGTAAAATAACATTTAATATACCTCTTAAATTTTGATTTTCTCCTCACATATCCCTTTAAAAAAAGAAAGGTTTTCAATAATTTAAATATATTTTAATTGTTTTATCAAACCACTTCTCTAAACAGGAGATACCAGGTTTTGTACTGATGCAACATTTCAACACATATTCTACATGTCTTGTCCATCACTTTATACTATGAAGTGAGATCTACTGCAGCCATGTGCAACTCATATGTTTGTGTACTTACCTGTTTACCTGCACGATTAGTTAGTTGTTTTTTTTAATTGCTTATTTAATTAACTTATAGATGGATAGATAGATAGATAGATAGATAGATAGATAGATAGATAGATAGATAGATAGATAGATAGATAGATAGATAGATAGATATGTCATTAATAAAATACAAGGATTAATTCTAAATTTTGTTCTTTATGTTCTTTACCTTAACCATCGTATCACGACGAGGATTAGATCACAAGTGTCCTGCCAACCATCAGTGCTCTGCGGTGGAAGTTCACTCCATCTTCCCAGGAGTTTTGGAGTTTCTGAAGTTTTCTGCTGTTATGGTGTTTTAACTCGGCGCCCATGCATGAAGTTTTTTAAAAAAATCTTTCATAAGGTTATATTCCCAGGACGTTTGATCTACATAATGATCAGTAGTAAGTCTCACATATCTGCAGTTTTTTCGAGGCCAAGCTGGTAAACAGTGAAATTAAACTTAAAGCAGGACACAAGGGTCATAAATAGCCTATGGATTCATCTTCATTCTATAATATATTGTATTTAAAAAGAAAAAAAATAATAACTACGGATTCATCTTCATTCCTGCAGATAAATTACGTAAAACCTGTGGATTTGTCTTCATTCTTGCAGTTACCAGGTCCAGTTAATATCCGCATTGGCGCACTGGCTATGCCATCAGCTCCAACAGTCAAAAGTTACGCACAAAAAAAGATTAAAACGTTCTTCCATCCAAAACTTTATACAAGTGAATAACCATTGAAATTTAGAGCAAAATCAGAAAACATAAGAAAACTCCCAGTCTGTAGCTGGCCTTCTCACTGACCACGTTACTTCAGTAATATCTTAACGCAACCAAAACTAGCCTAGTTCCAGGAAAGAAAAGCCATTTCTTCCCCCGGTGCAGCTGACCTGTCAACAGATGCACCTGAAGGCTTAGCGGTTTCCATGCCAAAACGATTTCAATGTGTTGCCTTGACGATGAATTACGGGCACACTTCTGCCATGGAAAACACTTACCACTGAGTTAAGTGGCCAGGACAAAATTGTTAAATGGAGCAAGATTACCAGAGAAAACATCTATTGAGGGTGCCATGTTTTTGGTAGACAAAAAAAAAAAAAACTTACAAGCTCACTAAGCTGTGTAAAAGTATTATTATTATTATTATTATTATTATTATTATTATTATTATTATTATTATTATCATCTACAAAATGACACGAGAAAACAGGCAAACTTTTTTAATTTAATTTTTGAGCAATTTATATAAACACTTCACCTATAATTATCATCATACACGTCAATGTAATCATTTTATACATAGGTCCATTATTTCCAATGTACACATTTTATTCCAAGGATGTTATTTTTTGTCTTTACACCAACAGGTGCTAGTGAGTAGGAAAATCATCCCTGGGGAAGAAAGTTATTAAAATTTACGAATAGCATACCAGGACTATATTGCCCGCTATTAGACACAGTTAAGGTCTCCTGAAATCTTAACCTTCACTCATTTTTTTTTAGATTTCACATTCCCAGCCTTGTTTTTTCCAGAAGAATACATATAAACAGATTGTCTCCTACAATGGATGAGACAGTCCCGATCGGATCTATAAGTGAAAACTCCACAGAAAAGTGGCATTTTTATTGAAAATACTACTGAACTAGCAGTAAATGTACTAACTTTTCTCTTCAATCGGAACCCTGACAACAGCGTCGTGCTTGTTTCCACCGGAGCTATTATCCCGGTGGTCCATTTGAGGATCGTGACGTGGTGATTGGTCAGTGATCTGCCTATTGATAAATATCACCAGCGTTAGCTACGTTGTGTTCAGGTCACCGGACCTCCGCTGAACATATGTATGAGCTGTAGTGTCCGTGCAGTAGAAAGTGTGCTCGGTGGTTCTGACGGGAATCAGAAGGTTTGCTGCTGATTTATCTGAGTGGTAAGTTATCTGAGGCCTCACGTACACCTCGTAGCAGCTGGAGCTAGCAGTGTGCTCCACTTGGTTTTAACAATGTACAACTTTAGTATTTAGCTCCATGGTCACCAGCCTGTGGTTGAAATGTGCACGACCGACTGCCAGTTAACCAGTTTATCTTCGCATAAAGAATAGTAAGGTAATAAGCCGAGAATAGATAACAATAGTTGGTTAGCTTGGTAGCTAATAATAAGGCGGCTACTTTCACTTGTAAGCTAGCTTGTCAGCTGAACTTCCCTCAAGTTTCTTTAGTTGCGTTACTGTTAGCAGAGAGGCTAGCTGGCTGAGCTAATAGGGGATAATGCTCTCATGTGATCCCGCCTGTGTCACCCTACAAATTAGATCATCAGGGCTGTGTGATTTGCATTAGCTGTGACTGACTGAGCAGAACTGAGCCGGCGGCAGCATGAAGCTCTACAGCCTCAGCATCATCCATAAAGGAGCGACCAAAGCCAACCTCCTCAAAGCGGCCTATGACCTCTCCTCCTTCAGCTTCTTTCAGCGCTCCAGGTGGGTCTGACTGACTGGACCCACCATCTCACCGATTCAACTTCTTTTTTTAATGTGTGGATGACTTTATTTGTCCTAATTGTCTGTGTGTAGATTGCAGAGAGTATGCAGTTACTGTACTCTCTCTCAGTTTGTTTGGTTTGGCAGGAAATCTGACGATTGATTACCATCCCCAATACAGTGTTTAGTAGAAATAATGTTGCCTGACTAAGGTCAATACTGGGATACTTTTCCACAGTGACATTCTTGTTTTTGTTTTTTTTAGTGTTCAAGAGTTTATGACCTTCACCAGTGCCTTGATTGTTGAGCGGACATCACAAGGAAGCCGTGCCTCTGTTAAAGAACAAGGTAAGAAAGAGCAGGTTCAGCTCAGCTTGACGGTCATGTTATTTTTAACTAATGTGACTCCATTGTCAAACATTAAGCGATACAGTGAACTTGTGTCTATTTTGGAATTTGGTCAAATGTTTTATTTATTTACTATTTCAGTGTCTCTCTACACATAGGTAGTTCTCACAAGGTTTGGTGTCACTCAGTCTTAACTGTTACTGATACTATCAACTTTGCATTGTTATGTGTGTAATATTTACAATATTAGGGGTGTCCTAGTAGTATATACATGCCAAGCTCTTGAACATTGTGCCAGTGTTTATTTGAAATCCGATTTAGTTTTACTTCTGCTTTGCTTAAAGACACTGGAAACCCCAATGTGCTAACTTGCCAACTTGGTGACTTTCTTTCTCGTGACTTTATTAGATCAATAAAGATCCATTTCGGCACCATACATAAATTTTAACTACTTCAAGCCACATTTCCAGAGGCTTAAACAAAGTGTGCCAACTAGCTCTGGGTTCACCTGTATCATAAGACCAGGAAATTTTGATGGTACCACATGGTTTATCTCTTGTTTCAGAGTACCTGTGCCATGTGTATGTAAGAAACGACAACCTGGGTGCTGTGGTAATCGCAGATACTGAATACCCACAGAGAGTCTGTTTCACATTGCTAGAGAAGGTGAGTACAAAAGCATGTTAATAAAACACATAATTGTTGCACTTGGATGTCACCTTCAATATTGAGATTGCTCTCTGTTTTTTTTAGGTATTAGAGGAGTTCTCCAGGCAAGTGGATAGTATAGACTGGCCCTCTGGTAATCCTGAAACCATAAACTACAAAAGCCTGGACATTCACCTTGCTAAATACCAGGTCAGTTTTGAATCTGTTATTCAGAAAATATCTCAAATGAAACCCTTGAAAGCCAATGAGTATGACTAGACTGTGATTGTTTCTTTAGAACAATATCAGATTCACTTGGTTTCACTTGGCCTTCATGGTTGTCAGATTTTCTATATGTCTTATGTCATTTGACTCTGTTTACTAAATAGTTTTGACTCTCAAGTATATGCCAAGATGGAGGCATGAAGATGAAATTCAAGAATCTGTTAGTGGCCAGTCAAATAACTTGTTTTACATAGTGCGGCCAAAGGATTAGCATGCAATAGCAGTGTACCTGACAGCATGTTGTTTTTTGTTTTATCTCCCAGAACCCCAGGGAAGCAGATGCAATGACCAAAGTGCAGGCAGAGCTGGATGAGACGAAGATCATTTTGGTAAAATACTTCCCTAAGTTGCGACCCAATACTTTAATCTAGAGGCTGAAATAAATGCACTACAACTGCCTATTAACCATAGAGGGGACAATATTAATACTAACTAGAGTTTATCATCAGTGCATCCATTTTATTGGCCAGTCATGCCTGAAACATTACACAGTATTTTTTACCAAACTCTACCGGGGGTCAATCCCAGTAAAAGTCCTCTGCACACTAAACTACTGCATTGGGATCCCAACGCAAATATTGTGGGAGCGGGCAATTCTGACTTTGCTCAAGTGGGAGTGGGCAGTCAAAAAACGTCCCAAGATTTAATTTGTGCCCACCAGAAGGGTGGAGATGGATGATGGATGCAGCAGAAGGGCTCTACTGCACACTAGTTAATGAATGTTTTGTTTCTGTAGCACAACACGATGGAAAGTCTGTTGGAGAGAGGAGAGAAACTGGATGATCTTGTGGCAAAGTCAGAGCACTTGGGAAACCAATCCAAAGCCTTCTACAAGACTGTGAGTACTGACGACTCGCCATAATAACACTGTACTTAAAGTCTAATAGCCATTCACTATTTTAGATGCCTGACTGTGTGTGTGTGTGTGTGTGTGTGTGTGTGTGTGTGTGTGTGTGTGTGTGTGTGTGTGTGTGTGTGTGTGTGTGTGTGTGTGTGTGTGTGTGTGTGTGTGTGTGTGTGTGTGTGTGTGTGTGTGTCATGTTCATGTTAAACCTGCAGGCACGGAAACAGAACTCATGCTGTGAAATCATGTGAAGTCGCTGCCTCGTCCTCGTGGACACGCCTCTCTCTGCCTTTCTGCTTTTCCTACAACTCCCATCATGCACCTGCCACAAGCTCTCAACACAGAGGACAGAACCGACGCTGTCTCATCCAGGTTTGGGGCGCCAGGATAAGAGCGAGAAAGGGTGTAAGGGGGTGGCCAGTGGAAGTGTGACTTCTCCGGATCGTGGCTGATGGGGGCTGAAGGAGTGATGGGGTTTGGTCAGGGGAAGCAGTAACATTTGAATTATTTTTAACCTTTTCAAAGGGTGAACATCTGTCTGGTGTTTCAATACCAAGGACATAATAGCGTGACGTGTTTTAGTGATGTATTGTTGAAAACGTCTTCAAACCATTTAATGTTATTCAGATTCAATCAATTCTTAACAGTTTGATTTCAAAGTATTAACCACAGTTGGGCTTCTGCTTCAAGGCAACTCTGACAATCTCGCAGTCTTATCTTGTGAATTCATAGAATTACGTCACTGTTTTGGTTCAATTCTTGTTTTTCTTGCAGGCATAACCTTTGTTGCCCACCAGGTGGCCCTGTTTTATTTAGTGTATTTGTCCAGTGAGCCTCAACATTGAGGCCAATCTAAAAACTCTAATGACAGTAAGTAGCTGCTTGAACATGTGATATCAAAATCTCACAGAATTTTACAGTAGTAGTTTTGAAACATCCTTGCTAGATTAGATTAGGCTACACAACTTCCTTTGCTTTACTCATAATGTTAAATGTAATCTTAAACATTCCCGCTTCGGGTGAGTGTGTTATTGAGTGATGATGCACCTTTAAAGCTGATGAGAATAGATGTGAAAATGTTTCTTCATAGACGCAGCCTTATTGCAGAGTGGCTAACATGTTAACCCCCCCCCATGTTCTGTTTAAACATTATGTCTCATGAGGAGGACTGACTCTCTTTTGTGTACACTTTGTGCATTTTAGCCATGCTTTTCACTCTTAAAGCCAACACATGGCGCTTAAGAAGGTTTTTAGAGTTCAAAAGCTGACTCAGACTTCTGCAGTCCAGGGCTCATGTGTACCTCTCAATCCTGGGATCACTGACATTTTACCATCATTTATTGTGACTGAGGTGATTCTGGGAATCCTCAGGTGCTGTTGCACTCTTTGGCCTCAAGTTTCTCCTGAAATGGGTGTAACTTTTGAAATAGAACAGAGATATGTTGAGCGATGTTAATTGAATGATTTCACACCCTAGTCTTATTTTAAGACACTCCACAGCTGACCTTTTCTTTTCTTTTTTTTTTTTTTTACTGTCAGCACCGTTTGCTTGGTATTTAGGTCCGACTGGGTCGAAATTTCTTTCTTCAGGAACTGCTCATCAGTTTATGATATAGACATGCCTTTGGTTGTGTATTTTAGATGTTTCTCTGCTCACTTTCTGCTGTATGTATGTATGATTTGCTGATATACAACATCTGCAGGCTGCATTGATGTGGTGTGTGTGTGTGCGTGTGTGCGTGTGTGTGTGTGTGTGTGTGTGTGTGTGTGAGAGATCTGAATTGCTCTTTCTGCTTTTACAGTGTAAACTTTGGTGCAATATCTCTGCAGACTGTTGGTGTGTATCTCTCTAAAGTAGAGAGAAGAAACTAAACTATTTCTCATAAAGGACAGTAAATTGACCTTTGTATATGCTATTCTTATGACTAATTCCCATGTGAAGCGTGTCCAGGGTTGTTTCTGACATATTTGTTTAATTTCTTCTTTTCAAACTTTACAATTAATGTGCTGAATTGGGAAATCTGTCAAATCTATGGAGTCACGCTGAAGCTATTTGCAGGTCTTGTCTTACTGACCAGTGTGTTAAACAGTCTGCGTTAAACGTTTTGATCCAGATGTGGTTTGCAAACTTAAAACAAGACTTCAGATAATAAACTGTTCTTTTCTGTCTGTATTAACATTTTGTTTTTGATTTCTTCAAACTGATTGTTTACAGAACGTGTAATCTTGCTTAGATAAACGAAAACAAGTGGCATCTGGCATGCTGGTGGTATTTTCAAGGTTTGAAGTAGGAAACTGAATTCTAAGATGGCAGTAAGGTGTTGCAGGAAATCCTCTAAAACAGTGTAAAGGTAGATGTGACCTATGCGTTGTTTAAAAGTCAACAGTAGTATCTTTGGTATCTTGTAATCAGCAAATAGAGCTGTGTGGCCTCTCCTGTCTGCCCTTTTACAGGAAGGTCAGCAGAGAAGCTGATGCACCCTTCAGGTGTTGTAGGAAATATCGCATCTTAATAGAAACAATATTCATAAAACAAAAGCAAATGATTACAAGAGAAGTGTTAGTAAGGAGGTAATTTTTAACAATGTTAACTCGTGTGTTAATGAAAGCATTCATTGTTAAATAAATAGTGTTGACCTTTGGAATAGCTACACATGGAGTGCATGTTTAAATGGGTCTATTATTAAAAACAAATCTATAATTTAACTTAAACACCCCCGACAGAAAGTGTTTCCCCTGGCCGCGGGAGCGCGCATTCATTCAGCGAACGCGGAGAAGTGAGTCAGTAAAGTGCGCAGTGGAAAAAAAAGCTTAAGCTGATAGATAATGGACCCGAAAGACTACACACTGATTGTGAATTACAAACTTAAAAATGAATACCCGGACAATTTATCTAAGAAAGATAAATTTATTCTTCGGAGAAAAGCGTCTCTGTACGTCGTTGAAGGTAAGATAAGACAAGCAACAACAAAACATTCACAACACAAAGGAGATCCTGATTATTTACTGTTAATGGATAGCACCAAAACTCGGGTTTTTTGCCTTTCTTTGACCCAATTAATCCGCAAAATGTGGCTTTTTGACCTTTACATACACCCGACAAAGAAGTCATTGACTGTCATTGACACTGCTCACATTGTAATGCAATACAATATTGCATTTGAGACAGTATATTATGTTATAATAAACAGTGAGTTGTGAATTATAGTATCTAGTATCTGAAGTACACCTAAAATAAATCATTTGATGGTCAGGCTTCATCTGTCTATTATAGTTACATTTCGAGTGAAGTAGATTGTAATTGAAATAATTGTAATTGAAGCCAGAAAACAATCACAGTGATCTTGATTTTGGATATCGACGTTTATTTAGTTCGACAAATTCCATACCAGACTTGAATTACAGCGTGTTATATGTCAAATCACATGAGGAAAGTATTGCCTTGGTTTTTCCGTTCAGTACGTAGTACGACGTTACGACGTACAACAACAGAACATTGAATTAAACAATGCAATTGTTGTAAGTTTTAATTTACTTGGGTGAAAGCCAGCGCACCACTATTTCTCCGCCTTCGCTGAATGAATGCGCGCTCCCGCGGCCAGGGGAAGCACTTTCTGTCGGGGATACCTACATTGGCACGACAACTGTCCAGAGGTTTTTTGTCTGTTATAAGAGAAAAATACGAGTTTAAAAGAGACCCTTGAATGCAGCAGGAGAGGCGCGTCTCAGAGAACAGCATAAACTGAAGTCTGAGCGCACGGTCTCACCGATGTGGATGGAGGGGAAAAACAAGAGCAGGACTGTCATCAGCTACGGGACCAGCTCTAAGGTGAGAGGCCAGAAAAGAAAAACAGACTTTCCTGAAGTGCAGCACTGTACAGTAAACAAGTCTGTTGATCCAAGAGTGAGCCTCTCTCTCTCTCTCGGTATGTTAGTGCTACTCTGCGACGGTTAAAAGCCTAAAACTGATTTACTTGTTAACAAGCCTCCAATGAGTCGTGTTTCATTGAGGTTACAACTTGGACTGGAAGTTGTTTTCACCCTGTCGCAGGAACAAATGTTGTCCCAGCGCAAATGTTTTGGAAATATGTGGATATTTTCTTATCTTGCATGTTTTCCTTATCTTTGCGCCTGGTCGCCTGAAGCGCTCTGATTTTCCACATTGCTGAACTTCCTGCAGAAAGTTTCCCACTTCTGCTGCAGGCAGCAGGGCTGATTTTCAACCTGCACAGGACACAAGTGTCCCAGCTGCAGTGTGTCCTGCCACTGTCAGTGCCCTGTGCTCTACATTTCTAACACCAGTGTTTCTGCTGCATTGTCAGATGGTTGACCCAGATGTTCCTACATGGCAGCTTTTACACACAGTTCAACAGAGAAATGGTAAGTGTTACACCTTCAGTCTTTTTCAGTTAGTTGATACTTAATACTACACAAAAAGGGCTACAATACCTAAATCAGATTACAGTGCCAGGTAAGCATGGGAGTCCACTTCAGGTAAATTCTGTTTATGCCAGCTTTAGATGACTGGTAATCAATACCAATGTTATTTCAGAGCAACACACTTCAAATAGCAAAGTTTCAAGGAAGTACTGACAAAAATTCTAATTATTCAATGTGGCAAGAGGAGAATCATGGAAACATACTGCATGTAAATACATGAATACTGTAGTTCCTGGTCAATGCTCATAGACTAAACTACTGTAACTGAAGAAATGTTGTATGAAAGATTTAAATGCATTGAGAATGCTTATAGAAGGAGAATTTACTTATTTATTTTTGATGCAAATGTTCAGAGGATCATCACAAACAGGTTCATGCTTGTGTACACAGAAGTGACTGTAGTGCCCTGCAGTCCTCTACAGAACTCTTATTATTCAAAAATAACCACAGATTTGAATCAACATCTCTCAACAAACACTGCACATCATGAGCTTGCAAAAGTTGGTTTGGAATAGAGGTGCTGCATCCAAATCCACATATTTCATGTATGATGAGGTGTTTCGATGACCTTGTTTACCCTGCATATTAATAATGAGCCATTCAAATGCTGGGTTCATCACCTTTTAGACTCAAACATTTTTTTATTTAAATTCCATACAGCCTCATTCATGGTTCAGTTGCAGGGAAATGTATCTCTCTCACACACACACACACTCGTTCTTTTATATTTGCATTGTTGTGAAGTATTGTCTATTTTTCCTCATTAAGTTACAACTGCAGCTGCCACTCGTCCGTCTCAAACAGATGACTCTTTGACCAAGAGCAGTGGAATCATCCCTGGTAAGTCCCCCCCGACCAAAATCTGATGTCTTTAAAGACCCTGTAAGACCTGTTTCAGAGAAAAACACCTCATTTGTAAGATATACCACCTTGAGCTAACAAAGACCGCCTGTTTAAATCAGAGAGTAGAGACCCACAAACAACGGAGGCAAGTTGCAAGCAAGATTTAAAAACAAGCATTTTATTTGTCAGTTATTTTTAGAATATGACTGCAAAGCAGTGTGTGTCTTGTCATTTTGATCAAATTGCTTGTGGTTATTTTCAGTGGCTGCGTCTGAAACCACGATTTTCCCAAAATAGTCAGTTGTGGTAGTTTTTGTCATACAGTCAGAAATATAACACTTCTACAACGCACACTTCTCTCTCTGTGTGCAGTTGTATACAAAGTGTTTTATGACTTCCCAGGTCTGCTCTCTGCTATCATTTGAACGTTCTATTAGAGAGCTTCTGCACTTTGGTGACCCTGGGTCCACCATGTTTTCCTCCCTCTGTTTGCTAGGGGAAGGTATAGACAACAGAGGTGCCCCTATCAATTAGGGCTGCAACTAACAATCATTTTCATTATCCATTAATTTAACGATTATTTTTAGTTTCTCAATGTCTACAGTGATGTCATTTAATGTAAATATATTCAGTTTAACATGATTTTAAAAGACAAGCAGGAAATCTCCATGTTTGAGAGGCTGAAAACAGCATTTTCTGTCATTTTCTCGTGAAAAATTACTTAAACAATTGATTGATTAGTCGGTTAATTGTTGCAACTCTACTATCAACACGTATAGGAAGTGTTTCACTGATAAAGCAAGCTGATGTGTGACCGAACTAGTAGCAGCAATTTCAGTGGTTGAACCTGAAAATGTAGTTTGAAGGAGTTTATCACTTAAAAACAATCATATAACACAATCTCAACTGTGCACTTTTTTGAGGTTCAATCATCTACTGTTCTGTTTTGACACACAGCTCATTGCTGGTCAGGATAAAATTCTGTGTATGAAAGTTTTTTGGAAGTAAGCAATGGTCAGCAATAATATGCATGCAGGATTGAAGTCTGCAGAGCTCTGAAAGATGTGAGGGAGAAATACCCAAAGCACTGAAAATATTATGTTTTTCTTGTGGAATGAGGAATTTATTTTAAATATATAAGAACAGTGACAATGGATAGAAAAATGAGAAGCATGAATAATCACACAGTCTTTTTTGTTTGTTTTTTGTCTAAGGTAAACAAATTATTTGCTACACTTGCATGCAACTATGAGCATATGTGTAGTTGTGTTTTAATATGTACAAATAAACATGTGTATGTATGCTTTTAGGTGCAATAGCGGCCACAGTGTTCATTGCCTTTTTACTTGCTCTCTACGCTGTCCTCTGGAAGTGCATGGTGTCACCACCACAACGGTAAAGAACAGACACAAGCCCTAACTTGATTTTGCTGGAGCTACAATTTGATTTTGTTGACACAGCAATCTTGCAAACTGCCATTTGTTCACTTGCCTTCTGGTGTCACATGTCTGAACTTTGTATCCCAGCTCATCAAAGAAAGACAAATCACCTCACACGATCGGCACTTTTTCCACTTCATATTAAAGTTTGTTATTGTTTTACTGTGGTTGTCATGTAAACACTCTCATCCCTTTCCGTTTTAGAAAGCACAGCAAGGTGAGGGTAAGAGTACATCAGAGGACTTCTGTATGAGGACAGGCATCTGTTCAGTGGGCCATTTTGGATCTTAAAGGCGCGGCCTAAAATCTGAGAGCAGACTTTGCTCCCATGCAGGCAGCTGAAGATCCTCCTAATAGATCCAAAGATCAAACCACAAAAAAACAAAAACTGACTCAACTGAGTGGATGTGTCACCTCTTTCCGTCTGTTTGCTGCTTGACCCAAAGCTCCATGTTGATTTAAAACACTTTTTTGGCAGGTCAGAGTGTGCTGCTTTTTTCAGTTTTTTCCTGTGATCTCTGCACTACTGAGGGATGAGGCGGCTCAGGTCACAGCTCAGTCCAGTGACCAAAGAGCTGTGCGTGCGTGAGAGAGATCCATTTTTCTTAAAGAGTTGTGGGGAAAATCCCTAAAGCTGCCAGGAGTTTCAGGACAATCAACCAATCACCTCTGTACTTCAGTCTCTAAATAGCATTACTGTGGAAATCTAGAATGAAATCCACACATTCTATTTACTTTGCTCAGGATGTTGTTACTACTGTATGACCTTATACTCTATTATAAACTGTGACTTGTATTTTTTTACATTCACATTTAGTGGACTGTGAATATAAATAAATGGTATAGAACTTTAAATGAGACTCATTCATTTTTCTTTTGTTTCATGGTGTATTTCCAACTGAACATAATAATGGAATGAGGAAAGAAATACTCTGGATGGATTTATCTGGAAACCAAGCAGTTAACAGATTAGGTGCCAGGATGAGTGTAAAAGGAAAGGTTTCTCTGATTTGCCATTTGTTTTCTGTTGTGAGTGCCTGATGGGCATCATTAATATCAGGTCAGATTCAAGTTCACAAGCAGCTGAATCCCAGAATCTGAAAATGGACATATCCTACATAAATGGACAGTCCAGCAGCCACTGAGCAGCTATTTGTTACCTGACACTTTAGTAGCTGACTCTGTCACAGCCACATCACAGCAGAGGTTTGACACTGTTTTTTCAGAACCAGTTCTGCAACTTACAGAAGACACACAGTGGAGTCAACTGAACAAAGTAATGAGCAGGGAATGTATGTGGGTGAGATCCTGTTACTGTTGATTGAGTCAGGTTACAAATCATTTGAACTGTGCAATCCAGTCATATCTTTGACTTCCAGGAAACTAAATGCATTTGTAGTTTTCAAAACATTGAGATATATGTTGATTACACTGAAAGACTGAATAGCTAATTATTTATTCATTTGAATGATCAGTTCAAATGAATAATGTGATGTTCTCAACCTTGAGGTTTTTATTTATTTACAGAGTAAAAACATGGGACATTTTTGCAGTTTAAGATAACATTGCTTATTTATAGGCTTAAACTTGCACTAGTCAGTAAATAATTGAATACATAACCAGCAAAAACTTCAATACTTAAAACAGCTTGTTGTGAAGTTGCTTGTCCAACAGACGGCATAGTCGATGAAAACTTTGTCTAAATCATTAAAATCAGTGTGATTCTTTATTCTGAGCTAGATTTCTACCTAGAGTAAAACCAAGATCACACACAGCAGTGCTATTCTTGGATAACAGATACGGTAAAACACGCACTCATTTAGGAAACAGATTTCCTGCTATAAACCGGTTCTTTGTGCTCCTTGATAAAGCTGCACACCTAACTCACTCCCCTAGATGCCTTTGAAATGGCTAAATCGAAAATTGTGTTTCTTTTGGCACCCTGAAATGCACAGGGCAACAACACACTAGATAAATCCACTGTACATGAAATTACATTATCAGTCATAACAAATGCATGTTTTGATGTTTGACAGTAAAAACAGACTTTCTATTATGTAACCCATACATATATACTCCTACAACCTCATCATTCAAAATCCATTTTTGATTTTAAAAAATACTAAGTATATATTTGATAATGCCATGCAAGTAACAACTGCGTCATCATCACTACCAGTTGCATCCTGTAGATAACATCTCTAGTTACTTTGCAGTTTACAGTGAGTTGTGAGTGGTTTAAAATACTCTTTAGATTGCTTATATCTGCTGTGTGTTTTTCTGCTCTACACACATTATGTTACGATGAACTCTGCAAGATACATATTTCCAATCAAACTATATGTACACATAGCATGTTAACATGTGGGGTAAATACAAAACCTTAACATATTTACATTAGAAAGCCTCAGAGGGGTGCCCTGATGGCTCACCTGGTAGAGCTGGCGCCCCATGTATCAAGGCTGTGTCCTTGCTGCAGCGGCCATGCGCTGGACCCCGACCTGTGGCCCTTTGTTGCGTCCCCTCTCTCTCCCCCCGTCCTGTCACAATTGATTAAAGGGAAGAAAAGCACCCCCCCACATTATGTCTAATGAACAGTGCATCTGTTTACACTCTTGAAATGGATACATGAAGCATATGACTTAGAAGTTTTGGGCTTGGTCTTCAACTTTAAACTATAAAGTATCAGTTGATATATAGTCATATGTAACACTACATGATTCCTGCAGACTCCCAGAGGGTTCATTGATTTCACTGATCATGACTTCTTGTGCCTCAGACAAATCCTCCTTTACTGTGTAAAAATAAGTCTTGTTTGTCATGCAGATTGTTTGCTGAAGGGCCGGTCTGTCCCAGAGCACCGTGACTGACTGTGGACAGTTCTCTGCTTGGAGTGGCACACAGGAGAGTGACAAGGCAGAAGGAGAAGGCTGGGAACCAGAAGAGGTCAGCGTGTTTATGGGTTCAGGATCGCTTACTGTGGATGTTTCATTCAGAGGAGCGCTGGTATTCAGGATCTCAATGTCACAGCAGCTGCACTCCACATTCTGAGACTGCAGCTTCTCACTGGTCTGTACAAACATGCAGGAATAAAATAATATAAACCTGAGGCAGTTTCACATGAGTTTAGATAAAGAAGGAGGGGATGGCTATATCTGTGGGAACAATGTACACAAGATGGTGCGTGTGCATGACTACGCCAGCCAGGTGGATCTACTTTATCTGGTTCACTCTAGGTGATGACTGCTGTGTTTACTTTCAGTCAAAAACACACACACACACACACACACACACACACACACACACACACACACACACACACACACACACACACACACACACAGAGGAAATTCTGTTACTGTATCTAATTTGCCTATACAGCATTTCTGTGTGATGATTAGGGAAATTTTAAGTAAAAAGTAAAAAGTACCACCTGAATATATAAAACAAAACCGGGGCTCTGTAGTTTATGCTGTAGAGTGCATAAAATTTAGTTTGTTGAGTGACAGTTATAGTAATATTTCCATGCTCTCTCTGTATTATGTTTTAAATGTATTATCTCTGTATTCCTCTGTGCATGATCTGAATATTTGTTGGGTTAGTCCATACCTCTTGCAGGAAACTGTCTAACTCAGGAATTTGGATGTTCATACCAGCAGGATAAACAAAAATCTTCTTCAGCCCATTCTTCGCCCTGGAGAAGAAACAGAACCAAACAGAAGATGGAAGAGAGAAAAGCTCTAGGTTGTCTCCTCCAGGAATTAATGTTTAAGCCAAGATTTACACATGAGGTTACTCACCTTCCTCTTTGAGGCCACAGGAGAATGGTGCAGCCCAGCAGCAACAAGATGGGAATCAGTATCTTGGCCAAGTGAGCAGAGTCTTGCAGAGGAAACAGGATGCAGCTTACATAATCAGTGTGTACATTTCAAGCCCTAAAATTGCACTGGACTTTTAGAACTTTAAGTCATAATTCTGAGAAAAACAATAGTAAAAGTGATTGATATTGTTGAATTGTTGTATCTCTGGAGCTCACAGTTGGTTCTGGTCCTGATGGTGATACTGGCAGGTTGTCCAGGCCCCTCCTTAGTGAGAGCACTCACTAACAATGTATACTCTTGGTTTTGCTGCAGACCCTCTATGGTCACAGACTTCCTCCGAGGGTCTGCCACCGACACGTTGAACAAATCTAGATGTACACAAGATTATAAATGCCTTGTTTCACCCTAATGTATGTAAGAGTGACTCAAATCGGTGTTTATCTGAGATTGCTCCCATTGACCTATATAATTATTATTATATTTAGCATGTTTTGTCTTTTAACAGAGAAGGAGAACAAGAAATAAGACCGGAAGCTTTTCCTCTGCACTCACTTGCAGCATGACCTGAGGGCATATCAGATCCTACTTTCTGCACCATAACCAGGTAACCAGTGATGAACGCTGGATGAGCCGGATCATCCTCATTGTAATGCCACTCCAGTGTTACAGATGATGAAGTACTCTGAACAGGTTCAACCAAATTCGGGGACTGTAGAGATGCTGAGGTACAGAGGGCGGTTTTGAGGAAGGAAGACAGATAACATCAATTAGAACTAAAGCAATAGACATTCTCTAACTGATGTGAGCCTACAGGGACTTTCTTATCTAACACCTGCACTGCTTCTGCAAAAGCTCTATCTCCTTTTTCCACTGGTTTGGTGTTTGTAGTTGTTAACTTTAATAAAATTATACCTGGTGTAAGTAACTGGATATAATTTGCATTTCCTTCTTGTCTCTGTCATCTATATGCAAGATGGTGTCATGCATATAGATGACATCTGGAGGAGGTTCTAATTCGAGCCTCTGATGAAGACATCCTGTGTCAAAAGTTAACCTGTCACCTATTCAAAGACCTAATCTGTCTTGCAGTGTGTCTCCCTACTCAGTCTGTTAAGGCAGCCCCTCTACTAAGTGCCTAGGGGACCAGCAAAACACCTTATTAACCTCATAAAGAAATACTGCTGTTAGATGTACATAAATACAAGAACACAGACACACACATTTTCAGTACAACTAGTTAATCAGTAATAACACTCACTGAGCTCTTTTGAGTATCCAGTCTGTATCTCCAGGAGTCTGTGTCCATTTTCCATGCAGCCATAGATATTAAATGTATACCTGCAACCTTCTTTGAAGTTTCCTACAACATAAAGGTGTATGACAATAAATGGCAAGATTTAAAGGATGCATTTACAGTGACCACTAAAGGAAAACAACAAAAACTTACTAGCAGGTAGAAACAATGTATTGTTTCCTTCTGGAACCTTCATCCAGCGCAGAGTGCAAGGCACTGCATGTCCCAGAATGCACCACTCCACAGTATAGCCACAGGTGGCAGTGTCCAGCTGGTCCCAGGACAGATTAAAACCAGCAGGTGTGCTGCTGTTCAACCGCTTCTCTACTGGGCGGTTTTCTAGACAGAGACACATAATTCAGACTGTGCTGCAAAAAGCAGTTATGAAGGTGAATTCAGAAAGCAAAAACTGAACAATTCTTCATCACCCTGTTCCACGAAATGCACAATGATCATCTAATGGCAGAAATCCACCACTAGAATCGAAACGTCCACTACATTTTGCAGAATTTGTAAAATTTTGAGACATCCAGCTGATATACAGATAGACACACACGCTTACAGCTGTTGTTGTTGGAAGAAGTTGAATTTCCAGGAAAGTAAGCTTAATATTTTAGAGGTGTTGTCAGAAAAAAAGGTGTGAAACGTACAATCGGAGACATGAAGAGAATCTTAGCTGATTCCACATGTGTTGCTCACCTCCATCGCTCTTTGGGATGGTGATGTGAGCGAAGATGGTGGAGTCAATGTGGAGAACAGCCTGGACAGTGAACTCATACTGTCCTGGACCTATGGAGACCTCTGCCTGGGTTTGTCCACTGTCCTTCCACTCGGTCCAGTTTTGGGCCTCCGACCACTGAACTATGTAGCCTTGTATGTGCACTGTGGCTGCAGAGTCAGAAACATGCTGAGAACAAAGATGCGCATGAAAGTTGGGAAAAGTTCATGGTCATGCTCTCCTTATACACAACTGAGAGGTTCAATATTTTTGTCAAAATAAAACATTTGAAGGAAAACAGATGAGTCTTACTAGAGACCATAATAGAGTAACTTGGCGACTGTTTGGGTCAGATAGCTGCTTTATACTCCTCCATACATCCAAGGTCACCAATGGACCTGAGGAAAGCATGTGAAGATGATTTGTTTAAGGAATCACAGGCATGGGAGATCATCCAATAGCAGAACCAGTATACTTGTTGTAAGACTGTTGTACTTTCAGTAGTCTATTAGAGTGACTTTGTGACTTACTTGCCTGTTAAAATAAAGTATATATGAAGAAAGAAAAGGAATTGTGGAAGGAAAATTAACTTTTCTGGTTCTATTGGCAAAGTTGGAGATTGCAACCATGATGCCATGGGTTCATGAATGTTAAAGGGTTATTTATTTCCTGATTTTTGATTAATTTTGTCTGTGTTGAGTCTTAACTCAAACTTCACTGAAAATGGACTCACAGGTTGTGAAGGATCTGGGCTGTGTCCATTCTCCCCAGAGCCTGCCATTGACAGAGCAACGTACCCTGGTTGAGTAGCGGGTGTTGGGAAGCAGTTCCAGTTTGACTTTGCAGAGCCCACTCACACTATTACAGCTCATCTGTTACACAGACGAGAAAAAAAAATGCAATAAAATGTCCATCTTTCATTTCTGCAGTATGAATGTTTTTGTTAAACCATATTAAAGTCACCTCAGTGGTGCTGCCTGGGTCTGTAGTGACCTGACAGAGGAGGTTCAGCTGAGTTAAGTTTGCCTGTACGATCCAGGACAAAGTGGTGTCTGTCACCCCAGGGCTCACTCTGCCCCACTCCACAACAGGAATCACTAACAGCAAAAAACACATGAAATCCCCACATTTGCTAAAAACACAGCATTATCAGTAACGCATATTTTATTCTTTAGTGTTCATAAACACAATCCAAAGTAAACAGAAGCAACATATACTGTGTATTCCATATTCTGGTTGAATGTTTGCGTGACCTCTGACCTCTGTCAGAGATGTTGAAGCTGTAGCTCTCTGTCTCCTCTCCCAGCTGGTCCTTCACCAGCACACTGATGTTGTATTCTTTCAACTGTGGGATGGCCGAGAAAGTACAAGACGACTGCTCACATTGGATGGGAGCCTGGTCTGAGTTCCTGTGATTTCAACAACAAAGCACTTGTAGTAAATGTCTGTTTGGGAAGAACAAACAACCTTTTTTGCCATGTAACCTTGTTTAGTTAGAGAGTTGTCCAACTGAGTATAGTATACTTTTATAGTCTGGTTTGAAGAAGGCAGGCACAGAGGCAGCTCCACATGAATTAAACATACATGCTGTTTTGAAGAAATCTTTGAGTCTGTCTGCACAACTATTACTATTTAACTTCATAGCTGAGTAACGTATGTTGTACTGCTAGGGTACACATAGCAGCATCAGAGAGGGACTGGAAGTATATTTCTCAAAGTATACATGCTGTAAATAATGGACCAGGATTTACAAAAACACTGCCATCTATGTTGGACATTCTGAATGTTTGGTAATGTGTACTCTTACTCTATGTGGAGAGTGCGTGTTTGCATGTTGCGATCGAACTGGTCTCGTTTTCTGCCTGGATCCCAGGTGCAAGTGACAGTTGTCATGTCTGAGGTTGCACAGCTGAGGTTTCTGGGCTTCTGGGGAGGAACTACAGCACACACACACATACATATATGTAAAAGTCCTTTGGATAAATAATGTTCAAAGAAAGTAAATTAAAATAATAATTCCAACTTACAACTGACGTACTTCCCAGCATAACTCTGCTTGCCTGTTGAATCAGTGCATATGAGTGAAAGGACTTTGATTCGCTGTGTTGGAATAGTCAGGTTATCTAGTTTTAGAGCTTTGACTCTGGCTCCAATGTTGATAATATAAGATTTGTTGTCATTGAGGGTAATGCTGGTAATACTGACTCCTCTTGTGGGAACACAGCAGAACACAGCACTGGTGCCCTCTCTCAGCACCCGTTGGTTTGGGAACAACTTGGTCTTATCAGTTGGCTGGACTCCTACAGGTCACAGAACAGAGTCATTCTACAGTCTCAATACCTGGTAGGTTAGGGTAACCTAACTTTCCTTTACATCACCCCTTAGTACAAGATTCTAGGCAAGTTTATTATGGCCAGGCTTTGAGCATGATGTGCATTGCAACAGACATTTGCAATGACTGCAAAAGTTGAGAAACACTGATGTTAAGATTGGTGAAAGGGAAGATAAAAAGAATGGTGGCTCATACTTGCCGAGAACCGAAACTAATGCTTATTTGATGTCATGATCTTATCAGTAAAACTGTGCATGCAAGAGCCTGGCCTTTTTTCTGTGTGTTCGTTAGTTTTACTCAAGTAGACTGGTAATTGAGATTAGAGTATCATCATCTCACCATCGTTGGTTACCCAGTTGCTCCAGGGACTCGGGACAGACTGATTACTGAAATGTCGAATCCTGACTGAGTGATCGACACACTCCAGAGGCAGCTCAGAGGTCCATGCCCATGTATATTCATTTGAATCCATGGAAAATAAACTAATATTTCTCTTGATTAACAAAAACAGGGACATGGACTTTACAGGAGGTTGTAGTTATGTTTAACATCACCATAGTAAAAGTAGCATAATCAATACCATAAAATTACTGGGATGTTACTATATAGTCTTTAAACAGTATAAAATCAAGGCAGCAAATCCTTCAGTACTCACATTGTAAATAACGGTGTGGTTTTCAGTGCGGCTGATCTGGATCTCGTAAATGTTGCCCACAAAGTCACTGTGTTTTACCAGCCAGCTCACCAAGAGGCTTTGTTTGTCATTGACAGCCTTCAGATGACTGATGCTCGGCTTTGGCAGCTGCCAAACTGCCACAAAATTTCACTTAATGTATAAAAAGTGACAGGACATTTTTGAGGAGAAAAAAAAAAGGGAGATTCAAAAAATTAAGTGAATCAAACTCACCAGTGTCCAAGCAGAATCTACCGTGATCCTCATAAAATATTAGACAGAACCCGAGCAGGTTAACTAAACATATTCTGAAACTCATCATGCTCTTGACTGAAGCAGAGTCAGAGTGAAGAGCTGACCATTCACTGCACACACTAACTGAAAGTATCATGTGTCACTTAAAGTCGTCCTGCCCACAATTACTGCAAGAGTATTGTGTAATAATGTAACACTGGAACCCATGAGGGATGTGCAAATATTCAGCTGATGTTGGCAAAATAGAGTGAAAACACATTTCCCACAATCATTTTATATACAGCACAATATTAATATGGCACATCACAGTTCTGATTACAGAGATTACATAAGAACACATATCAAACAAAATATTATTTATGTTGACAGCACAAAGCAATTTAAACACAATAAATTATACGAAAAAGGAGGTGAACAGAAAACATACAACCATTCTTTACATAAATCACTTACAGTATCAGATAGCAAGATTTTTGGCACTTAAGTGAGAAACATAATAATAGGAATATAAGTTCCTCTTCCAACATAGTGTGCATAGGTAGCCTTTCCATAAAACTATACATATATTTTAAATTTATACAATAATATCAGTATATTTCTAAGTCTTTTAGATACTCACAATCCCTTATAAATATCATTTAAGATTAAACGGAGAAATAATAGCACTCTATACATAGTTTAGGGAAGGGTTCAACTGGAGTCTCCAATATTTCCATTTTCTTGTAAGTGCTCATGGGAAAATAAAAGAAAAACCTCTGTCCTGATTTCCTGCTACTTTAGGTCTCAGAGTTTGGGGCACAAAGGTAACTCTGCCATCAAACAAGTGCAACGGGTACTAAAAACAATCATAGTAGAAGTAAAAACATGGGGAGTATAAAAGCTGATTTACAAAGAATTTGTTGGCTAAAAGGCACAATGGTTTCATCACACAGGAGGAGAATGATTAATGGTTAGCACATACACTGATAAAGGCACAAATACTGTATCTGTGTATACTTCCTCCCTGCACCTATTTCCCTTTTTTGAATATTCAGGTTTTTTAAAAATGACTTATCTTAAATAGATACACAAACACATCAACAGATATATATTATTGTCGATCCAGTTATATGTTAGACAGCTTGCATTGCTCATTTCTCTCTCATCATTCTCAAAGATAGACAATGTTCTCCTCGCCTGCCTCCTCCCCCTTCTGTCCTTCAAGTGAGAGGTATGCCTGCGGCGGGAGGAGGGGAGTAAGAGTGGGAGATGAGGAGTAGTCATCCTCATAAAGTCCGTGACCTGTGACCTCTGACCTCCATGGACCCAGGGATCGCCTGTCCAACGGCGGGGTAAAGTCTGCTAGAAGGACAAAAACAGAAACGCATGCTTATCATATTTTGGAGGGAGAGTTGTTTTTTTTTTCCTTTAAGCAGAATATAGAACCAAGTGTTTGATTGTGTTCTCTTAAAACCTTGTACTGCTACATATATCAATATGGCTGCATGTCTTCATCTGCTGTCCATAACTAAACACATGGGAAGGAAATGAGTACACTTACTGTTGTTGGTCCTTAGTGGCTGTGCAGTGACCCTGCTGCTGAAGGGGTGGATGGAGTCATTCAGAGGCCGGGGGCAGCCGTGGTTGTTAGTGTAATTCGGGTACATCAGACCGTCTGGAGTCTGTTTGTTGTGTGCCTGGCTCAGCAGAGTGTTGAGGCTGTTGTAGAGGCTGGCACTGAGGCCAAGGTTGGCGGTGTAGTCAGAGCTGTGCAAAGGGCCATCATGGTTCTTCCGTGGAGCAGACAGCAGACACTGGTGCTGGTTGTTGTTGGCGGGCTGTTGGAGGTGGTTCTGCTGGAGGGAGGCTAGTAAAGCTGCTTCGTTCTCGTATACTGAGCAGTTACCATCCAGGCTACCTGAGCGGCTGTGGCTGGACACCTGAGAAGCCAAAAAATTGAAATTGTTGAAAGTTATTGTGCTTTTTTAATCCTCCGAACCTGGTACCTTTAACTTCCTGTTTCTCCTCCCCCTCTCTTTCTTACCTTGTATCCATCCAGTGGTATCGTAACGGGCAGGCTGCTCTGGCGGTTGTGTCTCCAGCTCTGCAGTAGCCTCTGCTGGGCTTCAATCTTCTCCTTCTCCCTCTCCACACTCCTCTGGCCCTCTCTCAGTCGGTCTAGATTTTGCTGAAACTCCAGCAGCTGGGCCTCCAGCTCCTCACGCTCGCAGCGCAGACGCTCGGCCTCCAGGAGGCACTGCTGCTCTCGCTGCTCCAGCACACTCTCCTGCTCACTCTGAAAACACAAATGCAACTTATGATCTCTTGCTGTGGTTATAATACAGTTTCCACACTACCATTACTGTAACGGAGACTTTAAAACTTTGCAACTTCAACAGTGTGTTTAACGGAGTGTTATATATGAAACGGTTTAAGGATCAATCCACCCTAAAACAACTTAACAGCTTTTGGTAATCTCCAAAAGTAATAAAAGCACCGTGAATAGTGTTTGGTTACAATTAAGGTCTTCCTCTCTGACTCACTTGCTTATCTGCATGATAGAAAGTCTAAGGCTCTATTAAAATAATATCAATAAGTAGAAGGAATGGTGCAAAACAAAACCAATAATGTCTGCATTTTTCAAAATGTATCCATGGATGGGACTTGCATAATGTGGGCAAGCTGTGTGGAATGGGGCAATGCACTGGATGCGTTGATGCAGTATATGGCATTGTGGTATTGTTGCTATACCTCCACAGTGACTGTGTTTGAGTATGAGGGAAAAAAAGAGCTTCTTTCTTAACAATTTTACACTGACATTAGATGAGAAGAGACTCCACCTTAATACATTAGAACATATTGCTGCAATATGATGGAGAAAAAAAAAGAAATTCAGTAGTAGTATATATGTTGCAAATCTTGAGAAACTAGTTGGCTACAGGCCACCAAGAAAAAGGAAGCTACAACATTTTACCACAAAATAACATCTGAACTGCACACGGAGTACTGTTGATATCTACTCTCTACAAATATTAGATCAGGCAGAGGTGAATTCATAGCTCACAGTTTTTGTTGAGAGATAGATTACCTTTATGTAATCGGGGGAAGAGACAGTATAAAGTGTAAAATCAACATCCTTATACAAAACATAAATACAACACAAACACAAGACAAATGACTTACAATATAAAAAAACACAAGGAAAAAGATACATGTGACAGCCTTAACTTTTTATTCTACTGAAATTGAATTACAATCTCTATGACTGTTTCTATTACTTTTATTATTTAGTCGAGGGTACAGCCTATCAACTGGTGGTGTTTACCCTTTTTACCTTTGATTTGACAGCTTTGATCAGAAACTGGCATAAATAAAACATGTAGGACAAACTGCCTCGGGGTAAGAACAACAGAGACAGAAAATCAAAAGAAGTGAGACAAATGAGAGCATATGCAACTCATGCAAGAACCTCAGCATGAGGCTTACCTGTTGTTTCTCTCTGGCCAGACACTCTTTGTCCCAGCGCTGTTGCTCCTGTTTCAGCTTCATATGGAGTTTCTGCACCTCATCCACCTCTTCTTTCTTCCTCTCTAAACCCTTCTTTTCTACTTCCTCTTTCTTCTTATCCATACTCCTCTGCTTCTCCTGCTCCTGGGTAACAACAGAAACCGGTTCAATATTTTCACACAGAGACAACTGAATTCTAGTCTAACTACCTCAAAACACTGACAGGTTGGTATGGGCTTGTATGCACAGTAGGAAATATATTTACTCTAACATGAATATCATGTGACAGATACCTGACTGCTCTGGAGGGAAGTGAGTGTTCGGAGTTGAGGTCTTTCTCCCTCCTGGAGAAGGAGTTTCTGGACTTCATGGCAGCTGTCTTGGAGGGTTACGGCAGCCTGCCAACACAGGGAGGAAACACCTGAACACCTTATTGAATCTGAATCCTTTTAAATCCCTTATAAAATGTATAAAAAAAATTATCTTTCTGTGCTATTTTAAGTAATAAATAAAGAAGAAAAATTTTCTAGATAGATTACATATTTGCTCTTGAGCCAGTGTTTTGTTTTTTAATAATATAATGTAATAAATAAAGAGAGAAAAGATAAAAGATTCCATAAGTGGTCTACCATGGTTTTTGAATAGGATCCAAAATGGATGCATCTGTCAGAACCTGACCCAAGTCATATTTAATACCATTTTGCATTTATACACAGAATACCTAATAATCAATGTTAATGCTTAATGTGTGCATTCAGCCACAGACACTGAAACCTACTGACCTGCAGACTATACAGAAGCTGAGTCAGACTCTGGACGCTCTCTGCCACCTACAGAAAATTGTGTTATTACAGGGGAACAGTAATGCATATTTACTTCATAAACAAACATTGCTCATGGGGAAATACAATTGTTGAACCTTTAACAGTGTCCCTTTGTTGTCTCCTCTTCTCAGCTCAATAGCGGAACTCCACAACACGCTATCCAGCCCTGTTAGCTCGCTGTCTGATCCAAGAGAAGTGGAGCTCATACTGAGCGTGCTCAGATAATCTGCTGTAGCAACAAGAAGAGAAGAAAGGTCCAAGTAAATGTCACTGCTTGGCCTGCACATATTAATTTGATTCACCCACATTGGTCAAGTAGTATGTGGGAAGCGAGGTCAACTTAAGGACAAACTTAATTACAGGGTATATCTGTGACTCACGTTCAGAGGGAGACTCCTGGATGCTGCTGCCGTGACTGTTGTAGCTGCAGCCCTCTGGTCCTCGGACAGGAGAGCTCTGATTTTGTACAGAAAGGCCATCACGAGCCTGCAGAAGTGCGATCAGGTTCTCTGCTGCAGAGGAAGCAGATATCTGTCAAAACTTGTTATTATTCCGTCTGTTTTCCAAATGCCAACCATGGCAACAAGATAAACCTGCATTATAAAGAATCCCCTTTGGTAAATTAGTAATATAAGTAATATTATTGAAATGTATAATTTAACACACAACTGTAATTAAAATAAAAGGTTCAATATGTATTTGTTCAAATGCAGTGCTGATGTGCTGAGGGATTTCCTCTTATTTTGGCTAATTAGTGCTCAGGTTGAGATTGGGCTAAGCTATGTAAGGAAGTCACCAAAGAAGAATGATAAAGGTGCAGGTTGGCCAGACCCAATAGACATTTTTTATAGCAGACAAGCAGACATTTTGTCTTTGTTCTAGCAGGAAAAACCGCAACAGCCTTTGCACATGGGGCACCAGCTCTACCAGGTCAGCTACTAGGGCACCCCCGCATCATTTATATATGCATCCCAGGAAGCCATGCATTAGTATTCATTCAAAAAAACAAGGACCTGAAAATGGCAAAACTAAAAAGGATGCAGCCATTTTTAATGGCTAATCATAGCTGTCCTTTTTCTGACATATCAAAATGTCTGCTGTGAAAATTGTCTACAGGTGCAACAAAACTAACTGGAGAGTGAGGGAGGTGTCAATAAAGCATTGTCTGCACACAACAGCAAAACAAACTGCAAAACAGTCTTGAGTATTGAAAATACCAGTATTGGTGTACTGTGGCTATGTACCAAGGATTTAAAGAGATAGATACAATCTGTTTAAGATTAATAAAAACGTATGCAGGTGTAAAAACAGGGTTTCCTTCTAAAGAATCTTGCTTAGAGACCCATTTCAGCGAGGGGTCAGCTCTGTGCATAAAATGCTATAGTGTTAGATGAGATGTTTGGTACAGTGTTTTCCATATACTATAGATTTTATTTCACAGAGTCAAAGTCTGCTATTCATGTTCATGTTTTAATGTAACTTAATCACTAGTCATCATCATTAACCATCATTAGACTTGTGAAATATGTCCTTGTACTGATGCATTAATGCAGCGGCATGCAGCCCACACCATTTAGTAGCCATACAGCAGCTTTTCTACCTTCTCTGAGTGCAGCAGTGAGCAGTGAGGAAGCCTGTCTTGGTGTCTCATTGTCAGTGTCTGGTTGTACCAGCAGATGGCGATGTGATACAGATTCTGGTGAGCGGAGGGTTAACTCTGTAAGCTCGGCGTAAAGCTGCAGCTTCTCCTCCAGGCTGTTGCAGATTTGCTGGTCCTGACCCAACAGTGTCTCTACATAAAACAAACACTAAGATTAGGACTGCTTGTTGTTTATGCGACGTTTCAGCTAACAGATCAAATGTGCAAGTGGACACACAAATGTTATCTTGCCTTGGAACTTGGTGATCTTCTGAACTCTCACTTCTGCTGCTCGCCTGGCCTCCTCTGTCTCAGCATTTCGCTCCTCCTCCTCTTCTTCCTCAGGACAACTGTAGAGGTAGAGTAGTTTAGATAATTAGTAACACACATGTATACACAGCCTGGTTAGTGCGTGCACACGGATTCGGATTAGAAGCTCTGACATAATAAACACTGACAAACACTGTAGACTTCACACGCACAAACACAGACAGACACACACACACACACACACACACACACACACACACACACACACACACACACCTTTCTACAGCTTGACGTATGTGTCTCATCCATGCATTCCTCTCATCTCTGGTGGTTGTGTGAACTTCATACATCTCTGGTCCCACTGAGGAGGCCGAGATGAGGAACATCCCTCTCTCCTCGTTAGCTACTTCTCTAACAATGAGTTTCTGCAGAGGGATCACAGGAGGCTTCTGGTCCTGAAAAAGCAGATAAAAGCCGTGAAGATGGGCTAAATGATGGCGAGACATAGACAGACAGCTGGACAAGGTTTCTCTGACTTCAAAGGCTTACCACAGCAGCAAATATAAAGCGTTGATCTTTCTCTTGTAGGAAAACCAGAACGTCTGTGAGCAGAAGAGCCAGCGTATCTGAAACGAAGAGTAGAATTAAATGTAGATTGGTTGTCTGTTGAACGCAAAAGATCTTGTGGCACAGATGATCTCATACACACCTTTTAGACGTCCAGTGGCAGTCTTCCAGTAGACCAGCCCCTTATGCTGCAGATCCCTGTGTTTGCTATGCAGGTCCTGTTTGCGAAACACCTTGCCATTCTTTAGCTTGGCAAAACTCTTGTTCTCCAGCCGTGCCAGCACTTCCTGCAGCTCCTGACACTTCTCATACTTATTCACAGTAAGGTCCACTGCAGCAATTATGTCACGGATCTGAGCCAGGGCACTTGATAGGTCAGAGTGTTCCTGACTTCCTTCTGTGTGGGACGGGAAGGGGTAAAAGAGAGGTCACATTAAAATAATGTTTAAGCCTGTATGAAACACTGTTTTTCAATTAGACAGCCTGCAAAGTAAAAATAAGTTAAGTAATTTGAGGACATTTAGGCTCTTTTTATATTCCACACGTCTGCATCCATAGCAGTTTTATACAGATTGGCTTTCTTTATCCATTAACCACTGATTGACTCATGAAAGGTAAATATCATTCTCAAGCATGCTATTAAAAAACATCATCATCTATCGCTAAAAAAAAGATAATACAAAATTGATCATATTCTCATCAGTTTCAGTTAGTATGACACTGACAATGGACACCACCTATTTTTTGTAATCAATATAGCTAGCTGAATAGTAGTACTTTTCTTGGAGTAGTCTGACTTGAAACATGCAATGTTGCAAATATCTGCATCATGTTACCAATTATAGTATAAATATATAAAGTATATATTATAGTATATATGGAGTTTTCTAATGCAGGAACATTAAAATGTCCCTTGTGTTGTCGCTTTCACAGAATATGTGACAGACTTAAGAGTTGCATATATTTGTGATTTTGTTTTGGGCACAGTAGAGCTGACATACCCTGAGTGTACAGTAATATCCTCTCCAATAGCACTGGGTACTTGGTGATCCGCTGAGTGACCAGCAGGATGAATTCTGGCACCTCTCTCCGTCTGACCAGAGAGTTATTGCTCTGTTGCTGTTGCAGAGAGGGAAACACCAAAATGAGTACCTCTCCAATCAAGACCTTTTACTGTAAAACCCTTATTTAAAAAGCTTATTTTGGAGCTGAAAGAAGCTTACTTTGACAAAGTTTTGGAGTTTTTTGTTTTGTTGCTGTAGCTCTTTGAAGACATTGACGGCCTCTGTGTGATGGCTGCAGAACTCTCCGTACACCTGCTTCATCTTCTCAGCATTTTCATCTGAGAACTGAGAAAGAGGCCATAAGAGACTGACTATAGACATGTATCTGTGTGTGTTTATGTGCACGAATGCATCTTCACCAACCTGCTGAAGCAGTACATCTCCAATCTGACGGATGAAGTAATTCCGGGGGTTCTCAGGTTGGGTTGCGGCCTGCCGGCATTCCTGCAGCGCCCCAAAGAGGTTTCTGTGAAAGAGCAGCAGGGAGTCCAAACAGGGGAAGATCCGGGCCACACAGTCCCAGTCCAGCTGCAGCTCCTCCAGCATGCCTCTCCTGAACACCTCCGACATGACCGTCAGGGTTTGGATGTGGTGCAGCTCTGTCTGCATCAGCTCTACATGGGGCAGTAAGAGTGCATTGTGGGTAGTGAAATAAATGTGCATGTTTATAGGTGCAGATGGCTGAAATTATTATTAATTAAACCTCCGTGGGCAATGGGATTACTCTGGCAAAATAATGCTTGGCTGAACCAAACCGCAAGGGATAAAAGTGGCTAAATAATTGTTTCAGTAACTAATTTCAACAAATTCCTCCAAGAAAGGACATTTGTGTAATAAATCTTTTTGTGGGTTCCCAACTTGGCAGTTTTCACAGTATACACCGTTTTTGTGTATGTTTACCAGCTTTTTAAGTAATTTAAATCAAGCCCAAATCAAGTCTGCTTCTCTCCCAGTGAGTAACCTTGATGAAGTGTGATTCATTTGGATGCACCCACTGAGGTCTGACATGCTCATAAAAAATACTGTATGTAAGAAGAAATGTCCCACCATAAATAACATCCTGACGTTTAATTGTGCGCCTGTCGTGTTGCCTGCAAAACTCCGGACTAACTGCCAGACTCCATGACTCCACCTCAAGTCCCAGCAGGTCAGCTGACAGGTCGCTCAGTAGAGAAGCATCAACAGCATCTGCAAGAACAGTAAAGTATTTTTCTACAGTCTACAGCAATATTCTATGTTATGTTATTTTATGTTATGTAGGAGTGACAGTGCGCAGGCTGTGATGTAAGCTCGTCTTCCTCACCCTGTGTGGTGATCGGCGGCTCGGTTGACGGAGGAATCGCTGTGACAGGTGTTCCCTCATCAGACAATGAGCTGTTGGTGCAAGCTGTCACACTGCACTCACTGTCCGCCCCTGCTGCATCACTCAGCCGTCTGTACAGGAGCAAAGCAAGTCAGATCTGAACATGGGAGTTCAGCATTTATTTGGAGACTGAAGTCACATTTTGCTGATATTTTATGCCAATATTCAAGATCTCATTGTTTTCAATTATACAGTGTTTTCCTGGAAATTTATAGATATGAAATCAGTTTTGGTTAATAATAAATGTAAAGAATAAAACAGACTGTAGTGTTACAGATGTTTTTATAGTGGTGATCATATAGCAAATTCAAATATCGTTCTGATGTATTGGTTGATGAAAAGCAGGAACACTTCCATTCTACCTGCTGTCTATAGAGATAGAGAGGCTTTTGGAGAGAGGGGCGACTGTTTCTCTCTTCTCTCTGGTCATCGTCGGAAGTGAAGAGGAGGAGGAGGAGGAGAAAATGGAGGCTGGAGAGTTGTCTTTCACAGAGTCTGGAGGAGAGACCAGGAGTAACTGGATTATAACGCTGCGAGGAGGTCTGCATTTGTTATTTTTCATTGTTTAACTGGGCATGCAGCCCACAGTTGTGACAATATGTTGTAGTAATTAAAGATGATTGTGTTTGACCTTGACACCTTTGTCAGACATCAAACATTCAGTGAAGACACAGAGCTTCACATTAAGAAATAAAATGATCCTGTCAGTGCAAGAGAAACACCCAACCTCTGTGCTCATGCATGAACACACACATAAACACAATCCAGGCCAGATCCCCCACTGAGACAGATTAAAATTTAACTTTTTTTTAGCAGGGAAAGAAAAACAGGGAAGAGGGGAGAGTGGGGGGGTGAGGAGCAATGACTTTCTTAATCCACTACAGGAAAAACAAGGGAGGACAGGTAAAAAACATAATCAAAGACCAAGGGAGGACGCTATGGGAGTGGGTGGGGGGGAGGCCATAATTTCTGACTCACTCTGTGGGAGAGACAAGGTCTTGCTTTTCATCAGCACTGCATTCCTCTCCTGTGGCTTCTGAAGAAACACATAATCATATTAACATCAGCAGCTGTAAATCATCATTTTTGTGCTTTAAATATCAGGTTGTTGTGGTAGTAACATAGCAACAACAAATTCAGTCAATACTGGAGTCAGTTTATGTCTACAAAAAAACATGAAAGAAACCCCCCCCACAACTCTTGTAATACATCATCAGTTTGCAATGTCCGACACATTCCAGGAGTTCCTTTGTCACCAAGTGTTGGAATCTACTCTTCCTGTTGTACCAGCTTCCTCACCGCCTGCCTCTACTTCAGTGGCTGATTTATTTCTTTTTTTGGCATTTTGCCTTTATTAGACAGGACAGCAGACTGTGACAGGAAACACAGAGAGCTAATCTGTGTTGCTAATGCTTATAATGGTAGATGCTACATTTCCCATAATGGCATCTACAGAATCTTTTTGTTAGACCTCAAGCAGAGATACCCATTATTTTCTCACACTTGACAAATCTTCTTCAAAGCCACAAAAGACATTATCCACCTGTGTGAGTAGTTCTAACCGTTACAAGTAAGCTGAACTATATGTGTAAAATTGGTGGAATGCCCCTTTAATGGTAGAAAACTGTCATGTCAAAATTTTAATATAGGCCCAAGTCTGACTCCTCCCTCTAACAATTTGATGAGATGAATTGAGGTGCGTGGTGTCAGTGGTTACCTTTCCACAGGCTGCGACAGACTCTCTGCAGTTTTTATGGACATTCAGGAAACAGTCTACAGACAAAGGCAGATGAGATCCAATTTAATTTCATCAGTTAACCATTAATAAACAAATTTACCACATCTCTGGACTCAGTGTCCAGATGGCTGTCAAACTTCCCTGCTCCTCGTGATCGATGTTGACTTTGTGAGAGGAAGAAAACTGACTTCATGTCTTCTGTTAAACAAAACATCAAGGCAGCACGTGCGAAGAGATTTACACGAACCCTAAACAGACCAGCCACTACAGACATAAAACAACAACAGTACTGACAGTGCAGTACTTACTGGAGCACTGCAACAGCTCCTTCCCAGAAACAGACTTATCACAGGCCACACAGAGAGCGGGACCAGATGGAGACACGGGAACAAACTGGTGTCCATTAGTGGCTCCGGACTTCTCCTTTCCCTCCTTCACCTCTTTCCCCTTCACCTGAAGCACAAGTCATAAATATTTTAAACTCGCTCATTCAGCTGACATTTACAGCAGTCAATGCCACAATATCATGTAAACCACCAAAGTAGAAATAACATGACACCGAGCAGCAGCAGAAAGAGGCGTACAGCGGTCATCTTCCTGCTGAACACACCTGTTAAAGTGGAGTTAGTTGAGATAGAGGGGCCCCTGAGTGAGCTTTTTTGTTTACTTTGTTAAGGTCCATGGAGACTGGCTGCTGTTGTGGTGCTTCATCCTTAGGGAGACATTAGGGGGATTCCTATCTGTATGTGTGTGATAGTACATTGTTTATTTTCTTATCAAAGTTTACAAGGAAGTCTAAGAGTGCATGTTTGTTATTTGACTGTTCATGTGCATCGTGCGCCTGTACATACATAGAAACATGTTCTTGAACACATTCACTTGTGTTTATAAGATTGAGAATATACTATGGAATGTGTTTTGGTTCCTCATGCTGTGTGGAGGGGGTCTACGCATTATGTAAGAGGATATTTTCACTGTGTCCCGTTGCTAAGACTTGAGGAGAGGGAATTTTCTCCCTCACCAAATAAAGGCACCAGGCATAGACAAAAGCTCCCCAGCACAGGAATCCTGACCTGGCCCGTCTGAGAGGTGGTAAACCTTTAACTGCGCTACTTTGGGAGGCCTTTCAGCTCTGACATTTTATATATATATATATATATATATATATATATATATATATATATATAAATTCAACAATAGGGATTACTATAATCATGTTTTAAACACACGTAGGTGAAATCTTAGCCAGCAGGAATCATATTTTTCTCTTTGTGGCCTCACCTTGGTCTTGTTGCGAGTGCTGGACATCCTGTTCTTGAGGAAGCTGAAGGTCCGGCTGACTTTGTACTTCTCTGACTCGACCTTAGACGGTATTATGTATTTGTCCCACTCCTCATCCTCGATCCTGTTTCAGTTTGAACATTTCAGTCAACGGTGATCACTTCAACTTCTACCATTATTTTGGCCTGTGGAAGACTGCAGCATTCAAGCCCAACATGCACACTCCTTATAAAACTAATCATTATTTGAGTACTTTTATTATTCTAAGAAGAGTTGGATAATAAGGCACATTGGTGTCATGCTGGAATGAAAGAATGTCCAGACAGTCTTCCAGGACCCCTGGTCTACAGACTATTACTCTTAACAACATGCTTGGCATGCTTGGAAGTCACTATGGACTCTAGTGGATGCTATTTATAGTGTGACCTTGGCAAGATGCAATTAATAATGTGTCAACTATTGACAGCAATGTATGCTAGTTACATTACACATTCTAGGTGAAAGGCAACAATGACAGAACGTAAAAGAAACATGCAATGTCACATCAAACCTATACTGTAATCGGACATAAAAAAGTGTTAATACAGTCTGCTTCTGAGGATTCATTATTAAATCGACTGCAACGAATCCATGTGGTTAATGGAGGAGTTGGGGGAATGGTTTTACAACAGCGGTTAGAATGAGTTAAGCTACACATGCATGGCCATGAGGCCATTTTGGTGAAAACATACTCTTTGAGGAACTCTGTGAGGGTGAGATGTTGGAGTGATGCGCTGCTCTCCTCTTCTGCTGACTGGGCCCGCTTACGGAAACCCAAAACCCTGCGTGGATATAACACACCTCAGACCAGATTGTTGTGTTTCAGCTCATCAGGAGACTCAAAATGTTAATCATATGATCATCTGAGATTAGAGTCTACACACAGTTTCTGGGCCTAATAAAGTGTGCATGGAAAAGAAAGATGACCACAGGTTTTACATGTGAATATTCAAATGGATGTTTGTGCTACAGGCTGTTTTAGCAACATCCACATTCTGGTAACGCTGGATGGATAATGATTGTGAGGGACAAAAATGAGTCAGATCAGGCTGGTGTTGTAAATATTGTAGTATTAATATGCTTTATTATAATACAACAATCTGATGATCTAATATGATAATCTAATTGCCTAATATGATCTTCTAAAATGTTTCCTCTGTTAGCAATGCATGGTTATTGGCAAACAAAATGTATTAGCACATGATAAATTTATGAGACAGTGAGATGAAATCAGCTGTAAGATGGATATGGATTGTGGCATTTACGAAATGAAAGAAGATAAGCAGAATTTGCCACATGGTAGGATTGTAAAGCAAATGTTAATTCAGTACAGCTAGTCTATATTGACTACAGTATGTACATACTACAAATTCAGTATCATTGATGTAGTCTAGACATTATCTGAATGTTTCTAAGGTCTGGAGTCCAGGAAAGTTTTGCTGTTTACTCAGGGTTATTTTGAGGTTGCAATCAGAGCGTATTCTGGCCCTTGCCTTATGACAGGAAGTATGTCACATCCTGCACACTCAGACCCCAACCACAGGTTTTATACTGAAGATACTCATACACATGCAAACCGCACACATACACACATGTAGGCACATCTGAGCCAATGTCTAACCGCTGGTCAACACAGATGACTAAAAAGGGAGGAAGAGTTGAATGTATTGCTCCTGAGCTCATGAAATGACACATTGGTTTTACCTCTTTTCTCTGGGAGTCTCTGACAGGCTGAAGGCTCTCTGCTCTGTAAGGTAGAGAAACAAGGACAGGCAAATGAGTAAGCCAGAAATATGTGCCAATAAAAGCGAAGACATTATTATAGATTCTGAGTGAATCAGCCGAGGGTGTTAAAAACCATCATCCCCAATCAGAATTGAGTTAGAAGCAAATACAAGAGTCCCTGAAACAATCTGGATCCAGCAAACCCCCACCGAAAAAGAACAAACAAAGCACAAGAGTTTTGCCTTGAAAAACCAGATGACACCGAAGATGGAAAATCAAAACCAAGAGGGAAACAAAGTATGTACCAAAATGGAAGCAAAACAGAACCCTCAGAGTAGAAACAACTCCTCCCTCCGATGATCTATAAAAGTTAAGTAGAGAGTATTTTCCAAAGATTCAGACCTCCACTTGTCAGTCATTATTAAAATGAATAGAGGTTGGATTACTATTGTTTTATTACTAAGAAAAAAGGCTTGACGTCAAGCTCTGGAGAAAATCTGCTCTTGATCTCCCAGCAATTCAAAATAACAATCAATATGTTCTTCTCCGAGACAGTGGTTTGTGCATTGCACATTATGAGTGCCGCACTCACCACCAAATACAAAGCCACATATATAGGGGTGCACAATTTGGGCCACAATGAGAAACATCAGTGTTTTGCAAAACTGTGTGATCAAAATATTTAGATAAATCATTTAACAGCAAAACATGCAGCAAAATGATTTAGTTTCTTCCTAAAACATGACATTTTCAATTATTCTACTCCAGTTTTACCATGTTGTATACAAATACTTTTAAATAACACTGGGTTGTGAAAAGTTTAAACATACCAGATATGCCCTTTAATTGTGCAGCTCTTGATAATCACCAATTTATCCCGCAGTTCACCAGAAAGAGCAGAAACACACCCTGAAATGTAGTCACCGATCAATCAGCAGTGTATAAGGTTGCTGTTTGACGCATGTTCTTGTACTTACTAACTTGGTTGAGACGAGAGAGGGATTTACAGAGAGATAAAGCTTGAAGTAGAGAACGACTGCCGCTGCTGAATGCACCATCTACACGGGACAAAGCACGGCCTTAATGCTGCGCACTCGCATGTACTCATAAATACACGTGAGTGGCGAAGCTGTATCAAAGCATAGCTGACACTCAACACGCAAACACTTTATAAAAGGTTCAATTGATTTATGACACCTGTCCAGTCTGCCCCCTGTTAGGACATGTGGCACATGTGTCCATTCAGCTGACTCCTGGGAACAGAAAGGTCACAGGGCAAAGGGGTCAAAGTTCACTCACCTTCTGCCAGGTCAGTGATGGCTGCGTCTCGGTTTAGCAGCGGCCGTGACGGCTTTGCCTTGGGGGAGGAGTAGGAGTAAGAGCGCATACGAACCTCGGCTTCCTCTGGGTTCTGGGTGAGAAAGCAGATCAGAAGGAAGGGATCAGACGGAGCTGTAAGATCTAACAGATCTACTCCATATATCTGACTTTTTGTTTACCTTATTGCACTTTTGACGGTCTGGACTATCAACTGGTGACTGTCTGTATGACATGCTGTGAATGTTTTAGTGCTTTAAGTTGCACTTTCTGTATGGCATAAGTTTTTTGTGTTTTTTTATGCTTGTAATATATTTTTAGGATAAAAACAAACGTTTTAAAGTTTTAACTAAGAATTGAACACAAGATTGATAAATGTGTGTTCAGTACATCATGTCAGTGGAAACAGACTCTACATAGGTGATCTGCTTATCTGTCAACTTTTAAATCTCTTATCTAAAGGCCAATAATATATAGAGACCGTGTTTTTATCTTAATAATAAAGGCATGAGAAAACCAGGAAGAATTCTGACTATGGCCACAGATGAATCCACATACTGTGCATGGAGAAAAACACTGCTGCTGGTTATTTAATACATTTCTAATCAGGATGTACCTTGGTGGATTGGTGCGTGCTGTCTGAGTGTGTTCGGTTGAAGTCTGGCGACGTGTCAAAAGAGTCCCTCTCCTCTCCTGAGCTGGATCGCAGGAAGGACTGCTGCTTTAAAGATGAGCAAGGGTACGAATGTCCCAGTATGTCCTCTTCTCCACTGTCACACTCAAGACTTGGACTATTTACACACAAACACACACATACAAAAGCATAGATGTAAATGCACAAAATTCAGTGAACTGTCAGTCCACATTAAGCTGGACTTAAAAAAATAAAATCCTGCTGGCTGTCAAAAAGTCTAGGAGTTGAGACTACAGTTGAAGACAACAAGAGATTCAATTCAGATTCCTCTCTTAAAAATCCACCCAGCCCCAACATTATCATGATGTCTCTGAGTGGCCTGTAACTTAATTGGGGATAAGATGCTGACTCTGTGTCCATGATTACCACAGATAAGCGCAGATGGCCTGGATCTTAAAAATCACCATGGACAGTCATCATGGCAAATCCAGGCAATATTCAGGCTTTAAACTGTGAAACATTTTGCCGGCTCCAGTGCTCGCAAAGAAGATCCTGCAGCACTGAGGAAACTGGAAGGAATGTTCAGCAACTTCAACACACAAACAGCTCAATTGTGTCCAGGCTTCCTGTCACTTTCCGCACCTTCACGGACAATATCGCTGCACAAAATGTGCAATGCTGTGAAATGCTTTTGCTGAAATTCCAAACAGATGATGCTTGATTGTCCTAGTATGCATTAGTCACAGGAATGTTTCTTATCAAGATCACACAACAAGTTTCTAAATCTGTGCACTGATTTTATTTTTCCAAAAACTCAAGGAATTAAGTTTGCAATGATGCAGAGTGTTTGTTGTCTCACTTTAACATAAAAACCTCAACCAGCCATATTAAAAGTTAATTAAATATAATACTTCACAATATGTATGCCTTTGATTTTTTATTCAATAATTAACATTAACAGTGTCCTACCTCAGGCCCCGACTCGACTCTGTCAAGCTGCATCCTCTACGATTCAAAGCAGGAGAAACTGGCAGGCACTGCTGCGTCTGACGCCTCTGTGTTCCCTCGAACAATCGGAACGGGGAAGCCAGCGGGGAGGAAGGAAAAGACGGGGAGGAAGCAAAGGGAGAGGGGGGAGAAACACGCTCTCTGTGATTCTCCCGGCCGGGGCCCTGAAGTCCTCTCTCGCCATTATGGGGTGAGGATGGGTGCCAGTTCTGCGAGCAGTTCTTTGAATCAGGGGGAGTCAGGGAGAAGGATTCCCAGCATGGGCTGCCAATGTGGGCCACGGGGCTTACCTCCTCCTCCCCTGGAGAGCGGTATTTAATGTCAGCGTCATCCACCTGGAACAGACAAGTCAAGGGAATGAGAAGGAACCTTTCCACAGGCTGATTTGTAGCTGCTGTAATGGAACATTTTACATCATATGAGCCAAGTCTGCTTTTAGTTTAATGTTTTAAACTATGTAACTGATTTACACAGAATATTTTACTTACACTGAATAGAAAGAAAGACTAATTTCCGACTCACCTGGTCCACCAGCATGGTGTTGGCGTACACTCGGTCTTTGCCATGTATCATCGCTGACAGTCTGGCAGCTGCAGCCAGAGTCGGTGAAGAGGCCTGGCTCTCCCTTATGGACTGGCTTTTCTCTACATGGTGAAGGGGGCATAAAGAGAGAGAGAGACAGAGAGAGAAAGAAAGAAAGAGGGGGGATTTTTCAATATTACATTTGGTTTCCACAGCAACACCAAATAATTCACAAACACAGGAAGTGACATAGACATCCTGGGCAGTTGCATATCATTGTTCAGGACCAAGAGTCTCTGTATGTGTATGTGTGTGTGTGTGTGTGTGTGTGTGTGTGTGTGTGTGTGTGTGTGTGTGTGTGTGTGTGTGTCACACGTGAATGGGTGTGCTTGAAGTCGTGAGTGGGCATCTGTAGGCATGTTTCTTCCCCACCCTGCCTTCGATACAGCGGTTGAGTGGAAATAACTCCTGGTGAGCACACAGTAGCATTGAGAGGAACCCTTTCAACACAGTAGAGTCACTGTGAGCAGTAGCCTGGCTTTGCTGTTAACAGAGGAAAACACCCCTGCTCTCAAAACACACACACAGCTCCCTCTGCGATGTTACTCTGCACAAAACACAGCCTCTCCACAACACAATTTCTTGGAAAATATTTCAGGTTAGAAAACCACCTACAGATATGCACAAAGAGGCTGAAAGGTAATAGTTACAGCGCTTACTACAACAAATCTTTGAGGAGACATATATGCAACGCAGTATTGTTCAAGCTTATTTGCACAACAGGATGAAATATAACTTAAAGATCCCCTCCAGACATGTGTTAAGACATATACAAATAGTCTGTGGAATCCATTATCAGTGTATGTGCGCTGGCAGTTTCAAGTTTCTACATGACACTTTGCAAGTTGCAAATTGGACTCTGGCTCGTAAGACCCTCCCCTTAAAATCTGATTTTCAATGAGCACAGAGAAACTTTCCACTTTCAGCAGATGAATGTGAAAACATCCTTCTAGTGTCAAACTATGCACATACAGCGGGTAAAATAAGTATTGAACACGTCACCATTTTTCTCTTCATATTTCTAAAGGTTATATTGACATGAAATTTTCACCAAGGTCGGTAACAACCCATGCAATCCACACATGCAAAGAAATCAAACCACAGATGTCCATAAATTAAGTTATGTGTAACAATGTGAAATGACACAGGGAAAAAGTATTGAACACATGACGAAAGGGAGATGCAAAAAGGCATGGAAAGCCAAGACACCAGCTGAAATCTATCAGCAATTAGAAAGCAATCCTGCCACTTGTCAGTGCAAATTAATATCAGCTGGTTCAGTCCCAACTAATGGCCTATAAAAAGGTGTCTCATCACCAAGGTGTCACACAAGAAACAGCTCATGATGGGTAAAACCAAAGAGCTCTCTCAAGACCTTTGCAACCTTATTGTTGCAAAACATACTGATGGCATTGGTTACAGAAGGATTTCTAAACTTCTGAATGTTCCAGTGAGCATTGTTGGGGCCATAATCCAGAAGTCGAAAGAACATAATTTCACCTTAAACCGGCCATGACTAGGTGCTCCTCGCAAGATTTCTGACAGAGGAGTGAAAAGAATTATCAGAACAGTTGTCCAAGAGCCAAGGACCACTTGTGGAGAGCTTCAGGAAGACCTGGAATTAACAGGTACAATTGTTTCAAAGAAAACAATAACTTATGCACTCAACCGCCATGGTCTGTATTCACGCTCACCGCGCAAGACTCCATTGCTGAAGGATAAGCATGTTGAAGCGCATTTAAAGTTTGCTGCACAACATTTATTTATTTATATTTATATATATATATATATAGATAGATAGATAGATAGATAGATAGATAGATAGATAGATAGTCTGGTCAGATGAGACCAAAATTCAACTCTTCGGATGCCATAATACACAGCATGTTTGGAGGTCAAATGGCACTGCACATCACCCCAAAAACACCATACCAACAGTGAAGTTTGGAGGTGGAACCATGGTGTGGGGCTGCTTTTCAGCATACAGCACTGGCAAACTTCATATAATTGAAAGAAGGATGAATGGAAAAATGTACAGAGACATTCTTGATAAAAATCTGCTGCCATCTACCAGGATGATGAGGATGAAACGAGGGTGGACATTTCAGCGAGACAATGATCCCAAACACACAGCCAAGGAAACTCTCAATTGCTTTCAGAGAAAGAAAATAAAGCTGCTAGAATGGCCCAGCCAATCACCTGACTTGAATCCAATAGAAAATCTATAGAAAGAATTAAAGATCAGAGTTCATAGAAGAGGTCCACGGAAACTTCAAGATTTGTTTGTGCAGATGAATGGGCCAAAATCACACCTGAGCAATGCATGCAACTAGTTTCTCCATACAGGAGGTGTCTTGAAGCTGTCATTACCAACAAAGGCTTTTGTATGAAGTATTAAATACATTTCAGTAAGTGTGTTCAATGTTTTCCCTGTGTCATTCAATTTTATTACACATAACTTTAATTTCTGAAATTATTTATTTTGGTTTCTTTGCATGTGTGGATTGCATGGGTTGTTACCAAAATCTGGTGAAAATTTCATGACAATAGCACCTTCAGAAATATATTTACTGAGAAAAATGGGGACGCGTTCAATACTTATTTTACCCGCTGTACATCATACTGCACATACATCATACTGCACAGTGAATTTGTGAAGAAAGAAGAAAACACACTAATATACTAAAAGTCCAATTTAACATTAAAAAATGATTTATTTTATGGTCTGCTGTGCACACACTCCAGAACAGCAGCAAAATGGATCTTAAAGGACCAGTGTCAGGGCAACTAACTGAAAACCGATTGCGTCTGTATTTGACGACCTGGGAATGAGAACAGGCTGTGAAGTGTGTATGAGAAACTACAGTGCCCACGAAACTAACGAAAGACCGGAAAGGCTCTATCTACACCAAGTGTTTGTCCTTTCTGAGCTACTGTAGAAACATGGTTGTTCAACATGACAGACTCCATGGAGGGCGACCCGTGGTATCTGTAGATAAAAACGGCTCATTCAAAGGTAACGAAAATGCAACGATTCCTTCATTATATACTAATGAAAACATATTATATTCATTTTCTGCCAATAGATCCTCCCAACAGTTACACACTGGAATATTACAATATGACTCTTTGTCGAAGGCTGTTTCCAAGGTAAAAAATGAACTCAACTTTAAAGCCGACATGGACGAAAAGTTTTATAAATGCTCAGATAAAATGGAAATTTGAACATCTACATTTCCATGGCAAGCTCCGTCTGGCTCAAGAGTAAACTTTAAAACTCAAAGGCTTGAGGTGTTTGTGGCAAATGTATGTGAACTTACTTTTCCAGTGGGTATTACAGTACGAAACAATGTCTGAGTGAGTTATCTGTCCAATCTCACTGCTGAACATTAGCGCAAAATAATCTAGAAAGATATGATCCAATCTAGAAAGATGCCCTTGCTCTATGATTCTGAGGAACTGTCATCAACATTTAAAGCACTGCCATTTATCAGGCTTTCAAATTCCCACCTTAACCAATCAACATCACCAAATTACAAGGAACTTACCCTCCCTGCTACTTATCAATCGACCAACTCCCACTCAGTGGAGCTTCTGAGTAAGCAGAAATAGATTGTGGTTAAATTCAGCTGCTCACGGGTATGATAGCCTTATGCATGTCAAGTCCAGCAACAAAAAGGAGATTTCTCAACCTGAGAAGCATTCCCTGGAAAAACAGAACTTCTAACCACATTAGCAACAGCTCAACTTGTCACTCTAACCAGGAGAGAAAGCCTCATTAGCTCAGTTATATTATTATGTTCCTAATGACAGTCTCACCTTACGCTGGCCAAGCCCTGCCTGCAACAATGCCAAAGGTGTAAATACATGTCGTTGGCACTGTCATTTCCACCTAAACTCCTCAAGCAGATATTAAATCTAGACTTAACAGTCCTCTGTGAAAAAACAAATCCATAGTTTATCCATAGTTTCCAAGCTGCCAGCACCGCAGAGCAGAAGAAGAGAAGTCCAGCATTTGTAGCAGAGAATAAATCAGACCAACAATTGGCTGTGCTTCCTGTAGACGGTGAGTCCAATAAATCTGAGAGCCAACAGGGAGACATTGATGAGGACACCAGATGATCCCTGTTCTATCCACATCAAATGTAAAGACTCAAGCTGAACCACTGCAGGATGTCCAGAGCTCGAACTGCATCATATTTCCCAGAACGTGAATGCGTTGTAAGTTACTACATTCTGATAACAGCAGAAGATGGCACAATATAAGCATTACAACCTGTTTGTCTGTTGGTTAAAAAAAATTCTGTATCATCTTAGTCCTACATGAAAACATTATAATGTGTATGAACCTGAATCCAGATGCATGATACTTGCACAAAGTCACCTTCTACTAGACCTAGACCTTCCAATATGTATCACAGGATTAGTTTTGGACGAATATCAGATCCTTGATGTGGGTCATACCACCGTTTGAAAGCAGACAGTGTTTCATATAAGTCCACTTAAGGAGCTTGACAGACAGGACTAATAGTTAAGGTTCTGGGCCGGGTCCAAAGCCACAGCTGGCTGCCACGGGCCTGATCATTCACACACCTCTGACCCATAAACACCACCTCAGTGAACATTACTGTCAGGCACTGCAATCTGTGTTTAACATTAGTTAACTGGGGGATAACAGAGTAGCATGGAGTTCATATTACTAACAAGTTAGAGCTGCACAAAATCAATCTTTCGGCCAGAGAAGCTATCTTTATCGCTGAGACAGAGGGGGCTGTCTGCAGGTAGCCATTTCAAAGAAGATTTGAAGGAATGCAGAGCAATGTGTGGGGCTATTTCTATAGGATTTTGCTCACAGAAGGCATATTTGGATGTGATGTGATATTCAGAGCATGTCCCTGAGCGAGAGCCAACCCTATACAGTAGCAGCGCCTGGAGCAGCAGCAGAGAGAAAAAGAGAGAGCTTGAGCTTTACAGAGACCCAGACAAAGACCGTAGTCACTGCCAGGTTTCCAGACCAGGGCAGTTAAACAGAGAGAGTGACCCTTCAACCCATGCACACCCCTGGGAGAGAGAGATCGAGGAAGGCAGGATGAGGGGGGGTGGTTGTCACAAGGGCTCTTTCTCAAGATTTTCTCTCGTTGGAGGCTGCTGGTGTGCTGGCAAAACAAAAAGTTCAAGATAAACAGAGCATCATAATTGTTAATTGTGTTAACACTCAGGCTTGTTTATTAGTATTAGTATTAGTATTAATGCCTTATTTGTCCGTGCTGTCCTTTCTTTCATGATGTAAGTTGATTTTGAAGCACCGCACTAAACAACTGTCACTTTGGAGAGAGCTGGGAAAAAATCAGGAGCAGAGTAAAAAAACAAGCAGAGTCTAAAAGAATCACAACAGAGGGTGTTATTACCTCATAAAAGTGGAGAGGTAATTATTCCACTTCAATGTTCATGGAGGGCCGTTTAAATCATTAAAACAATTGTCCACCAAAATCCACAAACCCACTCTGAGTTATGACACCTGCGGTCAAACATCCCAGGCCAAGCATCACATTGTGCATTCTCGCTGTGTTTACATTTGAGTGCGTCACCCGGCCCAAGACATCCAGGAAGATGTAAACCCAGAGTGAGTAGCGATCAGTCGTCAGAGTGAAGAAATAAACTTGTGGCTCCACACACCTGAAATCACATTTCACTTTGCAGGTGCATTGTTACACCAGAGCTGTTTTACTTCAGATTCTGACTTCTGAACATGTCTAAATCCACTTGGACAATATATGGTCGGTTTAAAAAGGTCATATAGCGCCGCTGTTTCTGCTCTGTAGCTGAACAGCACAGACAGGCAGTGTGTATAAAATCTGCAGATGTCAATCTCAATTAAGAAGCAATAACATGGATAATCTTGCAGAGGTTTATGGTGAAAGATGAGGAAAAGAGCGCTGGAGTTGAGCCATGACACAGACATGGCAGTAACTTGATCTTCCTCTGTGTCTCTTGCTCTTGCTCTGTCTCTCTTCCCAAAAAACACACTGACACTTGCACACAAGCAATGAACTGTTTAACTATTCTGGTTGAATTTTGCACTATTTTAAGCATTCACTTCAGCTCTCCCATGACTAATGACGGAGCAACAAACGTGTATGCCAAGTTTAAGCAGCAGAATTAACTTGATTTTAGTTCAGTTTCTCATAAAATTGTCAAACTGTGGCAAACACTGAACTTGACCCCCAGGGACACTTCGGTGACGCCAAAACTGATTATGATTATCAACTGCAGGTCCCTTAATAGAGGTATATGAAGGCACATATTAAGCACCGGGTCTCACTTCATGGATCCCAGCCGTCACATGAGGCCACGACTCCTCAGCAGGGTTCATTCATGTACACAACTGTGTGGCCCAAGGACGTCAAAAAGCCCCACAGCACTCAGTCAGCTTCGAGTAGACATCTGACATTCCCCAACATACTGTCACATATCAGGTTACATCACTGGCAAACAAGCAGTTATCTCACTCTGATTGACTTGCCGCTGCAGAGGAGGCCTGTGAATAAGCATGTGTAATGGGAACAGTCTAATTTTAACTTTATTGTTCCACAGTGAATGGCCAGACGTTTCTGCCATGATGTAGCTATAAGAAAAGAGATGTAACTGAGAAATAGTCTGTGTGTAAACAAGTTGGCCACTTTCTTTCTGAGTCACCCACATGCATCGTATGTCTGTCAAACACTGCAGCAATTAACATAACTTTCTGTAACTCCATTCCAAGAATATTTGACTGTCTGTGAAATTAATCAACCTTTATGGACACTCATACAAAGAAGTCAGTGTGACAGGATTGAAAGACAGTTCTTCTATAAATAAATTAAGATTGCCACATCTATCAATCAGTGTACCACTCAGTGTTACCTTTTTTACCCGTCTTCCTGCGCATCCTCATCTTCGGAAAAGAGGGCCAGGAATAGTTGAACGGAGAATCAGAGTCAGAATCCATGATTTGGTTGGTCTTCAAGAAAATAAATGTATCCAAACAGCTGAAAGTGTTTACAGCGCCTCAGTTTACATCCATTTCCCACTGGCTGAACAGACTGCGGACTAGCTGCAGCGCTCACTCTCCTTTTTCCAGAGACCCACTGTAGACACTCTTGACACTTCAGGAGTGAGCAAGCATGTTCCCCTCTGTCTCCCCCAGCCACCCCTCCCCCTAAAATCCACCCCTTCCCCCTCCACAACTCTGCACCAACTGTCCGACAGAGCCAGGGCCGAACCCCGTCTTCTCCCTCTGCTCCTTCTGTTGACTTTCCTCTCTATCTACCGCTTTTTCCTGTCTATCTAACTGCCCTTCTCAAATTGGTGCCAACCTCTGGGTCTTTCTAGTCTTTCTCTGTCCCCCTCACTCAGTCATCTACCACACACAGCACGGAGGGAGGGAGGGAGGGAGGGAGATCAACACATGCTGACAGGAGCAGAGGGAGGAGTGTATTGACGGCCGGAAAGAGTGACTGAAGGAGGGAGAGAAACAGAAAGAGACAAAGTCAAACATAGGAGGGATTTCAGAACCTACAGCGAAGACAAACATGGGGGCAGACAGCTTAGCACAGTTGAGTCTCAGACATAGGAGAAATCATTAACCCTGTGAGTTCATGATTGTCTCAGAAATATGCCTGGCTGCAGAGGTACACACTCCACACACTCCAAGGTACAAGCCATTCATCCCAAATATGCCTGATGCCACGTCCTAAGTGAGTCCTTCTCTATCACTCCATTCCTCCCTGTGTCTTTCTCTACATTTTAGCATGTCAAAGCCAAGCTGAGGGGGAAAGAGCTTTGGAGCGTGTGTGTGTGTGTGTGTGTGTGTGTGTGTGTGTGGGTGGGTGGGTGGGTGGGTGGGTAGGGGGGGGACTGCCAGGTCAGCAGCCTCACCATGGAGACAGCAGTGAGAGCCGCTGCCGTTTTCTCCTTCCATGCCTCTTTTACCCCCCTTTTCCTTCTCTTGCCAACTTGCAGGAGTACAGTGCTCCATTTGCAGCAGCGAGGATACAAGTGCGTCTGGCTAGAGGTGATAAAAGTGAGAGAATGGGATGGTGAAGGGGGTTTAAGAGACAAATCAGACAATGGCACTCTGGAGAGAGGCCCAACACAGGTTTATAATTGCAGATAAATAAAGGAATGAGATTTTAAAAAAGAGAGAAAAAAGGGGGTGAAAAGGGTTTTGTAGGCAGAATATATGTAGAGGAGGGAAACAGAGGTACACTGAGACTATAGAAAGTAGTTTCTGTGTGTGAGAGGGTGTGTGTGCATGACGAGGGGTGATAGGGGGGTGTTGGCACTGTACTAGTGAACATTAATGCTGCCTTTGTGGGGTCTATGTGAGGTTTTATCCTTTTTTCCGTTCTCCAATTAGATCCCTCAGCCGGGGTCGGAGACTCTTGTTAGCGTTCCTGGCGTTGCACTCATCGTCTGTTGTCACCCTGCCAAACTATCCATATCATAAATCCCTTTCTCCTGCTCTCTCTCTCTCCCTCTCTCTAATCCCCCCCCCCCCCCATTACACACAAACTCTCACACGCGCACACACACACACACACACACACACACACACACACACACACACACACACACACACACACACACACACACACACATCATTCTCACACTGCTCCAATCTCCTCTCCCTGGGGATCTCAACAAGCTGCTGGAAAACTGCATTCAGCAAAGCCCTAGCAACCCCCATTCAGCCACAAACACCCCCTTTTTTTCACTTCCCCATACCCCTTGCCCCCTTCAGAGCACTCTTCCACACTGCATTCTCCCTCCCAAACACACAAGTGCACACAAACTGTACAAACTGTGACAACACACACACACACACCGACCTCCTTCCTTCTTGAGCTGTGGAGAGCAGAGCTCCTCGGGATGAAGTGGCCTTTGCTGTTTGTTCACTAAACTCACATTAAAATGCTGACCTGGGAGGATGTGACCCGGGGGGCAAGGGTGCATGAGTCTATCTGTTTGTGTGTGTGTGTGTGTGTGTGTGTGTGTGTGTGTGTATGTATGTATGTAGGTATTTGGGGGCAACTGTGTGTTTTGGGTGGGGTATTTGAATTTTGGGGGCATTAGAAGGGCATGGGGTGGGGGAAAGAAGAAGGAGGCGGACAGAGGAAAGACAGGGGAGAAATGTGTCATGTTTTTCCTTTAAAAGTTAGAACTATTACACTTATATTGTAAACCTGCTGTGGCAATACTATTTTATTGCAGTCATGCCAATAAAGTTACAGTAATTTGAATTTGAGAAGGGAAAGAGAAGACATCAAGAAGGGGGGAGGACATGACAGCTACGCTCAAAATTCCTCATCCCTTGCTGAAGCTCTGGGTACAGAAGTTATGTGTGTCTGTTCAATGACGCATTAGCTGAAGTCAAGCAGCCATATCACAGGTGATAAAAACAGACTGGAATCCCAATGTGTGCTTCACTTCTTTGTTGAAAAAAAAAAAAAACATGCCGGCCACTTGTATTGCCCGACAGCTCAGGAATGTCTAATGAGGAACTGAAATTCCTCAAGGGTCAAATAAGCATTGTAATCCCGGAAAAAAATTACATGTATAAAACCTGAGTCATTTTCAGTCTGAGCTAGGGTTTTTTTTTTTTAAACTCAAACACAGAATTGAGGGGAAACTTTGCAAAAACAGGATTTGAGTGACCAGTGTTATTCGTCTGAACCACAGAAAGTTTTAAGGGATCGATCGAGGTCACAGGCAGGGAGTCTTCAAAGACTACACAGAAAATATGAAAGCCCTCAACCAGCCAACAAACACACATTCACAAACACGCACATGACACAGAGAGTACAAAATGGCTAAACCATATAGCATGGAAAACAACACCAGCCACAGGAAGTTAAGATTGCAGATGTCCAGTGCCAAGTGTTATAAAGCCTGAAGCCTCAGCATGTAACCGCAGCATTCTTACACTGAGGCATCAGTCTGCTCTGCAGCAATACAAGCCAATTATTAACCCGCAGGATGTTCCCACTCTCAAATCCTTCCCTTCCTGTCCAGAAGCGGATCAGAGTGAAGCCACCTTCAGCCACCTAGTTAGGATTCATTTCTGTCCCCCCTGTCACTGTTGGCAGGAATAGGATGACTCAGGATTTGCTGCATGACGTATTAAAAAGATTCCTTCTCTGTGCCACAATCACTGCAAACACAGAGTGACAAGACACCAAAAAAGTCCAGAGAAGGCGGGGGAGACAGGCAGGGGGCTGAAATGTGATCCTATAGTCCGTGGGGATGGTAGACAGCCATAGTCGAGGATTAGAGTTGAGTTCCAAGTTCTGTTCAGGAAAGGAAATGTTTCCTGCGGTTGGACTGACTTAATGATTAGAAGGTACTTGGATAACTTCCTATGAATATAACACCACCTAAAACAACAGCGATCAATTTCAGTCTGCACAAAACACAATCTACAGCTGAGGAACCCCAAGCTCTAAAATTAAAACCATACCTAAAAACAGGCTTCTGAAAAAGGAAGTTTAAAAATAATTTCAATAAAATCTTTACCAGAGTCAGGCTGAGACGGATCATCCTCTTCCTCCTCCTCATTCAGGCAGAACATCAGCGGCTCCTCATAGTCCTGAGTGAACAAATAGGGAACCTTTCACCAACCAGCAGCAAGACTTTCCCACAAAAACAAGTGGAGCTAAGTACAAAAACACAAGTGTTTGGCGAGTGCCTAGGTGTGTGACAAAGTAAGATCAATTAGGTAACCATCTGTATCACATAAAACAAGTCCTATTGGATGACCAGAATCATGTGCAAACGCCACACCTCTCCACAAAGTCCGCTCACAAAGTCAGCTATTCAGTGGTGCGTGCAAGGTGCCAACTCCAACACCTTAACAATGAGAGTGAAGCAATGTGGAGCACTGAGGGGCAGTCAGTACCTTATTGTAGCTGTGACCGCAGTTTGCCACTGGCTGATGCAGATGTTCATGGAGACTGAATGGAGCTTTGAAAGTTTAAAAATTTGAAAAGCAGGATTTACACCTGTTACTAGGGCAAGTAACTTATGTTTGTATTTGACTCATCAGGTGAAGCTGTTTCAACACTAGTTCTAGAGAGATTTACAGTACGAGTTAAATATATTCTGGTCATGATTTAGACCATAGCTCTTTGTGCATTTGAATAATTATGAGAAAAGCCATGTCCTTCCATTAAATACTCACATTTTCTTCTACAGCAGAAGTTCCTCCATTGATATCAGAGTACAGTGCTGAAAGAAGAGAAAACATACTCAGGCGCAGCCATGCAGCAGCAATTAAACTTCAAAAGAGGCTCAAGTAAGCACAGATGTTTGTCAGTTCTTAACGATGTATGTACCATGTAAGGTCTTATTTTTCTTTTCTTTTCATAACCTGGGGAGATCTTTACCGTGTGGCCTTGATCTCCTTTCTTTTTCATTTAACTACCATGTGCGTCCCAGATCAAAGGACACAATGTATGACTGCTTGACAGAAACAAAGCAGCGACGTGCAGAAATTAGTGTTTGGGTGGTTGAGATATGAGGCCTGGGGTCACATAAAAATATAAAGGCAGGAAATGTAGGAGAGGGAAGTGGCAGCAACCCATAAAGGATATATGTATATAGGAGAGAAAGTTAGAGACTAAAAACATAAATGAGGGAAGCAGAAACAAAAAGCAAAGACATGACAAAGGAGATGTTGTAAATATGTAAGTGAACACTAAACAATCTCTTTTTGTGCCTCAGCATAATACCATAAAACACACAGACAGAGAGAGAGAGACACAAAAATCTTGTGAAAGTCTTGTAAATTTCTTCCTGGTGACTACATTTTTTTTTATTTATACTGAATATTTACTGCTAGTTGCAACATATATAGCTATTAAAATACATAGAAATATAATAACACAATTTATGAATATTTCCTTCAACTCTATGGATTTTCGATTATTTTTTCATCATAAAACATAAATGAATAAGTGATGATTAATCATTTGAGCCATCTCTAAACTGCCTGTTTCAAAACCAAACGTTATAACATTTGAAATTATATAAAGCAAAAGAAAGAAAAAAGAACCACCAAATATCAATCAACTACTTGATGAATCAGTTTTCGCACTACATTTAAACATAGCTTGTTTGCTCTGCCATTTTGCACACTGTATTATTGCAGTGATTCATACTTTTCAAATTAAAACATTCTATGACTGAAATGTTTGGTTGCTTATAATCATATGACTTTTCACTGCACTCTTAATCAAATACACACAATATACTAGAATGCTCTTTGATGCTAAGCAGAGCACACATAAGACTTTAACAACAAAAACACTTGTATCCTCTGTTGAAACTTTATACTACACAAGTTTCATCGGCTCTCTTCCCTACCTTAATTTGTTTTGCACAGACTTGCAATACCTTAGAACGCCACAGGAGGGCAGTCAATGTCTATTAATACTGTGGCCTGATTCAAGCAGTATCTAGCCTCATAAACCACTAGAACAAAAAAAAATGGCAGACCGCTGCAACATAAAAGAGAGGAGTTAAGTTTAACCCGGCCTCTCAAATCCCACAAAGCAGACAGATTGAAGAGGGTATGATACCGTTCTCTGTAGGATCATCCACCAGTTCTTCCTTCTCTAAGATGGTTTCTACGCGTTCCCTCCTTAGAGCTTTGATCTGTTGGAGGAAAGGTAGTATAAGATGATGCAGTAAACCTAGATATATAGACCGGAGAGGGACTGATTTTGACTTCACGCTTTCATCATACTTTATATGTAAAATTACAACTATAAACATGTATGTCTGTTCAGTCATCATATCATATATACATATTATTATTGTATTATTATAAATATTGATCATTATATACTGTTATTATATAGTTATTAACAATAACACTACCATCATGTCATCAGTACTATTACCACCATCTTGCAACTACAACTCTTTGCACCTTACCTATCTATTTTTTTTTTTTAATCTTTTCTATCTAAGTATTTTATTCTATTGTTGTATTTTATTGTATTTTAATGTACCTATCTATCTATCTATCTATCTATCTATCTATCTATACTTACTATAATTTCCAACTTATTTTGATGGTATTTCTAGGTACATTAGTTGCCGCTTGTGTAAGGTCCCTCAGGAGAGGCACAATCATTCATTTTGAGTATCTAGCAGAAGTTTTTATCTGCTGATGCATATCTGCTCTGTAGTGTTGTTCTGTTATAATCCTGTGTTTACATACCTTTACCAGCAGCAGACAACACTGATAACCTAGACTCACCTCTCTGAGGAAGTCCTCATCTCTGAGCCGGTCTCTGAGAAGCAGGATGTCAGCGTGCCGGCTCTCCTCTGAGCTCCACCTCAGGTTTTGTCTGACGGTCAGAGTCAGGTTCCCGGTGTCATGACAGAACCTCAGCAAGCGGGACTGGTCTGCCCACACCTGGGACAGACCTGCTGGAGGCGTTGCTAGTGGGTTTGGCGGGCTGCAGCACAACAGGTAGGTTATTTTAATTTGAAAATCACAAAAATCAAACAAAAATCAAAACATTAGGGTTAATATTGAGTTCTGTTCTGTTTTTATCATTGAAAATGTGTCTAGAAAGACTTTCCAAGCCATTAGGATATTTAAATACATTTCTAAAAGCACTCTCACTCAGTCCAGATGATGATCTTCTAGTTTTTCAGGCCGAGTTAACAGGCCTATAAAGCTGTGCCAAAGATTTATGGATCCAGATTGAGCACAAAACATTCCTAAATTTGACAGGTAACAACAGGTGTTTAGCATTTTATCTGTTCATAAAATGCCCTTCAACCAGTATATTTACAGTATTTTAGAGATCTAAAGAATGCAAATTATCTGGGGTAATGGCTGGGTGGTATGGTGGTGCAGTTTCTGGGTTTGAACCTGCTGAGGCCTTTCTGTGTGGACCTTTCATGTACGCCCTACCTGCATGGGTTTTCTCCGGGTGCTCCGGGATTAAATCCTACAGTCCAAAGACATGTAGGTTAGGTTAATTGCCCGTAGATGTGACTGTGAACATGAATGGCTGCCTGTCTCTATGTCTCAGCCAGCCCCAGTGATTGACTGGCGACTTGGTCTACCCTGCCTCTTGCCCAATGTCAGCTGGGATCCACTCCAGCCCCCTGTGACCCTCTAGAAATGATAACTGGGTACAGCCAATGCATGGGGTAACAGCTAGGGTAAAACTCTTGTTTCTATATTCGCAGGAAAGCTTTGCCTTACTGTGTGTGGGAAAGCTCTGCACTGAACGCATATTGTTACAGCAAAACAGTGATTCATTTGTCAGTGTTTCTCCCCAGTGTGCCTAGTTGGAGCTGATAATCTTACTGTGTGAGCAGCTCCAGGAGCTCGGTGTTGCCTGTTGCCTGTGCCAGCTGCAGCGGCGTGACTCCCTCTTCGTTTGGCAGACTGACAGCCATCAGACCCCCCGGCTGACAAAGCAGCAGCTCTGCCAGCCGATACAGACCCCATCGCACAGCCAGGTGGAGGGGAGACTCCCTGAGACTGTGCTCTGGAGATGAGGGGAGAAATATAAGAACATGAAAAGGTAGAACTCAGAGACAGCAGAGATAAAAGCATGCAGTGGGATCTAAGACAGCTGCTGAAGGGAAGAGGGAGGTGAGATTAACAGGGAAATGAAAGAATAAGCCAGTGATGGAATGTGAGAAAAAAGGAGGAAACAAACACATCAAGAATCTTTTCTCAATAACAACCTCCCCGTGATAATTAACCTAAATGTCAATGATTGATTTCTTCTCTTGCACAGCACTGGATCCCTCTGCTCTACTGACCCACTTTAAGGGAATAAAAGCTCTTCAACAAAGTGGTGACAGTTTCTTATTCCTGTGCCTGCCACCCAGTGCTGTCCAACAAGATCTGTATCCAGGTAACTGGTCTGCATCAAATCACCTACACTCAGGCGACTGGTAAGCTTGGAAATGTACTGATTTCCCACTGTAGTGTAAATGTATTTTTAAAAATGCAGTATATATTTACTACAATTCAGCTTGATCAAGGGAAAATCGTTAGATCATCTTCAAAGTAACTCCATCAGGATGGACAACATAATAGGGTCTTACAATGATATCGTTACAAGCTCTATGGTCTATACCAATTTAACGTATAACAAGGAGTTTTTAGGGGGTTATGAAACAGTCTCAAATTAATACTGATGCTTCCATATGAAAAAACAAGATCATCAGCGCAAAGATTCCCTATTTATACAGACAAAACGAGGCGGTAAAAACATAGTTTTTGTCCACAGTGGGCGCCAGAATCAACACAAAATGAAAGTTCCTTGTAGCTGCTTTAATAAAATATCTAATGAAGTGTATTTTAGTCAAAGTAACTGTCTACTGCAACCATTGTTCCTGTCTGCTAACACGGTTTTGTTGTTTTTTGGGACATCAAATTAGTCATCAAGGTTTTTATGGCTTTCATCCATAATAATGCAGCATTTGTGACTAATTCACGAGCAATTCAGACTTTGACCACAATAAGTGACAATTATAAAGGCAACTGCAGAAGTGAGTCACATTAACTTGAATAACAATAAGCAGTACAGCTTTCATACAGGTCTAACAGTCACCATTTTCATTACTGAGTTTTCAAGGCAACATGAGGGAACATGCAGAGGAACAAAGAGGCCAGACAGAGGCTGTCTGAATTGATTGTGTCAGTCACACCTCAGCCAACAGGGCAAGAACGTGGCATGGGGAAAAAATCATGGTGAATCACAGGGAAATTTTACTAGCAAAGACACTGGTAATATGGTCTACACTTACAACACTGAATGAAATACCTTTAATGGGATATTATACTTAGCAACTCCATAAGTATAGCCTCAAATATGGATGTAGTTTAACATATTGGGGTTATTGTGGACGTTGTTTCATTATATCTACCTACTCAAAAATTGTATTTCTGTTTTCCATTTACTTTTGTATCGTAGCGGGCTGTAGAAATTGTTAGGAAACATAAGGATGATAAGTAATAAAAGCCCTTTTCACCCACATACTGGAGGGCGATCTATGCTTTGATATACTTCAATTTACTTTTAAGAGATTCATTGTGTTTTATATTCAAATTGTGAATACTTTATTGTAAACAAACAGGACAAGAACATATTTTTACAGATCTAAAAGGCTCCATGCTTTGGCTCTTAAAAATTCACTTCTTCTATTTGTCCGAGAATATTCTGCATCCAAAACCCACCAGGGTGCAGGCCTTGTTGAGCCATAAAGACAGATTTCACAAGATAACACTTTTGCCAGCTGTATATCAAAATGTTGACGCTCATTCTTTCAGAGCTGCACTCAGTCCAGGAAGAACATAATAATTCCAAGTCCCAACAAAGTCTCTATATTTTGTGACTGAATAACAATTTGTTAAGTGTTTCCAGTGCCTTTAAAAATGCAAACTGTACTATAAACAAACAGTAACCACCAAAGGCAAGTTGGGGATGAATAATTCAGTCGCATACAGCATCAGCAATAGGGTGATGTCATAAGCACAGTTATCAAATTAACTGCAGACATTTAGAGGGAGACGCTGCAATGAAACAGACAGCCATAACTATATTAACGCTAAATCTAGTTTGTTATTTATGTAGGTGGCCCTACACAAACACTAAGATCGTACAAACAGATGGTGGCATCTAGTAAATATGGTGGTCAGCACACACACACACATACACACCCTCAGATTTACTGAGCTCTGCCTAAGGCTACTTCCAGATGGAAAGGCACTATTAACCACATTACATGCTGCTTAATTGGCTTTGATGAATTCAGCAGAAGCTCACATGTGATCATGTTCACTTCCGATTTCAGCCCAATGAGCATGGAAAATGGGAATGATGGTGGAGAAGAAGGACAGTGGAAGAGAGCAGAGTTGAACAGTTCACCTTCCTTGGAGAGCACCGGCTCCAAGTTTCCAGCACAGCGCTGAGGGATGAAGTTCTGACAAAACCTGCTGATTGTATCTGCTCACTAACTGCACTCAAGAATTTCTGCACATGAACTGACTAAATGATAAAATATAGCACCAGGTAAAACATTCCTTAACCTTTCTCCTCTGCCAAATTCGTATTGCAACATTTCATATATTGATCTATTATCTACCTAATGCGTATGGTTTAAACATTTTAGAACATATAATAAAAAACAAATATAATGTGCTTTGAATCAACTTATCTATGCAGGAATGCCCGTTCAGCAAGATAACATAATCCTGCACTCACCGTCTCCACTGTGGCTTCCCAGCACATTCCAGTTTTGGGGGATATCCAGGTTGGCCATGGCCAGGGCCACGCGACGATCCATAGCCCAGCGAGAGCTCCCCTGGCCCAGGTTGAAGAGGCTGCTCAGGTCCTTGTGATCCGTGGAGGTTAGACAATGTCCGTGGATTACCAGGTGCTCTGCCAGGTCCTGAGAATAAGGAATTCATAAATAAGATACAATCTGTGAGAACTAATGGCCAGTGCAAAAAAAGCAACAATCCCAAATCTGCTAAGATCATTTTACTTGTTTTCAATTCAAAACAACATGTTAAGATAATTTTATGAGTACAGGTAACTGATTGGCTTTACACTAATAACGAAACAGTAATTTCATCCTTTTGACAAACACATTTTGTGTTTTCTATGTCCGAGCAGGTCATTTTTATCACTGGGGTGCACAAACTTACATGCAATGTACAGGGTCATATTTGTGTGTCTTCCCTACCTGAGCATCATCTTGGACATACTCCAGAGAAGCTCCGCCCACCCAGGTGAGCGGTGTGGTTTCAGAGCACAGGTAGGCCTGGACAGAGACCACTTCAGCCAGGTTATGTCCTAAAGAGGGACACAATGCAGCAAAATGTATATCTCTTTACATGAAAAAGAGCTGTTATATAAAGTTTGTATCCTTTATTCTCTCTAATTTATTTCCTAATTCTGTGATATGGCACTGCCTGCAACTTCCTTCTCATGCAATAAAAATACATCCAGCAGAAAAAATGGCAACAGAGATTGATTAACTATCTCTAAGTATCTGTTTCAAACCATAATAAAATAGAAATCTGAAATTGATGTTCGTGTGGGTGTGGGTGTGAATGAATCAATGAATGAGTTATTAAGTCTGGGATAAATTAATGAAAATATACACATTTTGTAATTAACAAGCTAAAACTACATAACCACTTATATGGTCATTTATTTCAGCTCGATAATGCCTATTCTCAGATTTTCATTTTGTATGCTAATAAAGGCATTTTTTCTTTTTTTGATGGAGAAGGAGATCTGGTTTTAAGAGTCCAGCTATTGTAGACAGAGCACAGTCCCACAGGACTGTTGTCTCTGTCAACCTACACAGAGGCTCAGTAATGTTGACATATTGTTTATGGAGCCGTTTCCCTCCTGAGAGGAAGCTGATAAGATTCTGTGCCTTTCCAGACCACTAGTCACAGACTGTGTGTGTGTGTGTGTGTGTGTGTGTGTGTGTGTGTGTGTGTGTGTGTGTGTGTGTGTGTGTGTGTAGATTCAAATAGTGATAGACTGTTCCTGAGTACATCACAGACAGTAGTGGAAAAACCTGGGATTGTCAGCATGTTTTCTGTATACATTTTCATTTTTTTTATGGAAAACATGAAAACATGCATACAGTAACACAGCAATACCGTATACATACAGTATATAGTGAACATGCACATGCACATACCAGGCACTATAAAGCAGAGCATGACATCACTCTGAGCCCTGGTTACATGGACCAGTGTGGATCCTTCCAACACAACATAGATCTCTGTATCCTCCGGCACCGTGTCTAAACCCTCCAGCAATGCAAATACCTTCGCCTGGCCCTGAGATAAGGAAAGGTGAGAGAGGTTGAGAGAGCAAAAATAAAGAAAAAATATGCTAGAGAGGAACAAATATTTATTTTCCTAAATATACAGGCTCACTTTAGAGTAGGACTCTATTCTGATGCAGTGTTCTACATTTCTGTAAAGTACACCAAATCCCTTGACAACATTCCTCTTGAGGGTACAATAAAACATTCCCACTCAATAAAAACAGGAATGTCTACTGCAAAGACCTGCCCTGATCCCAACAGGCCAGAACACTTTAGACTTGTGATGTGAGACAGAAGAAGGTGAAGTAGGGCAGATCAGTCACACTGATATATACAGTGATTGGCAGCCTTTAAAAAAAAAAGAAGTTAAATATCAGCCTCATGAGACTTTAAATCCTCACTGAAGAGGCCAAGGTTGAGCTCTTAAGATTCTGGGTAATTTATTTATTGGGTTGGGTATCATTTGACATTGTTTGATGCTAGAGCTAATACAGTACCAGAGCTTTGATACCAGTACCAACATTATTCTTTTTTTTAATACTTTTTTCTAGGAAAGGAGGACAACATAGTCAAATATACTCACAACTTAAATAAAGTTGTCTAAAATTGACACAATTTTGATTTTCAATCTGGAGCTATCGAAACAAAGAACAAGTAAAAAGGTTACCAAATCTAACCAGACATTCAATCCCTGCTGTTGGTACTGACATTTAAATCGTTAACATAAAAAATATAGTCATCCAGGCATAGACATATAATGCAAAAAAGCTTTATATAGAGATCCACTGTGCTATTAAAAACTACAGAACGTAGATAATGGATTTAGCACATACATATTACATATATATTTGTGTGATATAAGAATAAAATACTACATTGCATACCTCTGCAATAGGTTAGTAACACTTTAAATACATCAAAAACACAGACAAGTATGCAGTTCAGGATGGATACCATTTTTTCCTTCTGTTTTAGAAATAATGAGATTTCGTGGTATCAGATCAGTGCCAGACACGCACCCTTGCTGAAACCGCATTTTAGGCACTATCAGAGAAATTTCCAGTACTGGTATTGGAACAACCCTACTTTTATGCCAAACCAACAATGCAAAAAAAAAAAAAATAAAAAAGGTGATAAAGGATAAATGAGGCGTGTTTGTGTCTTGTTGAGTCCAACAGTCGCTTTCTTTTAGAACTGTTGGTCTCTCCCAACTCTTGGCACTATTTGGCTTTTTAGCTGCTAAACTGCTCCACGATGTTCACCAGCTAGTCGAGAACTTTGCCAGTCTGTTTTTTTGTGATGGGCAGGTAGTGTGTCATGTGGCTCTTCGATTTTTTCAGTATCACAGTGAGACAGTGAGTATCAGTATTACAGTGAGACTCAATACAAATAAATAACCAGAACAATTAGCTGAAAAAGGTTAAAAAGCTTTGAGGAGAACTGCAGCGTCAGGTAATAATCATCTGTAAGTTTGTCACCATAAGTGACTCCTTTCACATTAGACAAAGTCATTTGTGCAGCTTTAAACATTTTGTGTTTGTTTGATGGTAACCTTTTTGACTCTGAATAAATGTCTGCAGTGTTTAGATATCTAATTAAACTGTAACTGAGTTTGATGGCCAATCTTTTACTATTTAAATATTGAGACTAAATATCCACTTTTAGTTGCAGTCCCTCGGAATAAAAAACATATTCCAATGCCAGTAGCCTGCTGCTTTCCACCAGCAACCAAGAAAAAATCTATTGCAGAAGATATCAATTTGTCCACCTACAGTGGCCTGAATAGACCAGACAGCAATGCAGCCACCAGATAAACTGTATGAGTTATTCTGGGAAATATATCACAAAACTGACTGAGGCAGGAGTAGAGGAGACAGGGTGAAGGAAAGAAAGTACAGCAAAAATGTGTAATGTAAATGTAAATCATAACGAGTTTAACTGCAATGAACATCACAGATGTTGGATGATATAAGAGTGTGAGAGAGAGTGTGTTTTTTAAGTAGCCGCTCTCTCTTTTTCTAAGGAGAGTCTATCTATTAGCCTTGCATCACCTCAACAGCTGACCTGATTTCTCACGCCATGAAGCTGAGAGGCTTTTCTCTTTTCTTCTCTCGCTGTCTCAGATAGAGACACTGTGAGTAATCCTGCCTCCATGTCTCACCTAATCCCACCTCCAGGTTCACTGATCAATTTCTTCATCCCTAGTTGACTATTCTTTCCCAGAGAGAACATTAGGTTTACCACATTTTATAATGTCTACACAACTTCTCCTGTGCCCTCATAAAGACTCATCACCTCTGTGTGATTGACCAGATGTTGACCACTAATGATACTGTGGCCACTAAATGAAATGCTAGTTGGGCATACCAGAGGCAGAGGATAAAGGGATAGGAATGGACTTTGAAGGAAAAAAAAGCTAACCGGGCGCCCAACATTTTTGTTTTTAAGTGAAATGTCTCGACAACTATTAGATGGACAGCCATGCATTTTGGAATCCATACATGCTGCACAGGAGATCAATCCTAATGACTTTCTAATTATCTAATAAAAAACATCTGCTATATTGCCATAACATTTTGTACATACATTCATAGTTCTCAGACAATGTATCCTAATGGTTTTCGTGAATCCCCTTGTAGCACCAGCAGCAGGTTGATATCTGGATTTTAATGAAATATCCCAATAACAAATGGATGCATGGCCATTAGTTGGTATAAACATCCGTGTCCTACTCAGGATTAATCATAATAACTGGTGATCTCCTAAAGATAGACAGATAGATATAGATATATAGCCCCCATGGGGAAATTTGACTTGGGCTCAACAAAGCTATCAGTTTATGCGGATCCCCTCCATACATGTATGAAGACATATACACAAGTCTGCTTTGAACAGTAGTGTGTGTCTGACAGGTTTCCCTGATGGATACAAGATGTATCCTGGTAAAGTTCAAACATTAGGAAGAAGAAGAAAAACATTTTTAAGTGGAGGTGGACTTTTCTTCTAGCGCCACCAGCAGGTGTCCCATATTTGTTTTTTCAGCCAAACGCCTGCAAAACTAATGACATTCCCATTAACCTCAGCTGTGCTTTACATTTAGTGCCAAATAGCAAATGTTAGCTTGCTAATAAGTGAGGAACATAGCAAGAAATAAGTGCTACACATCAGCATGTTAGCATCGTCATTGTGAGTATCTTAGCACACTGATGTTAGCATTTTTCTCGAGACTTCACTAAGTGAAACTGAGTGCATGAATGTATTCATTATTTCATTTGTGGGCCTCTATAGAAAGCAAGCACAGTATCTGAGGAGTAGGTGTGTCATGACAGAAAATGGGCAAGATGGCATTAAAACCCATTAAAAGTTTGGTAACCTTTAAGTAACCTTGAGTAAAAAAAAAAAACAGCATTAATAACGTCACATTAGAAAGGATTCAGTTGACTGAATACAGTGAGAGTACTGTAACCCCCCCTTTGATGTGCAGAGAAACATTAGTCCTCAATAATGTTTGCGTACATCGAAAAGATACCAAACTGAAACCAATGAAACAATATTTGACTCCAGTCCTGCCCTGTTTGACTATAGCTTAACTTCATAGACAACAGATCCATTCAACATGACCAGAGACATCACAAATCAAACTGATAGCAAACACAAGTTCCTTTCCGACTGCGAGTAAAATACAAATAAAAAACATCACAGTGAATGAATCACAGAGTTACTGATTTGCTAGTTATATACACAAATGACAGGCTGCTATTGTCACCGTTGTGCTGATGGATACCATTATTTTCCTCCTAAGAAACTATGATTCAGTGCTCAAATAATCCACCGGCAAAAACCTAGAAATGTTTTATTCAAAGACCAATAAAGTCCTTGTTTGATCAAAGTGAAAAACATCAGCCTCCTGTCATCATAGCGCCCTCATCGACCCTACTGCCAAATCTGCAGTCTTATTTTGTACACACAATTACTTTAGTGAACTTGATGAAATTACATGTACTGTATTGATGCATGAACAAAACACAGTTGTATCCTTTCAGATATGATGCTTTCATTAAACATAATGGTTTGGTCATGAGCACAAAATCTCTGCCACAGACTTTCGTTTTTTTTTTTTTATAAATGAGGCCGCTGATCTCTCACTGCATTCCAAACTCAATTTGCAGAGATTTTCCAGAGGGATAACCAACTCTTGAGATTAATTGGAGAAGCTGGTCACAAACTTGACTGCAAACTGGAGCACATACTCACATACAAAGGCACTTTCCTTCTGCTCAGCTCCATCCGCACAGCAACTGCAGGCAAACACGGATATTAAACAGACATTAGCAGGACAAATATTAAAAAGGAAAACTCTTTGTGGCCATGTGACTCCTCTTTGGTTAGTTTAGTGATCCTGCCTGCTCCTCTGACCCTGAAAAAGATTATCAAACGGTATCTGTGCCAAGCAGAGTGTCAGGATCATCTTTTGATCTCAAGTATGTGAATAATGACTTTAATGACGATTTCTACCTCGGTGTGTAGAGACAGCACCAGAACACCAAATATGCCCAAACTCCCGATATGCATGCATTGTGTAGTCTACTCCTGTCTGTCTGTCTGTCTGTCTGTCTGTGTGATAAAGTAGGAATTCTATTGAGTTTCAGTGCTGCAGGGTTCAGGTCTGTTCCTTATCAGTGGCCACTTCCTAAACTGGACACAACAGCAAGGTCTTTTTTCAAACAATTTTTCCAGAAATTGCACATTTTCTTGTTCATTTAAATTTTTAATCACATATGTATAATTATAATAAATCAAATGTTACAGTCAGCAAAGGCAAAGCATGAACAAACCAAGAGGAGAGTACAGAAACCTGCTCATGGCACTATATGGGATAATTATTATTAAATACAACAGTCTAGCTTTAGAAACGTTTGTGTGCTTTTTTCTTAATGATTCAAATGCATTTAACTCATAATTGAATGTTGACCTATTTAGCTGCATGATAAAATTGAACCTTTTTCTTGGAGGGATATATTCCACCCTTTGAACAGTGCTGGCCTATTAGAAAACTGTTTCCTGTGATTTTATTGAGACACGTTGAAAAGTCAACAGCTAGTAGAAAAGGGTTAACATTATCGATGTACCTACCTACACAGGAGCTCAAACTCCGGCAGAAGAAACCTGTCAGCGCGCTTCAGTTCGGCACAGAAAAGGAGCACCTAACTCCGATTCATCCTCCTTTAACTAAGCGATAATTCAACTGTCTGTGGCAAAGCTACAAGTTGAGAAATGGCGTTCAGTCGGTGCAGCTGCTGTTTCCATTCTGAGCTGCAGCCTCCAGCATCCTCCTCTCCTCTCTGTCACTGTTGATGCTTTCTGTCTTCCGTCTGCTCAAATGCAAATTCCTCCTTGTGTGCGAAAGTTAACTGTTTCTTTGAGGTTACAGCGACCTCTAATGGAAGGCGATGAAACATACTGATACTGTAACTCCTACATGTAGAAATCTGTGTCATCGTCAGAGGAAATGTTAACACGGTGAGTTTAGAGTTTGAGATTTTTTTTTTTCCCCAAAGCATTTGAACACAATTATGATTGAGTTTCAATATTACAAATATTTATTTTAATCTGCTTATAAAACATTTGTCAATGCCAAATATTAGGAAAACACAAAGCAGACATGGCTCACCCACACACACACACACACACACACGAGTGTAATTACAAGACTTCCAATAAAACCAACATTTACATTCACACATAAGGTTCTTCATACAGTAAATGCATGTTCTCTTTGTTGCCTGTTGTGTTTTCAGTCACGCTGAGATATAAACACCAGAGTGAGTCTCTTAAAACCTGTACCAAAATGTTTGTTTGGTGAAGTCTGACATGTAGTCGCGACAGGAAATTTCTGTCGGAAGTTTCAAAAAGAGGTTTTTGGAGTTGTAAAGGCACTAACTCAGTCTAAAGCAGTTTTTCCCCCCTTTCAAGCCTCAGGTGGCCTGAATCTGTGGTCTTGTGGTACTTGCTTCTCCCTGAGTCAGGCCATTAGATCTACTGATGCCAGAGCATGGCACTTCCTTCCTAGGGAGGGAGGAGGCGAACATTGTGTCCAACATGCCCAGCACCTCCACGAGGTCCTGCTGGTAGTCGATCTCTCTCTCCAGCAGCTCCTGCAGACGCAGCAGCTGTCGGTCCACGACTGGTGATTGGCCGATCACTGACTGATAGATGTCCAGGATCATGTCAGCCGCTGTTACGAGGACAGGCGCAAACCTGGGGTCAACCATGTTCCTGGAGCAGAAACAGAAAAAGGTTTAAGCCAAATCTAATTCATCCAATAACTATTATGTCAATACTTGATTAAGTCCACTTAGGTTTATATGCATCTTACCCTATGAGGAAGTTGAGCAAGTGAGAGAGACCCTGTTCATCCCTTCCTGCCAGAGCATTCTTCAACGTTCCTCGTCGATCCAGCTCCTTTATAACAGCAACTGTGATCTCTGGCTTTCTCTGTCTCATCCATGTCTATAAAGAAAATGTAAATTCCGAAATGCTGGGGAAATGCTGCAGTACCGTGTCACTTAATTACATTGCAAATTATAAAAAGGACAACATTAAAAACTAGAAATAACCTCAAGAAAGCAATACCAACTGATTTACCCATGTTGCTAACGTTGTAAATAAATATAATGTATACCTCCAGTGCTGTATCCAAAGCCTTCGATACATTAAACTTCTTGAGCTGCTTGTCGTATTTGGCCAAGTGCTGTTTCACTGGCTTACTGACGAGATAATCATCCTGTAAAATAATGGAGAACCAATAAATGAATTAACAATGAGAAGAAAAAAAAAAACAGTCCCATAACCCTTATATAACAACTCAGTGTGCAGAAATAAAAAGTCATTGTCAGACATTTTGACCTTGTCTTTTGTAGAATTCAGTCAATGTGTCTCTAAGGGAATAATCACAATATTTACTGACCATATCACATCTCAGACTGTTGCCCTCAGCTACTGCATGTAAGCAAATGTAAAGTTACCTGTTTAGGGACGTAGTTCTTCCCCTTCACAAAAACACGATATGATGGTCGCCGCTTCTGTTGGCCAGAGATTTCCTTTGACTCTTCAAGGCTTTTCCTGTGTTTGATACTCAGAATGCCGTTGGTCATACCCACAACAATGGACTCATCATCCGGCTGTGGAGAAAGACATTCATAGTTTTATAAATATATATTTGAGGAGCAGAGAGCAGGCCCAACAAAACTGATTTAATTCTGTGCTATGACTGATGTAACAATAACATCATATAAAATGTATGAATATTGATCCCAAAACACACACGCTTTGGTGCATGCTTTGGTATGGCTCGTGGGTCTAGCTTGAACAGCCTTTCTTTTTAGAAGTGCATGTTTCTCAAAGACTGTGTTGGCGATTGAAAGGGAAAATTCAAAAGCACTGAAAGTTCAAAGTAAAACAATTCCAGTTCGGTCTCTGAAGTTGCACATGCTGTTCTCGAAACCCTACACCCTTGTGCTAACACTAGAGGAGAGGATGTACCGTTTCATCTCGTTTGGACTGAAATCTCTGGCAGTACGAGGTATTTCTGTTGGCTGCTGCAGAAACTAAATCTATCTCTTTGCAGTGGCAGAGTTGGTCTCAAATTACAGCTCCTTATGAGGGTGCACCACAGACACAAGCCAATTTAAATCCATGCTTTCATTTTATAACTCATTCGCTTTTTTAATGTTAATAGGCGTTTCCCATAATGTTATTAAATACACATTTATACATTTAATTCACCTTCAAACATGAAAAACTAACAGTAAAACACGATGATGGGTTAAATGTAATTTCTTACAGCTAATGCCAGACTGAGGATGGAGGCAGCGTAGTCAAAGTTGTGGACCACTTTATAGTTGGTTGTGTTGTACACCTTCACATGCCTGCAAGACAAACAAAAGCTCTGCGTTAGATAAGGTTCAAATAATAAATTACTTATAAAAAGTACCCAACTGTCATAACAGAGTGGCATCTGATTTCCACAGTATGGAACATTTTCCTTTGTCTGGCATGTCAGACAGCATACTGTACATACACCTGTCCCTGTACCTGTCCAAAGAAGCTGACAGCAGTCTCTGTCCATTGCTGCTGAGACACAAACAGGTGACAGTTTTGTGATGGTTCTTCAGCGACACCAGAGGCTGCCCTCCTTTTAGCAGATCCCACACTTTCACATAGCGCCCGCCTAAAGAAATGATACAGAGAATGTTTTTAATGCTCTGGATAAACACCAGTAAATATAATGTAGTATCTGTGCATGATCGCTGTCTTTTTGGGCATCATTTTACTTTTCCAGATGAAACTACAGGGGGTGTGATTTATTTATTTATTTTTTTTAAACACAACACCCAACCTTATTGCGCAATAACTTATTTCAACCTGAACAAGGCTGAGGGACACAAATACATACAAATCATTAAACACTGTTAGGGCCTGACAAGTTGGCACATTTTCTGGATGCGCTGAATGAACACGATCATTATACTGCTGGCTACCTGCAGAGATAAGAAGTCCCTCAGAAGGATAAAGAAGCAGACTCTCCACTGGCTGGCCGTGGTCCATGGTCATCACACTCTTATCAGCTCTGGCATCAAACACTTTCAGTGTATGGTCATAAGATCCTAGGATGAAAACATCAATTGTTAGTAACTGCCTATTTTTATTTTATTTATTTTTTTATTTGTTTCTCTTTTTCCCCTCACACCATTTAAAAAATATATAGTTTCCATCTCACCAGTAATGAAGAGATCTCTGTTGAGTTTGCTTGTGACGCCACAACGAATGTAATCTGTGTGTTCTTGGTAGGTGGTGAGCTCAGTGGCATTCGGGATGTCCCACAGTCGACAGGTGTAGTCGTCTGACCCTGTGAGGATCTGGTAACGGTCTGAGGTGAAGTCTGTTACGTGTACAGCCCTGAGCAGAAATAAAATGACACAAAATGTACATCAGTTCACTTTCATGACCAGACATTTAAAGTGTGTAAGCAAGTTTACAGGTTGTCAGAATTATTGAGATCATCATGAAATTCAGTCGATGGATCACTCAAGAAATCATCATCCAACAAATGTATAAAAGACATAATAAGCTAGTGTAAAAGCTCCTGCATCCCTGAAGAGAAACAGCTTAGAATGATGGTGAAAGGTCGGAATTTTTTTATTATGATAGAGTATAAGCAAAAAAATATTGTGTATGCTGATTTCAATCTATACCATGTGTAGAGTTTTTTTTTGTCATGCTACTGCATGGAGCACGTCAGTATTTGTGTGCAATTTGTGCCAGTGCTGGACAACAGTGGTGATTATTTCTCCAATATCCAAGTTGAATGATGCGACACAAAAGATAAACACCGGCCATAATATAAGTGAAATAATATTGGTGCATCGTTACTCTGTAGGTACTGCAGGTATCTGGTAAGAGGGACAAATTAAGCCTATTTTGAAATACCCAGCACAACTAATACACTACGGTGGAATACCTACTTTGTGTGCCCCTTGAACATCCTGAGTGCCACCTTCCCGCTGACATCAAACAGCCGTACCACAGAGTCCTCACATCCAGCCACGAATAACTGCCCATCTGACCTGAACCTCCCACTGTATGCAGTGTCCTTAAACCGCGTAAATGTCTTCACAGGCTCCTGGGAGAATGGCCCGTAAATGTGGACCTGTAGAAAAGACAGTTTCAGAATTTAGAAGACAATTAATAACATCAAACTAATGTTGCACACTTAATATCTGATTATTTAGAGCACTGACTGACACCACAGTTGTTTTATGAGGAGACTGATTCATTTGAATAAACACAACTAAACTGTTTCATACAAGAGAGGCCAACATACTCTAGTGAAGGCTGTCACAGCAAAGTTATGTGGAGCCACTGGGGAGAAGTCTATGTTTGTGATTGCTCCAAATTCTTTTATCTGGACCGGAGCCTGTGAGGAGAGAAACAAAGACGCATTGTTAAGATTCAGGATTCTTTCTCACAGCAATAATAAGACAGTTTATACAGTAGAAGAGACTCACCTTATAGTTTTTCCAGTACAGTGTGTCTTGTGTGACTTTCTCTCCAAGTTTAGGATAGACTTGGATCTTCGTAGGTTTAAATGAAGCCATTTCAGTGCTGATCAAGAGATACTCTGTCTGGCAAAGTACAGAAAATTAACACATGGATATTAACATATAGTAAGAGACACGGTACCTGAGCTAGTTCACCTTTTAAATCCCTACAGGTGTAAACATGATATAGCCTCAGCAAGGAGCCACACATAATATGTTAATGTTAAAGAAAGTGGAAAAGTTTCTATTACGACCTTAAAGCTAATTAAAAAAAACGTGGTAAACTGGATAAAAGGAGTTCATTGGCTCAGCAAATATTTCTTTGATCCACAGCCGGCAACAAGAAAGCCACAAATTCAACAACACGGAATTAATGGAAACAGTTTACAGTTTTTACCAAACAGCATCAAAACCAACCAAACTCTGCGATCCGCAAAGGCTAAGCTAACGAGTTCACTATTCCGGGACAGTCGGTATCTTCCGTGAGGCTTATGACTGTACACAGAGAGCTGAATGCATTGTAAAAAACAAACAACAATGTCTACAGTAAGTCTTGTCTTAATATCTAAACATAAAGGGACTGGTTTGAACACAGAAGCGGATTATTAGACTGCTGTGTGAGCCAACGTGTCCGGTGCTTATAGCAGAGGTTAGTTAGCACACTGCGCTTTAGCCGGATAGCATTTCCTATTAAACTACATCCTGGTGCTTCTCACCTTTTAATGTTAAAGGTCCGGGACTGCCGGAGGGTTAGTTCTTAAGACTGACGCGTTTAAATTAGATGATACCAATGTTGGTTGTCCAAATAAACAGAAAGTTTCTCATTTTAAAGCGTTATCACGTTGCCTCTCGTTGCAATGGAGGACGCCATGATTACAAACGTGACAACTTCTTCTTCTTCTTCTCCTTCTTCTCCTTCTTATAGGATCTCGGCAGTGTAGACGCTGTTAAGTGTATTACTGCCCTCCACAGGCCAGATTCAGATCTAAATTCATGTAGAAACTGCAGAACTTTCATTGGAGATCAATTTGTATTTCTCTCTGTGTCCAAACAAAGATACACCAGAATAAGCCTCAGCTCCAAGGTCCTGTCAGTCTAACAAATAATACCTTTCTCTCTTCTCTATACCTTCAACATCATAGGAAAACATGCCCTACTGTTTCAAGGATCCCACATTCACACAATCCAGAAACATGTTTTCCTATCATGTACAAAGAATCATTTAACCCACAATGACCCAACCTCAGTCTACAGAGTTTCTACGGGACAGAGAATCACATAAACATATTTTCCTAACTTTAGGTTGTATAGAAAAGAAGTGTCTACCGCTGGCTTCCCTTTGCCACCCTCTCTGCCATTATTTTGTTAAGCCCTTTGATTATTTAATTTCACTCTCCACATTAAACGTGACAACTTCCTTTACGGAATACCTTTATTGTTCACCGAAAGGAGGCACAATCTTAGCCTTAACCCTCTAACACTTTCTTTTCCTCTTTGAATATTTCAAATGGCACTGATGGTGGTTTTTTTAAATAAACCTGTATATTACTTTACTTTAGTTTATTTAGCTTTTTTTTTTAAATAAACCTGTATATTACTTTACTTTAGTTTATTTAGCTTTTTTTTAAATAAATATATATTTCCTTTTTGGTAAAATCTGTGATTTGACACATATATGCAGCGTTACTATATTAAATAGCAGTTTGTGGAATAATAAAGCTACCACCTTAAAAATAAAAGCATATCTTATTTTAAAAAGATAATACAATTATAAATTCCATACGTCAGTTTCAGTGACTACAAAACCCTGACAGCACAGATTTAACCAGAGAAAACAGAGAGATAATGAAGATGTAAGCCACGCTGAATTATGATCGATGATTATGATCGTTAACTTGCACATCCGGCAAGTTAACGATCGTGAGTACGTCACTTCCGGCCTTCACTCCTTCCTCCCTTTTTCCGAGCCTCTGTCGACTGTGTGGCCCTCGTGTTTACACTCTCCCAGGTCAGTTCACGTCTCACCAACCCTTTAAGCTGCCGCAGCCTCATATAAAGTTGACGTTGTAACGAAGCAGCAGGTCCCTGTGTCACATTACGCGTTGAAACGAGAGGAAAATGTCAATAATACTTGAAGGCTAGCATCAGCTTAAAGAGGCCTAAGCTAGCTGTTTAGCTTAGCTTGCTAAACCTAGCCGACAGTCCAGTTGTCAAAATGTACCAGAACCCGGGTTAAAATCCGATCCACAGGCCCTGAGGATCAAAGACTGAGCATGAGCCAACAGCACATCTTCTCGTTAGGGCAGACTTGGAAAAGTAAGCTGTTAAAGTTAGAAGCTAATTGGTTTGTTTTAGCTTTAGAGAACCTTAACTTAGGCACTAACTTTAACTAGCTGGTTGTCTGATTCATGCAGAACTTGAGTCGAGACTAAAAAGTTTGCAGCTATTTTGGGCTTTGGCAGCTGTGTATTCTTGTTAGCTTGCTGTGCCAAAACTCAAACGACGGGGGCGATTTGGGGAGGTTCTGTCCCGGTTCGGTATTTCTTTGAAATGACCAACCCCTTTTACTTCTAGTGAACTGTTGAAATAAACCCTTAGGTACAGTTTTATTAACTGCCAATTTAGTCATTACTTGTATATCCTAATGCATATTTATCTACCACCAGTCTCATCTCAAGATCAAACTATTAGTGTGCTGTTACATCAGTGTAATACCTATATGTGCTGTCCAGCTCTGTGTTAACTGAGAAAATAACTGGGAAATAATATTTGTGAGCAGATATTAAATTTGATTATGTGTTGTGTCTTGTGCCAGATGAAGGAGTCGATAATGAACCAGGAGAAGCTCGCCAAACTGCAGGCGCAGGTCCGCATAGGCGGCAAGGTGAGCTGGAGTATATACTGGAAAATTACTTGAATGAAAATGTTTGTTGTCTGTGAGGCCTGACATTGGGTTATGGTTTCATATATCTCATCATTTTCTCTGCAGGGGTCAGCCCGCAGAAAGAAGAAGGTGGTGCACAGAACAGCTACAGCAGATGACAAGAAGCTGCAGTTCTCCCTCAAGAAACTGGGAGTCAACAACATCTCTGGCATTGAAGAGGTACAGCACGACTTTCTGACATGCACAGCAATATGTAGGCAGACGGGTCTTCTTCTTGACCTTGATGATCGTAGATCAGTAATAAAGTAAGAAATATAACATGATACTCAAGCCCAAATGGGACTGGAAAAGTAATATGATTGTCATTAAATGAAGCTTCTTGATGTCTTTTGTTTTGGTACTCAATCAATTAGTTAAATAAACAATTGGTAAAGGAAAAAGAGCCAAAACAGTATATTTTATGTCATATTAGTCTATCTTGGTAATTTAAATAGCAGTCAAAAATACAAATGGAAGACTTTTCACCCCTTTGAATTGTGATGAATTCTGTAAGCATGGTGTTGTATCATTGATTGGAGACTAGTTGTTGTCTTGTCAGCTTCTGAAAAAAATAACAAAAGTGATCAGATAGATAGATAGATAGATAGATAGATAGATAGATAGATAGATAGATAGACTTTATTTATCCCGATCAGAAGAATTATGAAGTTTTAAAGTCAGTATCTTTATCTGTTTGTTGTTTTGCAAAGTCTTACTTGCTGTTTAGTGATCCTCTTTTACACTGACCCTCAAACTCCTTTCTCTTCATTTCTTCCCCTCTCAATTCCTTTTGTGTTCTACTGTAGGTGAATATGTTCACAAACCAGGGGACAGTGATCCACTTCAATAACCCAAAGGTTCAGGCCTCCTTGGCAGCCAACACCTTTACGATCACAGGGCACGCTGAGAACAAGCAGCTCACAGAGATGCTCCCAGGAATCTTAAACCAGCTGGGAGCAGACAGCCTGACCAGCCTCAGGAGATTAGCAGAGACCCTGCCCAAAACAGGTACCCACAACAGTTCACTGATCTGTTATCATGCATCAGTTGTAGTTTTGTGTGCTATGTGTTCACAATTTGCTCTTCTTCTTTCTCCTGCTCATAGTTGGAGACATCAAAGCCCCCATGGTTGCTGTTGAAGAGGAGGATGATGAGGTTCCAGGTAACCAAGTCTACACATCTCCTTTTAAAACAAAGAGCTGCGTTAGTTCTTTAATGTTCTATAATACTATACTGTAGAACAAGCTGTAGTAGTAGTAGTCGTCATCGTCTATTGCATGGGGCATATATAATCTTTTTAGTTTTGGTAATTAAGTTATACTTTATGCTAAATACATTTTAAGATTGGGACATTTTCTTATCTTCGTCTGTAACCCTTCTTCATCCCTCTCTTTCCATTTTCAGATCTTGTTGAAAACTTTGATGAGGCCTCAAAGGATGAGGCAAACTAACAAACACCAGCAAACATTTCAAGGCTCCTCCTGACTTCACAGTACTTTGACACAGCAGCATTTTGTAATTCTTCATCTGTTATTGCTCTGTGGCAACAAACAAAAGCTGCTTTTTAACCTTGACAACTGGGCAAAAAACAAGTAAAATTGACTTTTAATGGCAACTGTTACCCACTCCTTTGTCTGATTTGTCTCATTTTGCTGTACAAGTAACATTTATTTAATTCAGTGGAATGTGCAAACCTTTCTCTTTCTCTCACTGCCTCTCCTGCATTGTGATGCCCACACAACAAAAATATTTTGGTGGAATTAATCATGTAATAAAGATTACATTTAAATTTCTCAATTTATGTCTTTAATGCCCCACCACTTCTGTGCAATATTTAATGGAAGAACACATTTGCTTTGTTGGTTTACTTATATTCAAGCTCACTGTCGTAGTCCTTTAAATCTTTACAGGTGACTCGTTATTGGAAATCATCGCTAATAGGAAATAGAAGCTTGATAAGAACCTTCATGTTGCAATTACATGTGAAGTGCAGGACATCAAGAGTCCTGTGTAGATGGCCACATTGGTTATATTTCAAATATGTATGTTCCATGATACTCAAAGCTGAAAAAAAGGACACATTCAGTTCAGACATCAAGTCAGACAGAAAAGTTCAGTATTTGCTGCATGTCTCTTGAATCATATTTGTATTCACACTTAAAGAAGGCACCTAACTCCTATTTACATACTGTATATTGAATCACAGGTGTGACTAAAGAAACTATTTAGCCAATTATTTTAGAAATTAAAAACTGGAGCATTACATTTGTACCAAACAAAAAACATACATGATGCAAAACAAACATCAGGTCATCTTAGGTACTACACATCCTGGCTTAAGATGTAGTTTTTATGTAAATGTACAAATGACCAAAGCTCTGGTGGAAACATTAGCAACACATTACAGGGGCAGTTCAGTTTTAAAGATATCGCTAATGAGAGATGGCGGCCTCTCTCAAATATAATGCCACCAGACGGCACTATTGATCAAAGCAACAAAAAAATAAATACATTTGAAAAACTCAAGATAATCCACAGATCTTGTGAGCAGTTTGATGTAGGAACTACCTATCACAGTGTAGAGGAAAGCGTGCATGTACTCATGGATGAGAGGCTTGAGTGCTGAATGTGAACATTAATGGTGTCCTTGACAGGGTTGTAAAGTTATCTCACCCAGCACCACTGACATAGCTGGAGTTAGTTTGCAGGTGTAGTTCGGTAGAAAGAAGTTCCGTTGTCTTGAGAAACCAGAGGGGTATTGCACAAAACCAGGATAAGGGATTAAGCCGGGATATGTTGGTTATCCTGGCTTAATTTAGCCTCAAGTCGGTTGCATGAAAGCAGGTTAAACTTATCCCGGCCAAGTTACTATGGTGATTTATTCTCTGCAGTTAGCCTGCTCCAGACCAGGCTAACAGCCAGGCTAAGATTAATCCTAGTGATTCACCTGTATTTCCACCGTCAGTCCTGTGAGGAATTAATGTGTTTTACAGCATGTCCATGGTCTTTCTAAGTATGTTGCATCATTTTAATTATTCTGCATTAAAATATTACATATATATTGTCATTTCTCATTTCATTTAAATCTGTTGGCTGTTTGTAATTGCAACAGTCTTTTTATATTGATTCAAGTGGTAGTATTATTACTCAGGACAAGTGTTATATTGCTATGCTAATGAAGACTGCTTGCCAAATTGCATAAATATGTGTTTATTGCAGTAATTGAGATTACAAAACACAGCTGATGAAGTTGCAAAGGTGTTTTCAATGAAATCTGTGACAAGGGCAATATAGTATATATATTATGGCATACCGTTTAAGAGATTAATCTTTGAATATATAAAATGAATCTTTGAATATATGGAATGAAACTTTTAATATATTGAATGAATCTTTTAATATATTCAATGAAACTTGACTGGTCAATCAAGGCACTGCTGTCATCTTGTAGAAGTGAGAATGAGTCAGTCAGGAACCTTGTGGCAGCAATACTGAGCAATGAGGACATTATTAACTCATTGGCAAGTGCTTGTACGGGCCAAAATCCTTCCCATAGTACCCGTGCCCAATACCGTTCTCCTGACGAAGAAGTTCCCTCCCTTTTTAATGGTGGCAGGCCGACTACAACAGGCCTCAGGCTAAATCCTGACAGAAAAAGCAAAAAAGTTTTCCAGTTTAAGAAAGTATTGTAATATTTCAACTGATGCCATTTTGTAAAACCAGCTAATTCAGAAGGCTATCACTTTGATGAAAAGGATACAACTAGGTTTTCAATTTCATTCAGTATTCTCACATTTTTATCAGTATATCCAAGATTCATTTCATATATTCAAAGCTTCATTTCCTAAACGGCATGCCATAATATATATATATTATTCACACCTGTTCCCTCTTCATAATGGCTTGCCCTTTCTTGGAGGATGTACTGGATGAGGAAGCCCTAATCCTCAGACGAGCATTTAGTCATGAAAGAGTCTTCTGGGACAGGTCAGACCCATTGGCTGTTGGAGATGACTATCTCATTGAGAGATACAGATTCTCAGGTGATGGACTAAGATATTTATGTAGGCTGCTGGGTCCAAAAATACAGCACCAGACGGCAGGAAGCCATGCTCTCACTGTATCACAGATGGTCTGTGTTACATTGAGATGTTTTGCAAGTGGGAGCTTCCTTTATTCTGTTGGGGATGCAGAGAACCTCAATAAAGGGACCATTTGCAGCACATATCCTGGCTTGGTGGGCCCCCTGTGCCAGTTCTATGGGCTTTTTTTAACTGCTACAATCATATAGACATTCAACAAGTCAGCAGATACCTAATCTATTCACCTCATTTGTTCACTGTTATCTACTTTAAAGTCACTTTCCAGCCTGCAAAATGTTCTTGTATTTAACTTTAACTTGCTGCCAGGTCCTTTTATGGCCAGACAAGTTGGTTCTTTATGAAGGATAGAAAGATAAAATAGATAAAAATAGATTAAATGACACACATTGTGGATAATTGTTTGCACTTAATCATATTTTACATTTTCTGAGTAACATGAACCTCTACTTGCCACATTTAAAGCAAAGTGTACAACAGTTGATTAGTGGACTTAAAGTAACTCCTTTAGTCCTTTAATTGTAGCCTAATGATGACAGTTCCAGTGGAGCACTGTTTATTCATTGTACAGTTTTGGACTACTTAAGCATTAAGCCGGTCCGCTATTGTCTGCCAGGCTTTCTCTCTTTCTTTAATTATGGCATTGGTATTGCCTTTTTTTCTTCTATCTTCCACCTCTTCATAGAACTCCATCAGCAGCTGTTTTTCAGCGGCCGTGAAATACGAAGCGTGACTCTTATCCATGTTCCCATCGGTGATTCTGTGAGCGATCGCGAGGTCTATTTCAGTATGCCGTGAACACGCACTTATCCCGACTATCTACACCTGGCTTAACATAGCCGCGCCTTTTCATCCTGGCTCGGCAAACGTGCAACCGATTAAGCCAGGATGCGCCGAGCAGGCTAAGTCAAGCCGCGCTTGCTCACTTATCCTGGATTTCTTTATCCTACTTTTGTGCAATACCCCACAGGTCATGATTTCTGGAAGAAAACATTTTTTGGTGCTTTGAGAACCACAAGCCCCGTGCCACCTGCTTCTGTTTTATTCAAGAGAAGGCAGACATCTCTACAGCCGATATCTCCAAAACTCAGCAATCTACATCAAAACAATCTACATGGATAAACAGCAGGTACGAGATAAAATATGTATATTTGATTTGGGGGTGAAGGTTTTTCATCAGCACTAACGAGGCTCTAACTCTGGCATTACACATGAGGGAGGGTCGTCCACTTTAACTGTATCTGATACTCTGTCATACTAAGTCATACATTTGTTGTTGTTTTTTTGGCATTTCACTTTATTCAGCGTCTTACTTGCATATGAAATGATTTTCATCTTTTAGCTTACACAACGTTCAACACTATGCCAAGCTCCGAGATCACTTTAATCCAGATACTTAACAAACCCATCATGGCTGCCCAAGAAAGGGCTTAAGGGCAGTTTCAGCATCCACCCTACAAGAACACATTTATTTAATGACATATACTGTGTATAGATATGAGTATCTCTCATTGTACAGTTGAAAGTATTACTTCTCTGAATCTGTCTGTGGCCCTTTGCTGTATATCATATCCTCTCCCCCCTTCCTTTCCTGTCTCTCTCCAGCTATCACTGTTCAAAAGGGCAGAGAAAATATCTTAAAAAGAAAAGGAGGAACTGAAACCTCAGTCCAACTATTTTTGTTCAAATGAACTAACAGGTTTTGCAGAATTTGAAAATGGTTAGAATATGCATGACATAATAATGTAGAGGGGAGATTCTGCTAAATATTTAAAGCAGCAAATAATAAAACGGATCAGTATGACTTCATAACATAATACTTTTTCCATTATAACGTTGTAACTTTATTGTTATAACATGAAACTTTTCAACTGTTAGGGTGACTGATCAGGAGGTAGAGCGGGTCGTCCAGTAATCAGAAAGTTGGCGGTTTGATACCCGTGTCCTCCAGCTGTGTCGCTGTGTCCTTGAGCAAGATACTAAACCCCAAATTGCTTCTGATGCTGTGTATCGAATGTGGATGAATGGATTAGTTTCTGTTTGTGAGGAGCATTTGCCATCATTGTATGAAAGTGTGTGAATGTGTGAATGTGGCATGTAGTGTACAAGTGCTTTGAGTGGTTGGAAGACTAGAAAGGCGCTAAGTACAGTCCATTTACCATTTGCCATGTTATAATGTGAAAACTTTAAGGTCCAGAGTGTAACATTTAGGACGATATATTGGCAGACATGGAATATAATATTCATAGGTATGTTTTCATTAGTGTATAATCACCTGAATGTAGGAATCGTTGTGTTTTTGTTACCATAGAATGAGTACACCAAATACTAACACAGCAGCGAGTTGTTCTACAATGAAAGTATTTTTGACACATTACAGGATGCTTTACGTATGTGTGAAGATTAACAACTTTTGTTCATGTGTTTTTTTCAATTGTGATCTTAATGTCTAGTCCTTTCATAGACATTTGGATTGCCCCGTACAAAGTTATGGCCAGGGAAAGTCCTGGTGTCTGTCCCTTGCTCTTTTCCCGTTTGGGTGTGTGGGTGTATGTATGTGCATAATTTAAAGCATCAACATCCCCACAAAGCTCTTACAATGGGGAAAAACCTCTAAAAGGGCTATATTTTTGCTGGTCACCTCTGTGGTCAAATAATGCTCATAATCCTGGATTTAGGTCCAGGGTTAAGGGTCAGGGAATTGATTTAGGATCAGGGAAATATGATAATTCAGGTAAAAATACAGAAGTGCAGACCTTTTACTGTAAATATATCCTATACACAATCTCATTTGTATGGCTGAAAGTGACAATTTTTTCATTACTGATGAATCTGACGATCAGTTTCTCAGTCAATTGACAAATCGTTTGATCTATAAAGTGATAAATGTCCCTCACAATCTCCCAAAGCCACCAACAACCCAAAAGCCAAAAATGTGTCATTCACTGTTATTGTAGACAAAAAACAGCAAATATTCACATTTGACAAGCAGCAACCAGTGATTTCTTTTGGCTTTTTAGGTTTAAAAAAAGTATTCAATGACTGGAAAAACAGAGAAAAAGAAGAACTCTAGAGCAAAAAGACTAACAATAATCTCTTTGTAAAAATCCAATGGTATGATATCTGTGTACTTCATCTGTATGTGTTCATCTGTCTGTGTGTGTGTGTGTGTGTGTGTGTGTGTGTGTGTGTGTGTGTGGTGTGTGGGTGTGCATCTGTGTGTCCTTTTGTGTGATTCCAGGTTTGTTAATCAGATACCATATATCTCAGATGTTGTATTTCAGTTTAAAAGCTGAGGGTAACCCCCCACCCCACTGTGCACACTTCTTATCTTCATCTCTCAGTCCCTTTTTTTCGAAACTCAGTTAGTCTGTTTACAAAAATTTGACATGCAAAACAAGTATACAGAGGAAATGCTCTGCCTACCCCCTCTGTCAATAGCCTCTTTTCTGTTTGCTATATGTATAGTTCAGTTTCTGTCTCACCTCTCCAATGTGCTATGATGGAAGTGATAATGATGATGATGATGACGATGATGCATGCGGTATGCAAGCATATAAATATGATGGTCAGTGGGCAGTAAGAGCATACAATCATCAGTATTACTACAACTGAACTTCGATTACCACAGCTTCACTTCAGTATATCTTCACTGAAATGGTAAGAAACAACTGCTGTAAGTCAGTGCAGGGGATTAGATACTTGAATATATAATGTAAATATATATAATAATAATATAATAATTTCTCAATTGAAGATTCATGTATAATTGCTTAGTTTTTAATGCAAGAATAATTCATTTTTAACAATCTTCCTCTTGCTTTCTCTCAGAAGACTTTGTCACTGTGGATGTTTGGGCTTCTGTTCATCAGCCTCACAGGAGCACATGGACTCAACAACTTTCCAGAAAACTGTACGCGTTATTTTTGGTCCACATGTGTTTTCTAACACAATTTTTTAGGAGTTCTGAATCTGTTCGTCTTGACATGTCAATGACTGATCTGTCTGTCTATATCTATGTTTGTGTAGTTGTGGTGGCAAAAACAAATGAAAATGTCATACTGACCTGTGGATCAAAGGCTGATGGAGCGGTCACATGGAAGTTCCGCATGTTTCCCAGTGAAGAGATGGAGGATGTTGATTCTGAGGACAATATCCAGCAGGAAGGTCAAAATCTGAAAGTGTCCGAAGTAGGTACGCCTGTGTTGGGAGAATACAGCTGCTGGAGAGGAGAAGAGAAATTATCATCAACCTATCTACTGCTGGAGGATGAGGAGGAAGAGGAGTTAGGTGAGATATTTTGAATTTCTTCTATTGTTCATATGCTGTAAAAGACAGGAATCTCTCAGATATGTCTTCAAACTTTCTTCATGTCTGAAATATTTCTCTAGAGAATGAGACTGAAAGTTAACACATCCTGAAGCATTCCTTAAAGCACTTTAATGTCTCACATTTAGTAATATTTTCTTAATTTTGTGGTGTGACAAAGTCCAAACATTTTCCATTAAACTTGTATTCACCCAAATTGTGTATCTTTATAGATTCTTTAATCAGATGTCGGGCAAAGTCATATGACTGTAACTTCACCTGTAAGTGGACCCGCGATGGATACACAGCAGTGCGCCTCGGATTGGGCCATGAATGGTAAAGAAAGAAAAAATTATAGTAAAGAGCCCAAAATGAGTAATGTGTAATAGGGTGTAAAGTGTCAGTTTTACTGCTTGCCTCCGTAGCAGTGAAGGTGGAAAGTCATGTCACTGGGTCAGCAGCAGTGAACAGCTCCAGGACGGGGGATTCCAGTTTGTACTGTCCCACTCCCTTTCACCCTATGCAGAGGAAAGCACCATGCTTGAACTCACTGCTGAGGCCATCAATGACCTCTCCATTCTCCGGAGAACCAAGAGATTTTATCTCAGAGACATTGGTAAGCTAAGTGAAACTGAGCTACATTACAGGATTTCAGCAGAATATTATCAAGATTAAATAGTAAACAGCCGTTGCTCATCAGTAAATCCCTTTTGTGAATAAATGTGAGTATTTCAGCCAAATATTTGTTCATTTCCATATATACTGTTATTATTCCTTACCATTTTTCTTCTCTCTAGTTCAACCCGATAGTCCCCAGATTGTCAAGTGTCAGGAGGTGGACCAGGAACTGAACGTGACCATTGATCCACCGTCCACCTGGTCGACTCCTTACAGCTTCTTCAGTCTGGAGCATGAGATTGAATACGAGTTGAAAGATGATGGCCAGGTACATGCAAGCTCGCACTGAAACAAAAGTCTGGTGATCTCTCTGTGTCTGTCATGTCATTCTAACTGTGCGTCCTGTCTTTCTGACTTTAGACTGGACGTTCATCATCATCTGCCCTGATACCGAAGAAGATCAGTAAGCTGAGGGTTCGCTCCAGAGACTCGCTGGTGCTCTCCACCTGGAGCCAGTGGACTCCCTGGAAAAATGTAACCTACTGACCTTATTTGAAGCCGAAACTGTCTGCTTCTGCTCTCTCTGTTCTTATATGTCTACAGTGTCCTCTCACGTCTTAGCCTACCGTTTCTCACTATGTGTTTTCAGCTGTCACACACTGATGGCGAAGAGATAACACAGCACTCACCAGAACCTCAGCAATAAGTCAAGAGTTTAATCTGATGATAGAAGAGCAGTACAGCACACTTTTATTATTCTTTTTTATTGATGGCTCATTTCAAACTATTTAATTGTGCATATATTTATTATTTATTTACACACAAAAACACCATTATAGACATACTGTGATGTGAAAAAAAATGTGAAAGAAAGTCTTTCTTGCTAACAAAAGCACTGCTAGAGGTCCTTGTGAGGACTAAAGTCAACATTTATTAGAATACAGACATTTCTGTGATTCAGTATAAAATTGTGTCTACCAGCAAAAACAATGTTGGGGTTTCATGGGACCACATCTTATAAAATGGATCTCTGCAGTTTTGTCCATTTAGGGATCCTTTCACACTAAAATCTAATGACACCTATATAATACATAATTTACCATGAATCAGAAGTTTACTAGTTCAGTATTCATTAAACACTGACCTTTACACATTTTGTTTCTTGTCCCTCTTATTTCTGTACTAGTGTGTTGGCGTTTCTGTGTATTTTGGTGGTTTGTGCTGTGCAGAATAAGTCGCAATTAAAATAGCTTTGTGCTTCCTTCCTTTTTATGCATGTTCCTTTTTCATTTAAGTGTTGCTCATGTCACTGCATGTCATGCACTGATGAGTAGAAACCCCTGTTTTAATCTAATGATGCCAACCCACAGTTATGTATTTTATGTACGTATGGGTGGACAAAATATTAGAAACTTAAGCTGCTGGGTGTGTACTGCATGTTCCTTGAAGTGTGCCTTGAATTTTAATTGAGTTAGGGTCAAAGAATGTTTGAGGTTTGAAGAAAATAAATATTGGAGCTTCTATTAAAGAAATAATTTAAGAAAGAAAAGCCATTATACGCTAAAAATGAGAGAGAAACTTAGTTAAACTTAGTTTAGTTTAATCACTGTGACAATTATAACGGGTTTCTGATTTCATCATAATGACCATACATTTACTGGTTAACAAGTGGCTCTTTATTAAAGACTGGAAGCTATTTGACTGTTTTGAGTTTGTAATGAAGAAGCAATATTACTGTAGTCTTTCAGCAATGTTTACTTTTTGTTTCATTTGATAGTATTACCTACTTTAGGTAGTAAAACCTACAATTACATATTCCGCATCTATTGAATAGAATAATTTCAATAACATTTATTTTAAATGAGAGGAACTAATAAAGACAGTAAAGATAATCAGGCTGACAATTAGGCACTGTCTCTCAGTGGCTGTCAGCTACAGTATAATTCAAATATGTTTTATTCATATCTTAATTAATAACTGATAAGCTTGTGTGAACAATAAAGACACTCTAGGTACCAAAGTGCAAAATGCAACAAAGATTTATCATGGCTGCACCTGCGTTACCAAACAGATTTAATATGACTGTCAAATGCACTGAAACCAAACTAGGATTCAGTTTCTAAAAATCATATAGTGTATACAATTGTCACATTAGCGGATACATTTTGCCTATTACCTTTATTATTCACTGAAATTGGTAGACATGCTGAAAGCACAAAATAAAAACTTAAAAAGTAATATCTGTGTATTAGCTGACAACCTCACATAGAGACACCTGGAGTAGAGCTTGGCTTGAAGCTTGAGCAGTAAATAACACTGTTATGCAGTGAAATAACAAGCTCCAGTGTGAAAGTAATGTCATATTACATGACACTGAAAGTAACTTTGAAGCGTCATTCTTGTTATCCATAGTCAGAACTTGCAAAGACAGACTGAACTATACATATTAAGCACTTAAATAAGTAAAACTTACAGCTTTGCTTATTCAGTTTTCTTGTCATCATTTCCTAAACTAACCTTTCATCAACTCATTGCAGGTGAGAACAGGGAAAAAGAACCTATGTAAATGCAAAAACACGGCAAAATCTTGCTGTCCAGAGTTGCCAGCTGGGTATTTGGACAAATGCAAGACAAAAGGGAAGAAAAAAAGGAAGAAGACTGTTGGATCCAGGCATCTTAAAAAGAAGATGTAATGAAAGCTTTATATTTGTGAATTAAATGTAAAAAAACAGTTCTACTGATTTCATTTGTCCAATGCTTGATTAAAGGGAGTGATGGTGTGGATTTTTAAACCACATTTCAAAAAGCTTTAAATTGAAAAAGATATTACATGTGTTGTAGTTGTTGTATAACTTGCTAAAATGCAATCAATCTATACCTTAATAAAAGTTTAAATGTTCAGTTTTTGTCTGTCTGAATTTTATTTTATTATTTTGCATTTTGTAATAATAACTATAACCAATAACCAGGGCCTTTCAGCCTTAATTGTCATTTCAAAGCATTTTACATACATGGAAACAAAAGCTGTCTGCTGCAGTTGACCCATCCTATACAGTAGCAGCAGTGGACAGCCATAAGTGCCTGGGGAGCAACTGGGGGTTCAGTGTCTTGCTCAATGACACCTTGACTCATGGACAGGGAAAGCTAGGGAAACGAACTGCTAGTCCTGTAGTTAGTGGACACCCTTTGCTCTCTCTACTGAGTCACGGCTACCCCTTTTTCATTTCCTTGTCGCCGTCGCCAAGTGCTTGCTCATGGTGGGAACTGTTGGGTCTCTGTAAATAATTTTATAAGGAGTACGGTCTAGATCTGCTCTATTTGAAAAGTGTCCTGAGAAAACTTCTGTTATGAACTGGCGTTATACAAATACAATTGAATTGAATTGAAATATAGCATGGATTTTATATAGCCGAGGAAATATTTTTTTCTCATATTGCATTTTATTATGAAAATCTCACAAGAGATTATAAATACACTCAGTCCTTCTCTTCACTTTTCAAGAATGTCTTTCTTTTCCAGCAACTCTCGGTTTTCATTTATGTCTCCTTGACTATTACATATAGACACTGAACACACATATTATATTTTCATGCCACTTTGATAACTAATTACTGTCGACTGGTGTGTAACAGTTTAAATGCAATTTGCTTTGGGACAAAATATGCAACACTATAGCACAACAGTAACTGATGATAACAGCCTTAAGGCCTTGCAATGTCTATTACCCAATGTTGACACCATGTCTTTTAGAGGGGGCCTATAAGACTTTCTATATTACATTATTGTACATTTATGTTGTGGTTAATGTGACTTGTCGATAGGAAAAGTACAGGTGTTTAATAAAATCAAGGATGGCTTAATTCAACTTCGTTGGTTTGATTACAGAGTCCTAGCATTGTGCATTGTGTGGTGGCTCCACTGTCAGAGGGGCCAACAGCCCTCCAACTGTCTAGCGAAGTACGCATGCGCATGAAGAAAAAAAAAAACCGCGGAAGTGGTTGCTAACCTGCTGCTCTGTTGTTCACCGGACAGACCGACAGCTATGGATAAAAGACCGCTCCCACACACTGAAGTCTCGTCTGTGTAACGTTGGGGAGCTCTGCAGATGCCTTGAACATGGCAATGGTTGTTCGGAACACAGGTTTAGTTTTATACCTCTGGACTGTTTTCATCCAGTTCAGTCGCATGTCAGGTGAGCGCGAGGGGCGGAGGCAAGCTTCAAGTGCTAGTAAACAGCTAATTAGGCTAACTGGTCGGCTAACTGGTCGGCTAACTGGTCGGCTAACTGGTCGGCGTCAGACGTGCAAGGTTTTTTGCCTTCACGGTTGGTCACTTGTGATGTCAAGTGCAGAGGTGTACTGTGTCATATTCCCTTTGAATTTCCATCCCATATCACTCAACGTTAGGTTTTAACCAACACTGACTTCACACTCATGCTGCAGTTAGTCATATCGCTGACACAAGCTTGTCCTGTACGCCTTTCTGTGTCGTCTGTTTAGGTCTTGGGATCAATGAACTGCTTTATTTCCGGGTCATAAGTCCAGAGGAGATTGGGTACATCTTCAGTGCAGCACCTGCTAAAGACTTCGGAGGAGATTTTGTTAGTACTCTGCCCTCTTCTGAGTTTAATGTGTTGAGCAAATGATTCACTAGCCCCAGACACAAGTACATGCACCATCTACTCACTCCTTTTCTCCTTTTGGTCCCCAGACATCATCATATGATGAGATTTTTCTCGTACCAGCAGACCCAGCAGACGGCTGCTCAGACCTGGAGGACAGAGAAATCATCCAGGGACAAGTAATCCTGGTGGAGAGGGGGTATGTACACCTGTATATGGCATGGAGGATGGAGGATGTGACCAAAAAGCAGTAGTGGGAAACAGGAACTACAGGCTTTGATGAAGCAATTTAGCAGTGGAGGGGAACTTTGAAGGATTAGTGTGCAGTTACAGATTACAACCCTGTGTTTCATCCTCCTATTTCAAGCGTGTAGGAGAAACGTTGGTGGCTGCTAAACTCCCTATCAAGAGTCAGTGTCTATTCTGGGCTACTGTAAAAACATTATGCACTCTGTAGACGACTAATGGAAACATAGCTATAAATATTATACTCAGTGTTTGCCAATCGGTTATCCTCAATGTTACACATTTAATAAGAAAAAATTAGATATGACTGGATAGTTTGTAAGGCAGCTGTCATAGCCATACATCTGGTGCTATTATTGATGTATTGTAGGTGCAAGTCATGCCGGTGCATGTTTTTTTCTATGGTGTTCCAAGATAGTGGCTATTTGTTCCAGCCAAATTTGCTCATTGCTGCGTACACTGAAAAAATCCACAGGCCTCCACATCTTTGGGCCCTTATAGCATGTGCACGTCTTTCTCTGGCCTCGCCAGCCGCCTGCCTGCTCTCATAATGGCACAAAAATATGTGGTTATGCATGACATTTTAAATTGACGTTGGACCTATGAAATGAAGAGTGCTTGCTTAGTTAATGTTCTTTATTATTTTACAGTTATTTCTTTTGTAATGGTTGTATATGAGAACGAGTCTTTCTAGGCCAGAGAGCATCACATTACCTTCAGTTTTTACTGCGGTCACTATAACAAAATGTACTGTCAACATAGTTTATCAGCCATGACTGCACAATCCCTTTCCCAAACTGACACATTAGCTGACCTCTTATGAATTTAGGCAATAGTGGTATTTTATTGTTATTGTTATTTGTCTTTTTGTTTAGAGGTTGCTCCTTTGTACAAAAGGCCCGACATGTGGAGGAAGCAGGAGGCAAAGCTGTTCTGATCGCTGATAATGCAGAGGACAACGACAGTCAGTACCTTGATATGATCACTGATGGAAGCACTGCTAAACCGAGCATACCTGCTCTATTCCTGCTGGGACGTGATGGGTAAGACATATGAACATATACAAACAAATATTTTAACATTAATACATTTCCTGATATTAATGTGTTTTTCCATATATTCTAGGATGATGATCAGGCGATCTCTTCAGAGACAAGCACTTCCGTGGGCTGTCATTTCAATCCCGGTCAATGTTTCCTCTTTGGCTTCGTTCCCACTCAAACAGCCCCCGTGGACACTGTGGTAGAAATGACTCACACCCAAAACTTCATGCACTTACTCACTCAATAAATTGTCTTTCATCAGTGCATGTAGTAGCCGCAATGGAGGAACTCACAGCCTCACAGGGAAATTCTTTGATGTTGGTTAAACAAATTTGCACGAACTCGTGGTCAACCAATAAAATTAACATATGTACACATGATTATGTCATGCCCAAATACACATCCAAGGGCATGTGGTGCAAACCTTTTTAACAGTGTTCAAATAGACTCTTTGCCAGGGCTGTTGGCCCCTGGTGAGGACATACAAACTCAGCAAGAAACATATGTGCTTATTGTCAGTGCTCAATTGAAGTTGACTGAATTAGCCAGTGGTTTTGAAGATAATGAGTCTGTTTTACAGTTGAGTACTCTCCAGGAACTTCTGTACACTAGTCAGTCGTGAAAGTAGAAAATCTGCTACGCATTAATATAACGCATACAAATTGAAGTGTACTATTTATTTGCCTTGTCAAATAGTACAAGCTGTTGTGTATGCCTCTATGGGATAAAGAAGGAAAAAGAACAGGCCATAATAGTATATGCTATAATTCAGTTTAATACAGCATACCAGGAATGTCATCTCACTGTAAAAAAAATATTACCAAATTCCTGCTTATTTGCATGAACTCAAACAGTGTGATCAAAAATGTTTTGTCTCTCTTATCGTTAATAAATATGAAATGATTTTTTTTGCTTAAAAAATTATAATTTATTTGGTATCTATACCAACTTTTAAGACCATACCAACTTTGTTTTGTCTTTTTGGGCCTGAGGCTGAATAACCCAGACCACTGTAAGAAGTATAATGTGTACATTCATTTTATCTACTACTCCAGATCCAAAATTCAAGACCTGTTTAGAACAGTTTGGATGAACAAGATTGATGTAGACACATTGTGTATACAAAGTAAAGACAATGAAAAACGACGTATGACAAAAAGCCTTTTGTGAAAATGACAAAAAAAACAAAAACAAGGTAGAACTGGCGCCCAGTGAACCAAGGTTGAGTCCTTGCTACTCATCTACTAGTCCTAGTCTACTAGTCCCCAGCTGTCCTATCCACTGAAGACAAGCTCCAAAAAATATATATATAAAAAACATTTCCTTGAATACATTTTGCATTATTTTATACTAATTAGAGCATTAGCCCTCCCCCATTATTGTTTTTCATAATATAAGCACAATGGGCAGAGTGACACTTCGCAGGATGTCACTCAATTAGGGGGGTTTGGGATCCTAATACTATTTTGCATCTTAACAATATAATACAGGTGTTTACTTTTGGCCTGTGACCCATCATTAAGTTTTAGTTTTGGCCTTTCAGGAGAAAAAGGTTTAGTACCCTGGTTTAGATGTTTAGAATAGGTATTTTGTATTTAGTATGTCTTCTTAAAAAGCAATTTCCCTCTATTTTTTGCCAACACAATTTATCCCTAGTTTGAGTTCATCCCAAGTACTACTGACCTCCATACCTGACTGTAGTTTGCAGATGTTGGAGTTATTACTTGAAACTTACTATAATTATACCAGCTCTTGCATTTTATTGGACCTTGTTTGTTAATAACAACTTTTTTTAAAATATCTGTACTTTTCATTTCCTATACAGTTCTCATTGCACTGGTGTTCCTTTTTAAACTATCCGTAATGAGGTTTCTGACAATTTTCCTGTGAATTTTTGATGAGTTTTTTCTTGTCTTCAGAGAGTATGTACTTAACTGGTTGTTGTTTATTGATCGAATATAGGTCTGTAACCCCCATTGATCCATGTAGCCTATAAAGAGGGTTAGGGACATATAACTGGATTGGAGTGCAGAGTTCAAAAACCTTTTGAATTGAAAGTACACAAATGCTTCATAAAGTACCTGACCTATTACAGTATTTTGATGATGAATGAGGCACTAAATCAACTGCAACACCTGGGCACACACCAGTTAAAGCCAACTAGAGCAATGCATGTTTGCTTTTGACTTTCCGTCCACCCACACGCTACAATAAGATAAGCTTGTTTGATAAACTGCATGTAAGTGTCCCGGGAAGCATCTCACATATGAAGTTGAAGGCTGCTAAAATATGTTCTTTGCTTCTGTAGATTCTGTAGTTTTCTTTATTTTTGTTGAAAGTACAAAAGGTTCAGAACAGCTGTTTGAATTCATTTCTTTTAGTAAAAGTTTCAATCTGAGAGATTTCATCTAAGGACACGTGTGTTGGCCTTTGCAGTTATATGAACAGTTTGAGTAGTATCTGAGGTTAACACCAGCTGCTAGGCCTCAACACAAAATTAAACTCTGCAGTTCCTTCTGATCTGATAACATTTTTCCAACAACAATGTCATTCTGCTATATGGACAAAGACTAAAATGTGTAAAGTGCTTTCATTTAAGATGAGAAAAAGTATGTTGTATTTATTTATTTATTGTTTTTTTCCAGATTTAAAGTAGAAACTCATATCAGAAAATGTTTATTAAGGTCTGTATAGTCTTTCACTTGATATATGGTTAATGTAGACTGGTTTAATTTCAGATTATATTGCCTTATAATATAAAAGACATTATCTTTGGTCATGTTGATGTTCAGTTATATTTTCTGTCACAAAGGGACAATCATAATAAACATTTTGAATAAAAACAGTCAATAAAGTCCTAACAGATCTGAATATTAGCAATAGCATTGTTTTCAGTAACAATGTTTTATTGCAGTGGCAATAAAGTGGCCTTTTATATCTGCAGAAATTATTTGTGGACTTAAAAGGCTCCTGCATTATCTAATAGCCTGTTGACAATCATATGTTGAAGTAATGCTTAACTAATGCGTAACTCGTGATAATTTAATGTATTAATGGAGGATGTATCATGAATTCTTCTTGTTCACCGCTAACAAATGATCAATCAACAAGTGTGATTCGTTCACACTTAATAGATCATCAGTTATGGAATGTTGATTGTATTTGCTCTGCCTCTCTGAAAGCAGATCAGTACCTGTTCTCATAGAAGTATTAAGCTATTTTTAAGTCAAAACCAGAAAACCCCGAACCATTACAGAATACACAGGATAACGGCTCAAACTGCTTTGACTTGTGTTTTAAAATGGGCCTAATTGCAGTTCAGAACCACAGCGCTGCACTGCTCACAGCAAAGTAAAAAAATAACATCATTTATCATGTCTGGAAACACAATGGAAACATCTTTGATTAAAAAAAACGTAATGCTCCAGTACACCAAAGTGTCAACATGTTATTCTGGACAATATAAACTTACCAGTAGAGCTTTCTGGCCAAAATTAAATTACTTTTTAAATTAAACTTGCATATTTTCCACTGCATTTGACATTTCTTTTATAATATATATATATATATATTTTAGATTTAGGTCCAGGGCTCTCTCTGGCATAAACAGGGAGCCAAGTATACCAGTATTCTCAGACTATACAGCACTAGTCTAACATTTAATAGGAATACGTGTATCAGGACACTGTATCAACGGCTACAGGCTCAGATAAAACATTAGCACCACCTTGTAAGATCCAGTGAAGAATATTGAGTAGGAAATATTGCCAAGTTTCAATCCAAATTATTGAGAGAGGGGGGGGAACAAAAACAAACAACACACAGTTGATTAGAATAATTTGCAGAATTAAGTCCTCTGGTTCTTCTTATTTCCCTGACTTCACAGGACAGGAGCCGACTCTGAAGAGAGAGGTTATAGACAGTAAATAAGCATCGACTGCAACAATGGATAAAACTCACACAGCCCGATGTACTACATTCAAACCTAGTATATCTGTACAGACTATACACAAATAAATAAGTGTGAACATAGTGAATTTTACATGCAGCTCCCGCCAGAGTTATTCTTGCCCCCGTTACATAATCTTGCACCTCGGACACACTCTGCCCCACACTGCCCTCACCGTGGCTTCTCTCAGAGCCGGACTCCCCCATATATACACAGACGGTGTGCACACAGCGTTCAAACGAGCCATGATGGCAAAAATATTGGTGGCCTCGTTCCTGAACGTCAATCCTCCTCCTACCACAAATCTGATGACGATGTTCACAAAAGAGGGGCACCACAACACCAAGAAGCTTATGACAACAAAAATGATAATTCTCAAAGACTCCTTCTTGCTGTCTTTGTCTGCGCTGGGAGGGTCTCTCTCTAGCTGGTACCTGGCAACGACGTACAGTTTGATGGTCATGACCACCTTGGCGAGCACGATTAGTTGGAAGAAGACAATGCTGAACACGTACAGTTGTATTGCTTTGGAAAGTGGCAACACATTCCTGGCGAGCAAGTGTGCAAAATTATAAACCCAGCAGTAGATGTTGATGCCTATCACAAACTGTCTTGTTATGAAGCGGCTGTAGATGAAAGGATGGCACACAGCAAAGTAGCGGTCAAACTGTGCGAACAAAAATGTCAATATATTGACCCCTAGAAGAGAGGGTAAAATATTGTAAGTCCCATTTCGAGACGGATATCCCTCCTGAACATCAAACAGACCAAGATAATAAACTGAAAACCCAACCAGTGTATCACAAATACTGGTGTTGAGCATGAAAATAAATCTGTTTTGGAGGCGAAGCGCTCTGGTGGCCAAGATACCAATGACTACTGTTCCTGCTAAGAGAACAGTAGTTGTAGCGAATAGAATCTGGAAAATAAAGATGAAATAATCCTCAGGACTGTCGAAGTTCACCGAGAGGGGAACTCCTCCTGTCATAGAGTCTGTGATGTTGGAGAGGAGCATTGTTCACACGCAAATGGTTCATAAGTACATCCCTTATTTTATATGTAAGACCTGCTGTACCCTGAAGTCACCAGCCTTGGTCTATTGAGACGTTATGAATGACCTAATGTCGTTTTTCTCCCTTTAACACCAGCCTCATGCAGAAGTCCTGCAGAGAATTTGATTTAAACTTTGAAGACATGACTATTTTAGTGTTTGATTCTTTTTTCCCCTATAAAATAAATGGATATCTTATATATTTCCTTTCATATATATATATACATATATATATATATATATAGGATATATAGGATATACTGTATATGATCATTTATATGGTATAGAATAACGAACATAACATAAAACGTTTCATTTACCTTACTAACACATTATCGCCAATGTTAGAAATGTTTTCTTGGTTAACTGAAACTGATAGAGACATAAAATACAATATTAGTGCATTTACAAGAGCTTTCACTCGTTTGAGGTGGCCTGTATTTCACACACCACAAGATGGTGCTGTGGCCCTCTAAAAGTAGAAGAAAGCAGACAGTAAAGTTGTCCTAGTCTGTGTTTTAGCAAATCACATCAGGTCATAACTGCTGCTTACTACAGCTGACTAGTTGGCTCAGTTTGCTTTGCAGCTGATCTTTTGTGTTGTCACAGGAAGTTCTGGATGGGAGGAGGAGGTTTTCAGGGCTGGGGCGAGTGGGGGGGATGCAGAAAGAGGCCCCAAAGCTGGAAAGGAGATAGGGGAAGTTCCGGCATTGGAGAGGGTAGCTACAACCTAGAGCCAGAATATGTTTCACATTTAAATTAAGGATTTATTTAGACCAAGCCTGAGCTGGTGATTGTTGAAAGAGTGGAAAGACTAACACGGACTGTTTTGGTGAGTTTTACTTTGTTTCTGTCCTGTTTCAATGAGGTGTGTTTTATGATAACAAGGAAATTAAGGTTTTAGTTCAGAGAAGCTTGAATTCAAAAGGTGTAGGGTTGTATTTTTCTGTTTAAGAAGGAAAATACGTGTATGAGTATTTCTATTCTTGATATTTTTGATTTTATCTAAGTTAATTTATTAGACTTAAAAGCTAACAGAACTTGTGTAATGTAAGGTACTCCCAGGTGGAAATATAGTGTATGGGAAGTCAAACAGTTCAAAAGCCAGTCAGGGTAAACCAGTCAGAGGCAGAGTAGGGCAGATCATTGCCTCTCTAATCCTAGGGGAAAAGATTATGGCATACAGGACAGGCCGGAGCTATCTGGTTAGCATGCTCACTTTAGTAGATACACACAATACATAAATGTCTTTGAAATAATAACAAAACTGTCATTTTTGCATTCTGTTGGTAATTTTAGTTCATTTATGAATGTTTGAAACTCTTCAATTCTTATAATGCATCTTCAAAACTGTTAGAAAGAAATAGTTTTGATTTGGACTTCAGCACCAGGAGCTGTCCACAATGACCTTCTGTCCCACATTTAAATATAGAGGTTAGGCTTTTATATTGGAAACTGGGTCAGTTTCATTGGGATTCACATGGGCCTTGTATCAGTGTCTACAGTAAATGTACAAACAGTGGTTAAACATTTTGATGTATAGCTGAATAAACCTTTCTGTATTCATTTGAAGACTAAAAAAAAAGTTGGACTCTTCCAGAGCCAGACTTGCCTATAATCCACTGCAGTTAGGTTTTGAATTATTTTAATGTCTTATGGAATATGGGTGGAAATAAAGTGAGAGCTCTTTAACGTTATTAAAAATAAAAGAGATAATAAATAGTAGATTAAATAGTGAAGTCCAGCAGCAGGGTCAAGTATTACAGCGCTGTCCCAATTTCTACTTTCCATAAAAGTTCCTTTTACTTTTACATACACAGATGCTGAAAAATAGCATTTTACCAGGACCTAGAAATACATAATTTGTTAATGTAGTTCATTAAAATATATTTTATTAATAATAATAATAATAATAATAATAATAATAATAGTTATAGTAATACTACTACTACAGTATATTAAATCAGATGTCCACCCACAGATAGTTTACAGAGTTTAACTGCTTATTAGTTGAGATTCAACAATTCAACTGTTTGACAAATAAAGGTCCGGTTAGCTTTAGGAACAAAAAACATCTTGGTTAGGTCATGTTCATGTTCATGATATGTCACATAGTCTCTCTGTTAAACATCTACAGACAAAGCAAATGTTACAAATAGCTTCTTTATAAAGGCGGGCCGTCCAAATTGCATGCAACCTTCTCCACTATAATATTACAAAATACCATATTAGGGTTGAATTTAGAAAAGAGATATGAATTCCAATTATTATTTAAAGTAGGAACAATCTCCGGAGGGGACCAAAGGTTTCGTATACTGAAGCCTAAACGTAAAAAAAACAACAATGGAAAACTTAAAAAGGACTAAATGAAGCATACAGAAAATGAACGGGAAAATTGCACTTCAATGTCATGAACAAATAGCAAACACTGTGACAAATACAATGATTGGTTTTTTTTCAATTACAGAAATATTTCTTTCCGGTCATTGTCATGCAGTCCCTTATCACAGAATCAGTGACGGGGTCCTCGGTTTCAGTGAATCGGGGCCCTTTCTTTGCCTTTTCCCTTCACAGAAGTGGAGCCAACTCTGAGAAAGAAGCGAATAAACAGCTGCTTATTGCAAGTTTGTAGAGAAATGAGTGCATCTTAATTCTAACATAGAGCCATTTATTTAACCTCTTACCTCCTCTTGCACCTCGGACACACTCTGCCCCACACTGCCCTCACTGTGGCTTCTCTCAGAGCCGGACTCCCCCACAAGTACACCGCCGGTGTGCACACAGCGTTTAAACGAGCCATGATGGCAAAAATATTGGTGGCCTCGTTTCTAAATCTCAACCCCGTTCCTACCAGCAGCCTGAGGACGATATTCACAAAAGAGGGGCCCCACAACACCAAGAAGCTTATGACAACAAAAATGATAATTCTCAAAGACTCCTTGTTGTTTTCTCTCTCTGCGCTGGGAGGGTCTCTCTCTAGCTGGTACCTGGCAACAACATACAGTTTGATGGTCATGACCACCTTGGTGAACACAATAATTTGTAAACTGACAATGCCGAAAACATACAGCTGTATTGATTTGGACAGTGGCAAGAAATTTGAAACGATCGATTGAGAATAGACATGAAACCAACAATAGACATTTGCAGAGATAACCACTCTCCGGGTTATAAAGCGCGTGTAGATGAATGGATGACAAACAGCAAAGTATCGGTCAAACTGTGCAAATAAAAATGTCATTATGTTAACACCTAGAAGAGAGGGTAACATATTATAAGTCCCATTTCTAGATGGAAATCCTTCCTGAACATCAAACAGACCAAGATAATAGACTGAAAACCCAACCAGTGTATCACAAATACTGGTGTTGAGCATGAAAATAAATCTGTTTTGGAGGCGAAGGGCTCTGGTGGCCAAGATACCAATGACTACTGTTCCGGCAACAAGAACCGCAGTTGTAGCGAATAAAAGCTGGAAAATAAAGATGAAATAATCCTCGGGACTGTTGAAGTTCACCGAGAGGGGAACTCCTCCTGTCATAGAGTCTGTGATGTTGGAGAGGAGCATTGTTCATGCGCAAATGGTTCATAAGTGCTTCCATTATTTTATATGTAAGACCTGCTGTACCCTGAAGTCAACAGCCTTGGTCTATTGAGACACTATGTATGATCTAATGTCGGGTTTCTCCCTTTAACGCCAGCCTTGAATCTTTGAAGACATGTTTATTCAACTTCTATTTTCATTTAACAATATGTCCTCATCCTGGTGCAACAATATAGAAATAACCAGATCTAATATGATAACAAGCAAGTGCCTTCATGACTAGTTTGAGGAATATTATATCAAAAACAAACAAACAAACAAAAAAAAACCCCTCCCAGATGGTGTTGTGGTATCTAGAAGCAGGAGAAAACAGAATCTCAAGTTCTCCTGCACAGTAAAAATGATTCTTTACCCCTCTAAATATAACCCTGATCTTATATTTAAATTCTACTAGGAATCACTATTTCGGTGCTTTTACTTACAATATCACCCTTTTATTTAATGTGTTACTTGGTATTTGTGTGTATTTTTGTATAGTCATTTTCATATGTAACCTTTAACCATATGTAACATATGAATATATACAGTTGTCTTGTGACATCTTGTCACATGGATAGGTCAGATTCATTTATTTATTCATACAGACCACCTGACCACTGCAGTGTACTTTTCCCCGATCATAGGTCAACCACTATAGGCATTAAAACACGACCACACAGAGTTTGCTGTGTGGGATTATTTTGATAAGTCAAGTAGGCTTTATTGCACCATACAGTTTTAAGCAATGTATATCCTGTATATTCAGTCTAATTAGTAAAATAGTTTGTAAGCAGCTGAGGGCAGGTGCAGATGATAAAGCTGGTGCAGAAAGAAATAAGCAATGCATTCTTGCACCAAGTTGGTGCAAAGTTATCGCGTTCTTTTGTAGACAATTACATTGATGCAATGTTCTGCTGCTTTGTGTGTATTTTATTGCATAATGTGTAGTGTTTTCTGTAACAATTTGCTTCTGTCTGTATTAACAGTAATATGTGGAAGGTTGACGAGATGCCATCATCCACCGCTTGCAGTTTCTTGGAGAGTCTGGAGAGGAACTTAAAGACTACCAGGTATATTCTGACATTTTCTTTTGATTGTTGTGTCCATATTAAGCACAATTCAACTGCTCATACTATCCTAACCCTAATACTAGTACATACATATATTTACAGGTGAATAAATCATACCATTGTCTCCTAATTAGTTTTTCAGTAGAACTGAAGACTGAAATTTTCTTTTAAAAACCAAGTGAATATAAATCCCTACATAATAAGTTACTAGGTCTTTATCGGTATTAAAATCAATTGATATTTAAATATTTGATCAACATTTAACCAATGGTTTGTTCTGAGTGTCTTATGTTGCATTACTGCATGTGTAGATGCAGTTAACTCATTCAATAACTTTTAAGAAAACATGTACAGTGTATTGCACCTGAAGACAGATTAACATGTTTTGACAGGATGTCTGCAAAGAAACAGGATTATTACTGAGCATGTCAAGAAGGTCTTTGTGGAAGTGCAACACACCAAAGGCCCCACCCCTACTGATATGTCCATCATTGAGGTAACTAAGGTTATTGATGATTGTAGATGTAGATAAACACTTACCTTATACTCATGGGTTTATCTATGTGGTGAACTTAAATCGCCTATATATGTGCTTGAGCTTGATGTCCTGAAAAAGTCTCCCAAAGTCCAGGTGTTGTGCAACAAACTTCTAGTGTATGCACACATTTCTGACCCTGCTTTGTTTTGTTTAACTTGCAATTCAAAGGAAATACATGGTGGCTAAAAAGGGAAAATTATTCTAGAAACAGTGTCCTCTTTCAAATGCCTGAGCTTACTTTATATAAGTGCATGGTTATATATATGCTAATGTTTCCCAAACCTAGGATCTGGAAGCATTGCAGGTTGGGTGGTGGTACTAAGTCTACGGTGGCCCTGAGAGCTCAACACACTTCAAAGAAAACCCCGGTATAAAAACGCATGCAGCATTTAGAAAAAAATAGGCAAAGTGATAAAACCAAACCAAACATAGAAACAGTGCAAGTAACAGAGACGACAATAGAATCACAAACCACTGCGACAAGTCTACCCTGGATACAGTTTCTGTTGTTGTCAGTGGTACTTGCAGCATTTCTGTATTGGCTGTTTTTTTTTCTTTATTTGCACTATTTTTTTCTAAATGCTGCACATGTGTTGCAGTTTGTTGAGATCTCAGGGCCGCAGCAGAACCCCTACATACTCTGTAATATTCTCTAAGACCTAAAAGAAAGTGATACGTGAGTGATTGCACTTGTGTTTCTTGTAAAGCCATTGCACCTGGGCACTGCATTGCACTCGTAAAGCACTCAATGTTTTTTAAAACTTCACTGAGATAAAAAATGATCAGCTGAGAGGCCAAGTGTTTTAATTTAAAAATGTTTGTGCTTTCACTTTTTGACGGCAGTGATTTGGGTGCAGTGTTTTGTCTGTTGAGTTAATGCACCAGACTGTTTACTGTGAGAACCAATTTTGAGCGGAATACTTCCATCAGTGTTTAGGAAAATAATAAAGGTGCTGTTTCATGTTTTGTAGTAGCCTAATGTTAAGTTTTATTGAATAAAAGGAAGCCCAGAATTTTTTTAAAAAATGCATAGATTAATTATTATTTAAATAATTCTGAGATATTTCTCAAATGAAATTAAAGAAAAGCAAGTAAAAAGAACATTAAAGCCAAACATTATTAGAGGAGTTTTCAAATTTGATTAATAAGTAGTCTAAGTGAAACTGCTCTGGAATACTGAGTAAAATTTACTGACAAAGACTGAAAATAGGCAGTAAAGTTTACTTGAGAAGATTTAATAGAAACTACTCTTAAACATAATTAAAGGTCACTTTAAATATCATCTGTGAAGTTTACTAAGACTTCTGTGTGTGGAAATTCTTACCTAGGTTTTTCTAAGTAAATAGTCCTCCACATTTTTATTTATTTATTTATTTTTATAAAATATTAATATTGTAGACATAAAATTAAATTTGATGCGTTTGATTTAAACGACCCACTCTTATTTATTTATTTATTTCGGTTTATTAGGCGATTGTCTTCCCCAGTTTACCGTCCGCAGATTTTCCTTATTTCTCCATTTATTCTGAAAATCATAATTTTGACAAGAACTAGAAATAATTAATTTGGTAATCTAGTTCATTAAAATATACTTAATAATATATAATACAATATAATAATAATAATAATAATAATAATAATAATAATAATAATAATAACAATACGGCACTTTCGCCCGTAATAGTTCAAAATACTATATCAGGGTAAAGTTTAGGATTTTTCTAAAAATTTTTATCGTTTTATAAGGAGGAACCATCTTTGAAAACGCCAAAGGTTTCTTACACTGACTGTAAACAGTAAAAAGTCCTGAATGGTCAGGAAGGAGCTCTTAAAATTGTGACAAATACAATGATTTATTTATTTATTTTTAATTAAATTTCCAGTTTAAATATTTCTTTCCGGTCATTGTCATGCAGTCCCTTATCACAGAATCAGTGACGGGGTCCTCGGTTTCAGTGAATCGGGGCCCTTTCTTTGCCTTTTCCCTTCACAGAAGTGGAGCCAACTCTGAGAAAGAAGCGAATAAACAGCTGCTTATTGCAAGTTTGTAGAGAAATGAGTGCATCTTTATTCTAACATACAGTCATTTATTTAACCTCTTACCTCCTCTTGCACCTCGGACACACTCTGCCCCACACTGCCCTCACTGTGGCTTCTCTCAGAGCCGGACTCCCCCACAAGTACACCGCCGGTGTGCACACAGCGTTTAAACGAGCCATGATGGCAAAAATATTGGTGGCCTCGTTTCTAAATCTCAACCCCGTTCCTACCAGCAGCCTGAGGACGATATTCACAAAAGAGGGGCCCCACAACACCAAGAAGCTTATGACAACAAAAATGATAATTCTCAAAGACTCCTTGTTGTTTTCTCTCTCTGCGCTGGGAGGGTCTCTCTCTAGCTGGTACCTGGCAACAACATACAGTTTGATGGTCATGACCACCTTGGTGAACACAATAATTTGTAAACTGACAATGCCGAAAACATAGAGCTGTATTGATTTGGACAGTGGCAAGAAATTTGAAACGATGGACCGAGAATAGACATGAAACCAACAATAGACATTTGCAGAGATAACCACTCTCCGGGTTATAAAGCGCGTGTAGATGAATGGATGACAAACAGCAAAGTATCGGTCAAACTGTGCAAATAAAAATGTCATTATGTTAACACCTAGAAGAGAGGGTAACATATTATAAGTCCCATTTCTAGATGGAAATCCTTCCTGAACATCAAACAGACCAAGATAATAGACTGAAAACCCAACCAGTGTATCACAAATACTGGTGTTGAGCATGAAAATAAATCTGTTTTGGAGGCGAAGCGCTCTGGTAGACAGTATGGTAAGGACTACTGTTCCGGCCACAAGAACCGCAGTTGTAGCGAATAAAAGCTGGAAAATAAAGATGAAATAATCCTCGGGACTGTTGAAGTTCACCGAAAGGGGAACTCCTCCTGTCATAGAGTCTGTGATGTTGGAGAGGAGCATTGTTCATGCGCAAATGGTTCGTAAGTGCATCCATTATTTTATATGTAAGACCTGCTGTACCCTGAAGTCAACAGCCTTGGTCTATTGAGACACTATGTATGATCTAATGTCGGGTTTCTCCCTTTAACGCCAGCCTCGTGCAGAAGTCCTCCAGAGAATTTGATTTAACCTTTGCAAACTTTTATTGCCCTCATTTAACAATATGTCCTCATCCTGCTGCAACAATATAGAAATAATCAGATCTAATAATATATGATAACAAGCAAGAGCCTTTATGACTAGTTTGAGTTATATTATATCAAAAACAAACAAACAAAATAAAGCACACCCAGATGGTGCAGTGGTATGTAGAAGCGGGAGAAAGCAGAAATTCTCCTGTTTTGTGTGTGTGTGTGTGTGTGTGTGTAAAATATTGTTGTAGACTTAAAATGAAATTGCCAACAAGATGTGTTTGATATAAATGATCCACTCTCATTATTCTTTCGGTTTATTAGACACAGCACCGACAGCTGCCCGCAGTGGCCTTCTGTAAATGAGGCCCAGAACGAGGCTCGGTAATGCGGTCGTGTCGCCACATTAAAGCTAGTTTAGGCTATTTTATGATAATGAGGCCGGTTTCATTTGGATTCAGGGCTCTCTGCTGCGCAGTGTAGAGTGAATGTATGAGCAGTGCTTAAACGTTTTAATGTCGCTAAAGAAAACTTTCTGTATAAAAAGTATGACTCTTTCAGTGCCGGGCCCGTCTAACCACTGCAGTTATGTGTTTGGGTGTTGTCTTTGAAATATGGGTGTGGAAATGAAGTTGATTGATATTGACCTCTGTAACACTACAGATTGAAGAATAAAGTTCAGCAGCAAGGTCAAATATAACGAGGTTACAGCCCGGCTCAACTTATCTTGGCCAGTTTACCCTTCGCAGATTTTCCTTATAGTCTCCACTTATGCTGAAAATCATCATTTTGACAAGAACTAGAAATAATTAATTAGGTAATCTAGTTCATTAAAATATACTTCATAATAATAATAATAATAATAATGATAATACGCTGAATATGAGCTGACCAAAACATTCAACTCACTTATAGGAAACATATTATAGGCCTAACGATTAATATGTCATGTACCATTGCACTTAACCACATTATCAGAAACCTGCATAGATTAGGCTATATGAAGTATAAAGACAAGTGAGTGACCTTTATGAACGTACTCTCCTTATCAATAGCAAAGTTAAATAATGTAGCCTACGGTCAAATAATCGATAAGGCTTTTTGAACTCAAAGGTGAACCAAAACTCTAATAGCCTACTCACCATAATGTAACACATTAAATATACGACTGGGAGCTGTTGGAGCTGCAAGCACAACACAGTTAAAATGCAACCTTCTCTCCTGTAATATTTCAAAATACTTTATCAGTCAATACTATATGATTCTAATCATTTTATAAGGAGGAACAATATCTGAAGAAGCCGCGGGTTTGAAGGCATGAATGGTCAGGAAGAACCTGTAACACTGTGACAAATCCAATGATTTATTTATTTTAAAAAAAATGTGATTTACTCTTTCTTTCCGGTCATTGTCATGCAGTCCCTTATCACAGAATCAGTGACGGGGTCCTCGGTTTCAGTGAATCGGGGCCCTTTCTTTGCCTTTTCCCTTCACAGAAGTGGAGCCAACTCTGAGAAAGAAGCGAATAAACAGCTGCTTATTGCAAGTTTGTAGAGAAATGAGTGCATCTTTATTCTAACATAGAGCCATTTATTTAACCTCTTACCTCCTCTTGCACCTCGGACACACTCTGCCCCACACTGCCCTCACTGTGGCTTCTCTCAGAGCCGGACTCCCCCACAAGTACACCGCCGGTGTGCACACAGCGTTTAAACGAGCCATGATGGCAAAAATATTGGTGGCCTCGTTTCTAAATCTCAACCCCGTTCCTACCAGCAGCCTGAGGACGATATTCACAAAAGAGGGGCCCCACAACACCAAGAAGCTTATGACAACAAAAATGATAATTCTCAAAGACTCCTTGTTGTTTTCTCTCTCTGCGCTGGGAGGGTCTCTCTCTAGCTGGTACCTGGCAACAACATACAGTTTGATGGTCATGACCACCTTGGTGAGCACAATAATTTGTAAACTGACAATGCCGAAAACATACAGCTGTATTGATTTGGACAGTGGCAAGAAAGCTAAAACGGTGGTCTGAGCATAGACATAAAGCCAACAATAGACATTTGCAGAGATAACCACTCTCCGGGTTATAAAGCGCGTGTAGATGAATGGATGACAAACAGCAAAGTATCGGTCAAACTGTGCAAATAAAAATGTCATTATGTTAACACCTAGAAGAGAGGGTAACATATTATAAGTCCCATTTCTAGATGGATATCCCTCCTGAACATCAAACAGACCAAGATAATAAACTGAAAACCCAACCAGTGTATCACAAATACTGGTGTTGAGCATGAAAATAAATCTGTTTTGGAGGCGAAGGGCTCTGGTGGCCAAGATACCAATGACTACTGTTCCTGCTAAGAGAACAGTAGTTGTAGCGAATAGAATCTGAAAAATAAAGATGAAATAATCGTCAGGACTGTCGAAGTTGACCGAGAGAGGAACTCCAGTCTGAGGGTCTGTGGAGTTGAAGAGGAGCATTGTTTCAAGCTGCAGCTTTGATTTAATGACATTATAAAGCTGGTTGATAAACCGCCCCACATGTAAACTTAAACAGCTTTACTCCCATGAGTCATGACCTAGTATCACTTTTCATAGGCTTAACATTTACGTTTTTATTTATTTATTATTTTTTGTTCAAAGAAAAGTCAATTAAAGCTTTTGCCAATGAAGCATATTTCTTTAAATTTGAGGGTACATAATGAAATATAATTGTAATTGTAATAAGATTTTTTTTAGAACCTTTACCTGGTCATTGTAAAACCAAACACAACACGTTCAAGAGGGAATTACATGCATGAACCTTTAATCTGTTTATTGCCCCTGAACTCAGGAATGTGTTACTGTGTTAGAGTGATGCTCCAACAGGGATAAAGGGATACTGTCTCTTTGAAAAGTGAAAGCCTCTGATGGATGACTGAAGAAACTTTACGGAAAGACAAAGAAAGTTCAGCGATGCTGGACGGCCAGAGGAGTGTTCAGGGTTTGCAATCCACGCACAAGCACCAAATGTTCTAAATCCACACACAGTCCTCTCTGAAGCTCAATCTGACAATAAATGGTTTTATGTTGTTGATTTGATTTTTTTTTTTTTTTATTTGATTCATGTCATCCCCTCTCTCTACCCCATTTCCTGTCCGTCTTCAGCTGTCCTAGTTGTCCAACCCCCCCAAAAAAGCCCTGTTAGTATCAGAGGACCTGACCTTAACTGGGTCCACATTGTCCACATTAGCTTGAACAAAAAACTTCCAACTTTGAACAGCAAGGTTGCTCAGGTATAACACAGTTCTGTTGACATGCCAAACTTCACAGTTACTACTCCCAGGAAATTCTGCACAGACAGCAGAGCTAGTCGCATTCACAGAGGTATGTAAACATGAAAAAGACAAAACTGGACATTTTCACAGACAGCAGATATGCGTCAGTCGGTCTTAGCAAATGTGCAAAGTACATAAACTGCATTAGTAAAAGTCTTTAGATCAGACTGATGAATGAATTCAGACGGAGGGCTGATGTGCACTGCTCCTGCTTCAATTTAGGTTTGGAAATTGAACTCAACTTACCTATTTAACAGGGAGACCGGTTTGTTAGAATAGATTGGATTTTTATTTCAAACACAATGCAAATACATACAAGAAAAAACTAATAACAACAAATAGAATTTACAGCAAACCCACAATAAATAATGTATGTGTTACACATCATGAATTAAATATAAGAAATCACATTAACTGTGTCATTAAGACTGCATTTTACAAATAAAAACCTTAAGAAATTAGCAAGAAATTCCTTGTGCGCTTACTTTCACAAAGAAATGAATTCATTCTTTTCGCCCACAACTGACTCCTGCAACGCAGAAGCTGAAAAATGTGTTCAATTCCAAATAGTTTGGCAAAGTGTACAACAACAGAGCACATTTTATTGTTTTAGTACTGTGATTGTATGACTTTATAGACTTGTATGGTCTGAGCTGTACAGGAGAACAGTACATTTCCCCAGAGTGGGATCAATAAAGTCTATCTTATCTTATCTTACAAACCTGCAGTCTAATTGTTTGAACACTCAAACAGACAGAAAGATGAGCTCTTTATTACTGTGAAATCTTCCAAATCATCCTGCGTCAACCTTACCAGTCCTATGAGAAGAAAAAATGTCATTGTCATCAATTGTGAATTATTATCAGTAGGCTATTATTATTATTATTATTATTATTATTATTATTATTATTATTATTATTATTATTATTATCTGGCTAAAATTTGACATAACACCCTTGAGCTACACATTGTTTTACATTGTGAAAAGATTAATACTTTTGTAATCCAGCATTTGCCACAAAAAAGAAAGCTTATAGACAATTATATGTTCTGATATCCTTGCCCCGCCTTAAATCTGCACGATGTTTGATAATTAAACAATCGATCCAACACTGCCATTAAATCAATAAAGTTAGCCTAAATCAAATTGCATGAGAATTAATGTCGTCCTACCTAAAGTTTAGAGGAAACAGGTTGTGATAAACTATTCACAGGGTTGAGCTGTAAGCAGGCCTCTTTCACTGCAGACGTGTTGACTTGTCATAGCAGGCTAAACAGGGCTGTGAATAATAACTTTAACGACGTGTCCGTTTTAGACATTAAGGAAACCTTATTAATGATGTTTATATAACACCAATTTGTTTCCCCAGTTGAACTGTGGTGAGAATAATTGCTGCCTGCATTACTGTGTGTTCACAGGCAACGTTTATGTTCTGCACCCACACCGTAGCCTACTTTCATAATGCTGTAGCGCAGGCGTTTGATTGAAAGAGCGGATATTTGGGCGGAAAACAAATGAAATACGTCCCTTTTACTGATACTGACAGTTTCAACAATTTGCGACTTACCAGATATGTTGATTAACAACGTTTTCTCATTGCATTGACATAACGTTTCCTCCTAAACTGATGCAAATGAGTACTTGGCCTAAAAAGGATGTATAGGTTAAGAGCTAGGAGACAGGGTTGGCCATTAAACCTTGCCACAAGCCATTATGAGCACTGAAACCTGAAATATCAACCATATGTCTCTGCCCTTTCTATTGGCTGAAATCCGATGTAAACTATTAACAATTAATGATTGACTTTACATTTAAAATGCCACTGCTGCGGTATTTTGCCACACGCATGAATAAGTTACATTTGGTCATCGTTTGCAGTGTTATTGCACTAACTGCTTATTGGTGCAAACCCACCTTCTGGGTCGTTTGCAGCAGAAGATTTTACTCCACAGTTTTCCACACGGCCGTCCTGAGTGAGGGGCTGGCCCACAGGTAGATGGAGGGGGTAAACAGAGCGTTGCTCCTGGATAAAATTTTCATGGGGTTAACGGCGTCATTTTTCATGACATAATATTTTCCCGTCAGAGAAGACAGGATCGTATAGAGTATGGATGGGCCCCACAGCAGCTGAAAAAACACCACCACCACCACTATGATCAACAGTGACTCCTTCTTGCTGTCTCTCTCCGGGCCCGGCGGCTCTCGCCGGAGCTGATACCTCGCAACTGTGAGCAACTTGATCGTCATGGTTATTTTTGTGAAAATAATCAGCATCAGACTGATTCTGCTGTATATTCCGATCTCTATGGCTTTTGAAAGTGGCACCAGATGCTGTACCATCAGCATACCATAAACATGCACCCAGCAATACACGTTGACACAAACAATCACTCTTGTGTCGATAAAACGATCATAAAAGAATGGATGGCACACCGCAAAATATCGATCAAACTGGGCAAATAGAAAGGTCATGATATTAACTCCGAGAAGAGACGGTAAAATGAAATAAGTCCCGTTTTTAGAAGGGAAGCCCACTCGCACATCAAAGAGAAATTGATAGAAAATGCCACCGCCGGTCATTGTGTCACAGATACTTGTGTTGAGCATAAATATGAATCGATTTTGTCTTAAAAGTGCATGGGTGTTACTGATACCTAATGCCACGGAGCCGGCCGCCAGCACGGTGCTAACCCCGGCCAAGATATGAAAAATAAAGAGGAAATAGTCCCCTGGACCATCAAAGTCAACGCACAGGGGAATGAGAGTTGTGTTGATCGAGAGGAGCATGATGGGAGTGCGCAATGGACGCAGCCCAACCCGAACTGCCACAGAAACAGACTAACTCTCCCATTTTAAAGTCATGTTTTGTTTTTTGTTTTTTGTCATGCGGACTGGGATGGGATGAGTGTAGGAGGAGACAGGGACAGTGTGGAGGTCCCATCACCCATAACCTCTGTGATTTGTATTTATTTATTTAAATGTCCCTTTTATTTCATTCAGACAGCAATAAAAGAAGAACTGCATTAGTGTATACAGTATAGATAGATAGATAGATAGATAGATAGATAGATAGATAGATAGATAGATAGATAGATAGATAGATAGATAGATAGATAGATAGCGCTGTAGTGGAGCTGTCCGCGGTGCTGGACTTGGAGCTGTACAATATACTTTTATATTTGTGTGGTTTCATGTAAACCTTAATTCTAAATTAAAATTTGGCCAAATTGCAGCAAATTCAAATTTCGGAGACAGTTTAGCAGCTTGGTATCCGCGATCAAGACAAATAAGAGAATTAATGTCCGACTAAACCAACAAAACTTTACTCTTTGCCGGCCATATCCACAGCGGTCCCAGCCCTGAGCTGTTACTACTGTGTGGTGAAGTTCACAACTTTTCTGCAGAAAGTTTCATCATAAAAATGTCATCCAAACTTTAAAAAAAACAAAAAAAACAGGTTCAGGACATTTAATAGAGGGTTTCCATATGTTAGCTCCAGGAGAAGAGGAGCTTTGTGGAAAATAAAAATATGAGTGCTGTCAGTTAAACCCATTTTAACGGCGTCAATTTCTTTAACGCGAGATTAACGTTCTTTTTGGCCTAGCACACTTTGTAGTTTTTTTTCACATGCTGTTGCAACAACTAGTAATGTTAGAAAAACTACAACACCACACCGGATCTAGCTAGACCGGAAATAAACAACAACATATAACAGGCACGCCGCACACACAGTAGACGTTACATTTTGAGTGGATGGCGAGCGCGTGACGCCGAAATGGATGCCAATAATATTCTGAATGGAAAGTTTACTTTTAAAAAGTTTCCAAATGGGTCCATTGACAAGACCAAAGTGATCTGTGTGTTTTGTCGTTGTGAACTGAGCTATCATCGCAGCACGTCCAGTCTGAAATACCACTTGAGGCCAAACTGACGCGAATTCTCCTCCCCACCGTCAAAGCCAGGCGACAATGGATGATTTTTCAATAAAAACAACATTTGCACAAAGCAAGCCGATCCACTTTTCTATGTTGATAAGAGCATTAGAATAAGAGAAAATAATGGGACAAAAAGAAATCAAGGGACATTTACAATAGATAAAAATGTGCGATTAATTGCGAGTTAACTATGACATTAATGCGATTACTTGTGATTAAATAGCCTATTTTAATCGTTTGACAGCACAACAAAAGAACACAACCCAGTTACAAGTTTCAATATAATCAAAAGATCCAAAGACTATCCAAAATTAACATTTTTATTCTGTTAAAAGCGTCATGACAGGTACCTTGTTTCCAAATGAAATGTCAGAATCAGTGGGCTTAGCCCCAAACTAATGGAGGACCCTCGAAATATGTGGCAATGGCAGATACAGTAATGGCATACCTAATCTCAAATACAGTCCATATTTCACCTTTGACATCACACCTGAATTTCCACACAAAAAAAGCTCAGCAGCCCAATCTATCAGGTGTGTTTTGTTTCTTTTTTCAAACATTTAAAACAGGAGGATTGAGAACTCACATGCATTCAAAAGCGACTGAAACACTTGCAATCCTCACGGCAGCCACTTGATCTGGCTATTTATCTAATTCTCCTTATGATATTGATGCTGGTAATTTCATAAGGCTATTTTGTTTGTCAGTCCATCAACGTTTAAGCCAATTCTGTAAGAGAGAGAGAGAGAGAGAGAGAGAGTTAATGTACATAATATTTATTATTCACACAACATTCTAATTCATTCCAACTACTACACAGTTGGTAAGACACGGAAAATACCAAAGTAGTGTCATTTTGAATCACTAAGTGTTGAGACCGACTCTTACCTTACCATCCGCCAGGGGCAGACCCTCCTCCACACTGTTCTCCACACGGCCCCACGCAGCGCCGGACTACCCCAGATGTACAGAGCCGGCGTGACCAGCGCGTTCAGGCGTGCCATGATAGCAAACAGGTTAGTGGCTTCATTCCTAAACCTCATACCTTTGCTAGTCAACTGTCTGACTATTATATTGACAAAGGATGGACACCACAGAGCCAAGAAGCAAATAACCACAAACACAATGATGCGTAACGACTCCTTCTTGTTGTCTCTCTCGGCGCTGGGCGCCTCTCTCACCAGCTGATTCCTGGCTATGATGTATAATTTAATTGTCATCAACACTTTAATGAGAACAATAATCTGCAGAGCAATTACACCAAACGCGTTTATTTGAGCCGCCTTTGAAATGGGCACCATGTTCTGCACCGTGAGGATGGTGTAGGTGTAAATCCAGCAAAACGCGCAAAGCCCAATGACAAACGCCCTCGTTATGTAGCGGTGGTAAAAGAAAGGGTGGCACACAGCGAAGTACCGGTCAAACTGAGCGAAGAGGAAGGTCAACACGTTGACTCCTAGAAATGAGGGTAAGATATAGTAAGTCCCGTTCCTTGAGGGATAGCCCTCTTGGACGTCGAAGAGGCCGAGGTAGTAGACCGATAAGCCGGTCAGAGTGTCACTGATGCTGGTGTTCAGCATGAATATAAAACGGTTCTGGCCTCGCAGGGACCGGGTTGAGGATATCCCGATGACCACGGAGCCGGCGACGAGCACGGCACTCGTGGCGAACAGGATATGGAATATGAAGATGAGGAAGTCCTCCGGTGTGTCGAAATCCACCGACAGAGGGACGGTGGCGTTAAGGAGCATCCTGACGCTCCGCCAGAAGACGAGCGTCCATTATATTTATAGATGAAAGGTGCAACTTGTCAGGATTTGAGCGAACCTCCTTGATCTCTAGAGGACATAGGCTTTAGCATAAACAAGTGTAATGTTAGGGTGACGCATGACAGACATATGGAAAGAATAAATGAGGCCTAATCACAAGAAGTCCCAGAAGTGTTCGGTAATGGTGATCAGTCACTTGTTTGTGCGTCCTGTGGTTTCCATAACGCGTTCTGGGTAATCTGGTGCGGCCTAAAATGTCCTCTTTCACCTTTAAGTCTGAGTTCTACATGGTTCAGGATGACCCCGTAAAGACCCCACTTAATGGTGAGGGTATTATCATGAAATCGTGCATACATTTATGCATAAAAAAAAAAGAATGAACTAACTCATGTAGTGCTAATGGACTATCAGAGAAATTAATACAATTTCATGCCTGATTTAATGCAAGAACATCAAGTAATACAACAACTGAGGTGTTTCAATCATAATTTTTAAGAGTTATTCGATGTTCATGTCTTCTTCAAGTCTGAGACAGGGCAAAAAACTAACACACACTTCTTCATTACTTCATCATGTTAGTGGCCCTTCAGCTAAAGTAGTGACCTGGCTCATATTCACCACGGATATATGAAATAAAATGTATTAAGCATTTATGGATTGTTTTGGCAACATGACACCAAGGTCACTGAATGTGGTCACAAAATGTACTGCAGAGGCCTATGGTCTTTTCACAGTTGCTTCATTCACAAAAACATAACCAGGCACTTCAACAGTAATATCTAAGAACAATGCCCAAAAGGAGGTAATTTGCTTGTTAAAAAATAATAAGTAAAGTAAACCATGGTTTTTTTTTTATCAGTGTCGAATACAGACTAGATTGAAGAGCCACAAACAAGACACCACATGGACTTGAATACATATCCACACTGTGTCCTGTCCCTTTAACGGCAGACTTAATTATGAAGAAGACATAATCATCATTAGTAACTCAGAAATCATGATGATTGCATTAAATCATGCATTAGACACTGTTAATTCTTGTACATTACTGATAGTTAATGAAGTGCTACATGAATAAATTCATTCTTTTTCATGCATAAATTCATGCTAATTCTCCATAAAGTGCTCCTGAATCCTGAAATTGTATCTCTTCTAAATCAACAGAGATATTCTTCAACAAAAAAACTAAATGTGTTGATTAATCGAGACATCTGTGTAATGAGAAAGTTCTTGTCTCTGCAGGAGTCGTTTGAGGCCTTCCTTTTTATCACAACACAGTTGTAATGGAAAATGATTCCGTTCTTACGTGTCTATGTTTTGTCCTCTTTAACCCTGTTTTCAGTTATTAAATAGTATAGACATTGATCATAGCCATAGGGCTCTACATACTGTATTTCATCCAAACACTGAAGTGCTCATTTCAATCATGAAAAATTAATTAGTCATTGAATTGTACAATTATTTGCTCATTTTAAATGCTTTGTTACATTAAGACATACTGTATATGTCCTGTTATTGAATCATTAGATGAACTTTTACCCTACAGTAACTGACTAAAGTCAATGTGTGTTTCAGCCACTAGAGGGAGCAGTAAGCCATTTTTTCATTATAAGGCCAAAAGACTTCTGTCTACTGTTGGCAGTAATCCAAATAAATTAAGAAATATTCAAATCTTTAAGTTAAGTAAAAGTACTAATACCACAGTGTGAAAATAATCCATCACAAGTAAAAGTCATCCATTCAAAGCTGTACTGAAGTAAAACTATTATATTATACTAAAAAATGTATCTAGTATCAAAAGTGGAAAAATAAGAAAAAAGGTAGCTGTTAGTGTTTTAGTATTATATATGATGTTTTTGATTAATATCACTGCTGCATTGATGTGTGTGTTGCATTTCACTGCTGGAGATGTTTCAGGTTGAGATCATTTTAACTATACTTAATATACTGTTGGGTAGTTTAATCTACAGCAATGCATCATTAGATCTTAATGTTTGTAGTGCCGCTGTTATGTGAGAATCACGTATCTCTAAAAAGTCAACAGTTTGGCACAGACAAGTTAGGTGTCATAAGAGTGAGGCGGCTTCTTCTCTGTGTTGTTCTTAAGTTTTCCTAAAGCAACAGATGAAACTAATGTTTATGGCAGTCCCAGATTTGCAGGTTCCTATTTTACTTTACTTTCTTTCTTGTGTCCTAAAATTTAAATGAGCTTCAGAGGCTGACGTTGACTTATAAATGTTTCTGACAGCTTTCATACAGCTGAGGTGCTGAGAAGTCAACGTGTCATAAAAAAAGATAATAATAATATGAAGAATTATATAAGAGAGAGAGAGAGAAAGAGAGAGAGAGAGAGAGAGAGAGAGAGAGAGAGAGAGGAGGGCAGAAAACCTGTACAGTTGTCAAACATTTAGCATACATTCAGCAACAGACTCTAGAAAGAGAAAGACTATTTAAATTTGCTAATGATAATAAAATTGTATTTGATTTGGAATAACAGATTCTAGATAAAAAGCAAAGCTAAAAAGTTTGGTTTATTGCACATGCTGAAGGGCCTTTGATGCTGTGAGTGAAGTTTTGGAAAACCTGCAAATTATATAATCAGTTTATGTTCTTCAACTCTGATATAAAAGTACTGAAGTCAGGACTGTAAGGTGTGAGGGTAACATAAACTTTATCAGTGCAATGAGATACAGATAAAAGATGAATTAAGTCAAATTGTTGTTATTCAGGCCTATTAATGAAGTCATTTGAATAAGTCGACGGCCTCTGTTTTTTCCAGGAGCTTGTTGACTTGTTGTCCATGGGAATTAAAGTCACCGAGGTCGACGTCTTCCTGTGTGTCTACATAAACCAGAGCACAGGTAGAAACCCCCTCAGCTGCATTGCTTCCCTTTGCAGTGAAGAACTGAATCATTCTGTTGCACACACGCTTTTCTCCGCACCGATGAGCAACCGCAGCCAGGGTCTGTCTCTGGTTATGCCCCCCACCAGCTTTGGCAATGTGTTGATGGTGCTTTTCAGCATTCTCCTGGCTGCGACCATCATTTTCCTCAACGTGTCTGTGTTTCTGTCCATACTGCTGAACAAGACACTGCGCAGGGAGAACCGCTTCATGTACATGCTGAGCACCTGCCTCAGTGACATCTGCACCGGCGTGTCCTATTATTATGTCGGCGTGCTCGATGTGAGGGACAGCTACGACTCCCCTACGAGAACCTTTTTCATCGTGCCCACGTTTCTAGGGCTGTCTTACATGGCCATCCTGGCAGCGCAGGCAGACAGGTACCACGCAGTGGTGTCACCTTTTAAATACTCCCAGCACATGACCCGAAACAAGACCCTGCTCATCATCTTCTCGTACTGGCTTTACGCATTCTTGATCGTGGCTGCGCACAACCTGGTCACAGTCGGGATAGCCAAACAGATCACGAGCATTGGTACGTTTGCGGGGAACATAACCACAGTGATTATAATGATAGGGCTGAATGTTAGGCTGTTCATCATAGCCAGGTTCCAGCTGGAGAGGGAGCCGCCCTCTGAGGAGAGAGACAACAAGCGCTCGTCAGTGTATCTCATACTGGTGGTGGCTGTGTTCTTCTTAGGGACGTGGCTGCCTATATTCTGTCATATTACGGCCTGTCATTTCGTCCGTTCGCCCTGTTACAACTTTAAGAATGAAGGCACTGACCCTCTTCGCATTTTGCCCCGAATTAACGCTTCCCTGACCCCCCTGCTGTACATCAGAGGGTGCGCTGGGCTCAGAGAGACGCTGCTCACCAAAGTGTGGAGACCCTGCAGCGCGCAGAGGTGAGAGGATGTTGATGTTTGAGGAGTCTGCACGTTACACATCACCGTTATCTAAATATGCTTTTCATGATAGTTAAAGTTTTAAAAAATATATAAGAGCCCAGAATCACCTTTTAGATTTTGCAGAAAAATGTCTTTTTATTATGTTTAATCAAGAAAAACACTCATCCAAAATATCCAAAATATAATGTATTTATGACAATATTCTGAATGCCCCATCAACATCACGACTTGTGGACATGAATATATTGTAGCTCACATATGCACAGTTTGTGTTTTATGACATATTTGCATGTTTTGTTAATTATGTTCTTTTTTTGTTGGATCTTGCTTGAAATTCTTAATTATTTGTTTTGTTTGTCGTGAAAACACCAGGGCAAATGTCTTAAGTATTGAGTTAGTTTGATCATAAGCAATTGAATCTTAAAATTGATCCATACATGTTTTTTTTCCCCCTTCTCTTTCATTCCCTTCATCAGACGGAATCTTGGACGACTTGGCCCAATACACACCCGCTCCCCGCGGGGTAATTTTAAAGTTGGATCGATGTCTATGATTGTAAATTCATGCCAACATAAATAAACAAATTAAAGATTGATGAGGAATGTTTCATCATGTATACAAATGATGAGGACAAGTTCGGGCTTTGGGTTTCTTGGAAGATGTTGGAAAGGTTGTTTTTTTTTTTGTTTTTTTATCATACTCAGCACATCTGACGACTGTTTTACACCTCATTTTTTCCATTGTTAGTCTCAAATGGCAATAATCTTTAATATTTAATGATTTGTTAAATGTTTAGTCTAAATGTTCCACACAGAAGTAATGGGGGAAAAAACAAATGAACACTGAATCTAGTTTTATACTACATCTGTATACATCTCAAGAAACAAACATTAAAGGTCGTCAATAACTTAACTGTGCCAACGTTTTATGATTACTTTCAGCCATGTTGATTTTCTTTGTCAACATCTTTATATTTCTATTCTCTTGGAAAACATTTAAATGTAAAATATGTGTATGACCTGGTGTTTTAATTCGAAGTTGAAGTAAACTTAACAATTTGAACGCAAACTTAACAAAAGGGGAACCAGCTGTGTTCAAACTGATCGGCTGTATACAGAAACACAGAGAGCCCGTCTGACTACCTTGATTATGCAACTCCATGTGCACATCTTCCCTGCAGATGATGCAGTTTCCGCGGCAACCGCACAGTGTCAGAAGAGCACTTTGGCACAGCGCCATAACTTCAATATCCATGGAATGTGAACCATAAGCATGAAGCATGGTAGACTGGACTGATACAATATCTGCATCAGTCTGTATCCCTGCAGCAGCTTACAGGCGATTGGGCACACATATACACTACTAGCTGCAAGCCGGGCGCCATCATCAAAGTAATGTCGTTAATAAAGTTCCCAATAAGTGGTATGTAGGTGAGAGCCATCGCTTGGTTGTATCCTTCTTTGCTATTGGCTGAGGGCTGGGTCTGGGTCCTCTGTGCTAAAAGGAGGAGCCACCAGATCGCCACACTTCCGCACATCTGGTGCCCAATTTCTGAACCACAGCCACCTCTTTCTTTTCCTTTCTGCTGATACTTCTAAATAATCTGGCCACCAGTCATATGGAGATCTGTCATGGCTTTGAGGTTTCAAATTTAAAATGATCTTAAATCCAGCTGATAAACTAATTTGAGAATAAACAGGGTTGGTGCAGCTTTCTATGATGATTGCAATGTGCGCATTAAATACTCTGCATATCAAACCGCAGTCTACATATAAAGACTCTTGAGCTTGCAGGTGGTGTAACAAGTGCAATGCTATCTATATTTAAACCTGGATATATAATACAACATAATTTATTTGCTTTCCTTAAAGCCTTAATTAAACATTTTATATTAAAAAAATGGAAATCCCTGCTGCCTGTCACCACTTTATTTAAACACAGCTCCACTGGCACTTGTTTTTATCTGCAGTCCCTCTCATAAAATAATAAAATTGTTTAATAATTATTTTAAATGAGAGAATCAGGCCTTTGACATTACACAAAAATACATGTCAAGTCAGACATCTTTCGCAGCGCGGACCTGCATTCATTCAGCAGTGTAGGATCATGGCTGAGTCGTGCTGCAGGTAGAAGAAGGCCCTTAAAAACCACAGTCTAAACACGGCATATCCCTCCCTCTGCCTTTCTCTCTCTCTCTTCCATCTTGCAGGTAAAGTTGCCAGGGGTCTCGGGCTGAGAGAGAGTGGCCAAACCCTCCCACAGTGGGATGTTTTCTCTGCTGCACTCTGGGCTGGTTTCTATTCAAATGTGGGTCAGGGGTGAGGAAGCCTAACGTCATAAGCTTGCAACATGGCGTCCCGAAGGCTGTGAGATGAGCAAGAGGATGGTAAAGAACGCTTGAGAACGATCCTACCGATGTAATAAGGTATTTAAAAGAAATATTTTCTCTTTAACGCGGATTGCGAATGTGTAACGGGTCTACTTTCGTGTCTGTTCTGAGCGGATCGGTTTTTTTCTCGCCGCCGCTGCAAGGATCGCAAACGTTTTTTTCGGCGTTACCGTGGTGTTTTTTTCCACGGCGTGCCAACAAAAAAAAAAAAAGGGGGCTCCGCTGGTGCCTGTTCTGGCTCTACCAGCCTGCTTGGCAAGCCGAGGGATCCCACTTCATTTGTTCGAGCATATCGCGGCTCCTGCTCGAAACCGCAAGCTAAATTGTGGCCGTATTTTGGCGTCGGGGGTCATGTAAGAGATGCCCCACAGGACGAGTGTGTGTACACCAAAATAATTACCAGGCTGGCAAAGCACGTTAGGCGACAGAAAGGATCCACGAACGGCTCGTCGCAGCGCTTCAGAGATGTTACAAATGTTTCCACACTTTACCCCGTTTACACCCTGTTTTTTCATAATCCGATATGTTGAATGAATTGTTTACATGAATGTAAGGGGGGTAATGAGCTGGAGATTTAATTTAAATCGATCGCCCCCCCTTCGTGCAATCAAAACACAGGTATTTATTTATTTTATTATTTTCCAATAGCAGTAGATTTCCCACTGTGTGATAAATGAAACGCGACTGGTTTGGGGGATTTTACGCACGGTAGGCTATTTTGCGCCATTATTATGATAATCATAGAGATGCCCCACTCGATACCTATAGTGTAAACTGCATTGTTTATATGTAGGGTAAGCCACCTTGGTCTTAGGTGGGGCTAATTAAAATTAATGTAACAGGATTTACTTGTAAATATTCTCAATACAATATGAAGACGCAGCTACTTTCTGGTTTAAAACGGTGTCTTGTTAAGGTGAATTTGTATCGATGCAGGAGGATTGTGTATGTCTTTTTAGCCTATAGGTAGTACTGCTATACATCGACCATCTTTGTGATCGGCTACAGTGTGGGTGTAACGTTACATCGTGACCCAAAAGCTGCTGTGCTTTAATAGAAACAGTGTTGCATTGTGTGGATTTCCAGGTGTAAATCACTAGTCTGATAAATCCCCCCCCCCAAAAAAAGCTACATCAGTATGTTGGATATCTTGATTATTAAACTCTAATTCATGACAACTACAAATCACTTGGTAACTAATAAAACAATGTTATGCAGTCAGGTGTGAAGGCTGCTTGGCTTCTCAGGTGATTGGTGTTGTTAAAGTACCAAGGGGCATGGAGATAATAAGGCACAAGAATGTCAGTAATGTGGGTTCCCTTGACTGGCTGCTGTTTTTGTGTAACCAAATGTTTAGTTGTGTAAAAACATTTCCATTGTAGGTCTGTTTTCACGCTGCGCAGTTTCAACTAAGAAAAAAATACACAATACGCCAGATGTACTTGTGATAAGACGCAGGACTGGTGTGCCTGTTATACATGCTAACAACATGTGAGATAGTATTATAATGGTAAACTCTCTTTTGTATCACGTGTGTCACTCTTCGTGCTTGTGTTAAATGAGATCCTCACTTGAGATCCTCAATGTGTGTTGGGTAGCCACAATCGTTTTAGTTGGTTTCATACATGACAAAGGTGGCACTGCACAATCCTGTTTGTGGCTGAATCCCACAATGTTATGTGTTTTTATTCTTTTGGATTGAATACATTCAGGGCAGTTGTTGGCGTGAGCTCATTTTAAAGAGCTGTTTTGTTGGGAGTTTTGGAAAATGTTGCTTTCCATAGATGTTGAGACTTTTTCAGACTTTTTAGTCTCTTGTCTTAGGAAAGTTTAGACACAACATTTGAGCAATATGAAGGTAAATCCTGGACTTTCACAACCTCTTATCTTTTTCAGTGTTGCAGGGTACCGTAGCCTACAATATGAAGATTATAGGACTATATCTTGGCTGGTTACACCCACCCAGAAGAGTAGTTAAAGTGTGCAATTGCAATTTTTAACAATACAGTTGGCACAAGGCACAAAGCACAAGATTTTGGAGGCTTGATGAGTTGCATCCAAATACATTTTACACGTAATATATACATGATCTTATTTGGTGAGGCTTGTAAAGCTCCTGGTCTGCATTTGATGATGACTGTGCTGTATCTGTAACAGCAATAAGCTTTGAAGCCTGACTGTGCTAAGTGTTTAGTTCAAGTAATCCCATTATTGCAGGTATGCAGAAATTAAGAACTTGTGTGAGTGACGATACAGCATTGAATTTTAATTGATCTCTTATCTTTCGGATAGTAGATTAAATATAACACTGAAGATGTTTTACTTAGGCTGTTTGGCAAATGTGTAGCAATCTCTACCAAAACACCTTAAAGAAAGGAAAACAAGTGTAACAAAGTAACCGTTGTGCTCTTTTGCTTCTTGTTTTATTGCCCAACCATCTGCGCATTGTAGCTGTCAATATATATATATTTGTAATCTTATGATAAGTGTTGAACAAGTTAATTTAGGCCATTAAAATGACCAAGTCTAGTCAACTGATCAGTGTGACTAGTTTCATTGATTACTATGGACTACAAAGTGGGGCCTGAAGGGTAATTTGAGGCCCGTGTGTACGCCTCATGATCCTCATGATCAGCCGGTTGGTCTCGCCTCACCCTACTTGTCCCTTCCCCTTCTCAACACACGCACGGTATCCTGTGTGTACATTGTGATCATGGCTTACAGTGGTGTGTGTGGGCAGCACAATGCAGTAAGGCTACTTAGGCTATATGTTCTGCTGACATATTAGACGAGGACTTATAGATTGTGCTAGGCTGTCGTATCTATATGGATCCGTCTGTTCTGGTCTGTGCCGCCTGTTCGAGGGGCAGTTTGGTTCGTTGAGTGGCTAAAGCACCTCGGGGCAGGGTGGTTGTTGTTCTTTAAGAAGAAGAAACGGTCTGTGGAATGTAGTGCTGATAGCCAGAAGGTTATGTAGTGTTTAAAGGCTGGAGGAGGAGGGAGGGAGAGGGGGACAGCTCTGTAAAACCTTGGACCATACAGGATCTCTCCTTACCCAACATGCCCTCTGTCCTTAGCCAAAGCATTAGGCTCCAGGTCATGTGGATCTGCTGTTTCTTTTTACTGGTTGGGGGTTTATCTCATCAACAGAGTTCATTCTCCTAAGACAGAGGTTACTTTATCATACCAATCATATGTTTACTTGTTAGTGAAGTGGCTGATTACTTGATTACTCTGTGAGGGTACACAGTCGGGTACAGTATGTGCCAATTGCAAGCCAGTGTTGCTGGTAGCCTCAGTGAAAGTCTCCTGTCTTTATTTAATTTCTCCAGCAAGCTCTTTGGATACAGCGACTGACACACAAAATACAGTACAGCATGTAGGACCCAGAATGTAGATGCACTCATACATAAACCCGTGGCACAGATGTCAGTCTTACATATAACTTTCTCTTTTTTTTTATTATTAACAAATTAGACACATTCATGCTTTCAAGTTATTAGAATGTCTATTCCTTTGTTATTAAATAAAGTTAGCTAAATCAAGATATGTTCATTAAGGTATTTGAAAGGACTTTACTATAAGAAACTGATTCACAACTTGATTTGATGCTCAGAGAAATTCTGTCAAACCTGAACATATAGGATGAGTCACATATACTGCTCAGCCTGCTCACATTATGTTGGTACTTCCTGGTTGGTTAGTTGGCGATTGTTTGCACACTTTATTGTGTTAAATATGCTCACAATAATCAAGTGAATAGGCTTTTAGACATTTTTAAACTATTTATTTATAGCAATTTTATTAACAATCAAAAGGTGAAATCTCCATAAGGCACTACAAATCCAACATAGCTGTAACACAGGCAGATAATGTAATGTGGAGCATTTAGGACGCTCTGTTGGCAGGAATTGAATATAATATTCATAGCCATCTTTTCATTAGTGTATAATCAACTGTAAATAGGAATAGTTGTGTTTTTGTTACCTTAGAATGAGCTCTTTTTATCCACAAACCACATACTGGCTGTAGATAGGGCCTCTCACGTTTTTGAGAGTTTCTCCTGCACATTTCACAGCACGTTCTCATTCCCAAGTCGTCAAATACTGATGCAAGCGGTGTTCAGTTAGTTGCAACCAGCGACGTCACCGCTCGATGCTACTAAATCCTACACACTGGTCCTTTAAGAACTCATTATGCCTTTTTAGGGTATTAAAACCTGTAACCATTATCAAATCTGGCATTCTGCCCTGTCCTGCCTGTCTTTCTAATTGGACATCAACAATATGGTATCCATTATTTAATTATTATTGGTCCCATGCCAATAGATAAGTTCAATAAAGTGCTAAAGTGATTTTAAATGGGAGTTTGCCACAGTCTTAATGTAAAAAGGAGGGGATTGTACCCAGTTTAAGTTATTGCATCCAGCTCTGTAATGGCAATAATTGTGAAGGGGCGGGGTTTTGAAGTTTTGGGTGTTTGTGCTTTTGTTTTTTGGGGGGTTTGTACGCATGAGAGAGTATACTTGTATTCCTGTTACTCCCTCTAGACTTTGCTGTGGCTTCAACATCTAGTGTTACCTGTGGATGATATGCACACCATCGTGCAAATTCATTCATGGCCTGTTAAGTTGTGATCGAGGAAAAGAGACACATACTGCTGCTTCATCATATAAGGGAAAACTCTTTAGAAAAATCTAGTTGATGCCTTGCTGCAAGAAAATCCTGCAATTTAAAAGGTGTCTTTAGACAGGTGGGGTTTTTTTTTTTTTTTAGAGAAAGGAATGAATTTGCACACTAACTGATCCATGGTTTGATTACAGGTTGAGTTGTGCACATGTAGGAGAATTTGTGTGCTTGTGTGTATGCGAGAGAGAGCCTTGCATTTTCTTCCCCTGCTGCACAGAACTGGCACACTGTGGTAGGCAGCAACTACTGGCCCCCTCCTGTGATGAAATGGACTGGGTTCTTTTCATTCCACTGCACCCTGGGCAGGACTTGTTTGTCTGTAACAAGGCTGAACTGCCTGACAGAAAATGAGTCTTAATTGGAAGGGTTCTACCCAGACTGCAGCAGGGACACTGTAATTCATGTACTTCCCCCTTCAGCCTTGCAGCACAAGGGTCATGCACCTGTTCTCTAGCATTTGTATCCAAACAGTTCTGCAGAAATTCATGTCTCCAAGACAAGGCAGATCAGTCTTTACCCTCTTGTCTTAATATGTTTGAGCCTTGGACAGCAGGATTTCTCCTCTGCATCTTTTTAAGAGATTATAACCAGAGTTGGATCATTGTCCAGAATTCCACAATATGCTGTGCATCAGAGTTATTCAACCATTTGCCATGGAGACACAAGTATTGGCAGGTTTGTATTTCAAACAAAGACCACAGCAGGTGATTTCACTTATTTCACCTTCTGTAGTTTCTGGTTGGGTATGATCTGCTCTCCATGGAACCACAGTACTATACTTCTATAGTAGTACTGTGGTTCAGACTGTATGTCTTGTTATAAAAAAAGAGATTGCACTAAAGTTTTTCTTTTCTAAATTGCTTATTTAGGAGACATTTGGTCATGCTCAGTGTGTTTACATACACATAACTAACCCAAATAATATGGAAACAAGAAGCCAGGTTTCATTAAAATGAGGTAAGGGATTAAGGAAACCCTGGTTAACACAGCTAGATTTCACCTGCAGAAACATGATTTCTTTGCCGTGTAATTTTTTTCTTTGCCTATGTGCATCACAAAGACTTCAGACAGGGAAGTATTGCTGGGTGTGGGGCAGTGTGGTGGGATTGAAGAAAACATTACTACTTTTAAAAGTGCATGTAACCAGTCGAACGGCTGAACTGTATACCATTTGTGTCACTAATATACTTCAAATATGATGGTTTTAAAAGACATATGGGGGGAATTACTGACAGACCACCTTCCTGGAACTGCAGGTTTTACAGTCACCAGGTTACTGTGGCGCATATAAACACATTCACCAATTTCCTGCCTTAACCTGATTAGCAGCAGTAACCTATATTTTTATATGCGCGTTTAAACAAATTGCTGTGGACCAAAGTTTCTAAAATGAAATCATGACCAAATAATTAGAGAGAGCTTCATGGCGTTTCTGATGCAGCACAGGTGAAAAGGAACGTATAGAGTGGGCAGCCGAAAAAGCACAGCTGCTCTGTTTTAATCTCCTCATTGTATTGTGAGCGGTCCTTTCACTTACGAGAGAACTGAAACTCAGATAATTGCAATACCCATGAGTCCTGCATGGATCAACCATACCCATGCAGCAGCGTCAGCCATGTTGAAATGGCTCAGAGGTGGTTGCTCAGTGTTTGTATTTCAAACTGGCTTTGTACCATCCCCCTAACCCCTCCCCCACTCCCTCTGCCCACCAGCATACTCTCTGGGTGTGTGTGTATTTAAGTGTGTGCTGTGTGAATGTGTTTAAGTGCACTGTCTCTGTGAATGTGCGCACACAGGGAGGCCTTTTGCTCGTGTACATAATTGGCTCTCTTTCTCTGTCTGCTTCAGTCTTTACCTGTGTATTTGTCTCTTCTGCCCATCTTCCCCTGCACAATGTGACCATCTACACAGTTCCACAAAGTCAGTACTGTATATTGTTTGAAGGAATGGCTGTGAAAGATAACCCTGCCACAAAGCCTGGGTTGAATATGCTTTTTAAATCCTTGTTTTCTATTGGTTGTTTAGCAGATGACCTTTCACAGTAGTAGGGTGTGTTTTGTTATTGCGCCACAGGACTTTGCCTCACCTCTGCCCTCTCTCCTGGCTCTTTACCCTCTGTTCAGGAGATTAGTGCCACAGCCCACTGCTCTCTTGCTCACCTTCGCTGTATGAACACTGACTCTGAAAGGTTTACTAGCTCACTGTTTAATCCATAAACTCCTTGGAAAAAGGATGCAATGACAGGCAGCAGCAAATGAAGTCAAACCAGATCATCCAGATCTTTGGTATGACTAGCTCAATTGAGAGGAGACTGACATTAATTCAGTGCTGGGGGCACTTTGACGCACCCTAGTTTTCGGTCCCGAATTTGCACACGGATATGTTATCCTGATCATGTCTGTCAAGTCTGTGTAAACATACCTCTCTGCTCATCTCCTCATCAGCAGGCTACTGAAACAAGTCAAGGTTGAGGCTAAGCAGTGTTTTTAAAGTGAGGTTTGCCACTTTATCATTAAGCCACAGTCAGTTTTTGTAAAGGTTAACACTGCAGGCAAGGTAAGCTGATCCTGTGCCTGTGCTTGAAGGGCAACATCTTTCCCAGTCTGCACTACGAGCTCATAGCTGTCTTTGGTTGGTATGTGGTGCCATATTTGGTCAGAGCAAGTATTGTTTCTCACGACCCTCCTGCTCAACTATCTTGCCATCTCTCGACCTCCATGCCAGTCTTTGCAGAGGGTTTAAAAATACAGGGATCCAACCCTGCAGAAAATGCTGCTCGTCAACTACGTAACATTATACATATGAACTGGTCATCTTGCATACTGGAAACATCATTCTAGCTGTTCTAGTAGGGTCGTCTTTCTAATCGGTCATCCATCCCTGACTTTACACTGTAACTGTGAGGCTGTGATGCTGTAACAGAACATGGTGTAGATATGGTACTGAAAATGTTTCTACAAACTGCAAAGAGCACCATACACCCTCAGATGGAGCTGCCATGATGGGCCTGGCCTGTCTGTCCCCTGTGGTATTAAGCCTGCTTTCCTGGGCAGAACCATTGGAAGGGGAGCTGGGCCTACACGTGTCCCACCCTAGCTGCATATAGATCAGCCGTAATCCATTAGCAGCTCCCTGGAATCCAGCCGGCACAGCACAGCACTGGAGGGGCCAGGGGGAGAGGGTAGCGGTGTCGGTAATGGGGGGGGGGAGAGAGAGAGAACGAGGGATGAGAAGAGGAGGGGTGGGGGTGGGGGGAGGGCTCTCTTTTTTTTTTTTTTTTTTTCCTCCTGAGCTGGCTTTTTACTCTAAACCCAGCCCCCTTTTTATGTCGGTCTGCTGGAAAAGCCTCTTGAATCCCCCCATAAAGCCTGCAGAGGTGTGTGTGTGTATGTTAAGAGAGAGACTTGACTGATATATGGCTTCCTGGCTGGCATCATAGCAGAGGCCCTTCTTTCTCTAGCAGCCCTCTTCTCCATTACTGCCTGCAGGGTTGAGTGCCGTACACCTCTGTAGCACATTCTGCGATTAACTGCAGATCTGGGTTATGTATTCCAGAATAGCTCATTATAATTCACGTTGGGGACAACGAGCTGTTCCTGGGATGTGTCTGCATACCCGGTGAGAGGCTGGTGAGGGTGGGAGGATAGAGGGAAAGGAGGAGAGCAGCAGAGGAAAGACGGGGGAGGGGAAAAAGACCATGAGAAGAAGTGTCAAAGCAGACGAGGCAAGCCCAGGCCTGGACCTGAGAGTAATGATCACTTCAGCTGATTGTATCAGCTACCCAGACTGTTCCAACAGCACTGGCTTTGATACATCAGCCAACCATCTCCAGTTAACAATTTTCACCTTGTTCTTGCACAATGTTCAGTGTTGCCTGCAATAGACACAACAGTGTTGTTCTCAACATTCATCCCAAACAAATTCCCCTTATATGTTGTCACCTTCTTCAGCGGCAGTTTTTGTGGGTTTCTATGTCAGTCAATTCTCTCACCAAAGTCTGTGTATTGATTGAAGAGCTTAACTGTACGCCCTTTGCCAGTATATTCAGTGTTTTGCTAAAAAAATTTGTGATGGAGTATTTCATTATGCTGGAAATTTCAAATTCCAACGTAAGCTTGCTGAAACCTGATTTATTTACACTCGATTGATTGAACAGATCAGAACAGATACATTCTTGGTGAATCTGAACTACTTGTTTTTTGTGAATTTCAGCCTTCAAATGAACTCTTCCCCTCCCCACTCCACCCTTCCAGAAAGGGTTTTGACACAGAGTTCAATCTTGTGTCTTCTGGTACTTTTGCTGAGTTTAGGAACCACTCCCTTCTTTTCTGCTGTGTGTTATGAAACATGTTTTTCAGTAAATCTGTAGGTTGGCATGAGGTTGAAATGGCACATTTTCACATGTATTTATGGCTTGAGTTAAGCATTTCTCTGCATTACTGTGTAATCTCCTATAATGCGGTATACCCTGCTCTGATCAGGGGCATTAAAGATGTGTGTCCATTTTCCCAGCATGCCCAGGGTTTTAAGAACATGTTAAACATGAGTCAAGAACAGATCGTGCTGCTTCATCTAAATCACACTACGACTGTTACCATCGTGCTGTGTGTAGGCCTTTTGCATCTATTCCATGAAATTTCTGTAACAAAATTTGTGTTTTCCGTGTCTGACTAGAAGTGGAGCACTGTCGTATGTTATAGGTCATCACTATGTAGTTTAACAGTGAATGATATTCATCTGTCCTAATTCCATAAATGAGGGCCTCTCGGAGGATCAGGTGTTGCTGTCCTTGTCTTTGAGCCACCACCCCCCTGCCCTAGCTCCTGTGTAGTTTTACCTGCTCAGGTGTCACCTAATCCCTCCCCCCGGTCCTGCTGTGCCACCGACCCCCACCCCGAGACAATAGGGCAGGGCTGACATTACCATGACCTAATGGCGACTAGAGAGAGCCGAGTTTCCAAAGAGGGCACCCCACCGAAACTAGAGTTACTCTGCGAAGATAGGGAAGAGAAGCTGAGGGGAGACACCTTAGAAAAGTTGTTACTTTACCCTTTCTTCTACTCCGCCCATTTGGCTTTTGTGCCAGAACAGTGGCAATGTGTAAGATCAGAACTTGATCCATGTAGGGTTGCAATTTGTTTAAAAAGGACGATGAGAGGGAAGGAGGGGTTCCAGTTTCTAAGCTGCCGTGTGATTATGTGGCACGCTGTGCTAACAGTTTGCTAATTTCCCCTCGAGAGCTAAAAGCTTAGATTGATGTACTCACAGTGGGAGTCATAACTCATGCAGTTTAATTGTTAGACGTGTCAGACATGCAAGCCATGTAATTGTCGCTTATATATCTGTTTTAAACCATAATCCGACTGAGAGATGCCGTAAACTAGGAATTCAATCAAACACATTACCTTTGAACAATGTGAACTCTGTTTTGCCACCAAGCCTGTGCATGCTGCGTTGACCAAGCAAATACAACAAAACTGCTTGGTCACGATTTTTATTTTTACTTTTCCTTATACATTGCACTTCTTTCATTTTTTTGCTCTGGCTTACACACTGTATTGAGCAATCATGTATCATGTAATACTTCTTCATGCCTATGATGCAAAATTAACCATCTTTTTTAAATTGTTTTCTTTCAGCTTCAGGTGTTGCTCGTGTAGGAAGAGAGAGAGAGAAGGAAAGAAGGAAGGTGGAAATGGAACTGCCAAATCATGCCAAACAACTGCTGCTGCAACTCAACCAGCAGAGAGCCAAGGGCTTCCTGTGTGATGTTATCATCGTGGTGGAGAATGCGCTCTTCCGTGCCCACAAGAACATCCTGGCGGCAAGCAGCATCTACTTCAAATCTTTGGTCCTCCACGATAACCTCATTAACCTCGACACAGAGATGGTTAACCCCTCTGTATTCAGACAAGTTCTGGACTTCATCTACACTGGGAAGCTCCTGTCCTCGTCGGACCAGAGCAGTGAGCAGAACTTCAGTGCCCTCTTAACCGCAGCCAGCTACCTCCAGCTCCATGACCTCGCTGCTCTGTGCAGAAAGAAGCTCAAGCGCAGTGGTGGGAAACCCCTGCCAGGTAAACCCTCCACTCCAGGTCCCCTTAGCCGCTTACGCCTCAACAACCAGCGCCTTTCCTCTTCTACCCCTGCTGGCCCTAAAAACCACTATCCTCCGACCCCTTCTGATGCCGACCAGCCACAGCCAGATGAAGGCCTTCGGGACAAGCTCTCAGACGACGAAATGTTTGTTGGCAGCTCTGGGAGGAATGGGAATGGGGGGAATGGCAGCAGTAATGGTAACCTCAGCAGTGGAGGAAGTGCTGGGGAACCAGACCTTGGACTAGACCTGTCCAAGAAGAGCCCTCCCTCTGCGGGCACAGCCACTGATGCCCTAAGCCCACACAGCAACTCCCAAGAGTCCCCTCAATCTGCCTCAGTATCCACAACCAACAGTGCCTCACTGGATGACTCCTCTACCACCCTACCAGGTGGAGACACCTGTGGCTCAGAGACCCTAGAGATAAACAACTCCTCTAAAACCTCAGAGGAAACCCAAAACCAGCCTGAAGGCCCTCCGCCTCAGAAGAAATCCCGGCAGGGTGCTCGGAAGAATGAATGGCCTAAGAGAGAGGCATCAGGGTTGAAGTCTGAAGATCATGACAGGCCACTGGTTAATGGGGTGATTGTGGGTCCTAAAGATGGCCGCTCCTCTGGGGTTGGAGGGGGCAGTGGTAGCAGCTTCACCTCTGACCAGTCCTTACAGTGTAAAGATGAGGAAGAAGGGGGAGAGAATGGCCAGGATCACAGTGATGAGAGTGGGCAGAGTGACGGAGAGAGTGCAGGAGGTGGAGGAGGAACAGGAGGGGGACACGGTGCCAACTACGTGTACCGGCAGGAAGGTTTTGAACCAGCATTCGGAGACAACCTCTATGTGTGCATTCCCTGTGGTAAGGGCTTCCCTAGTTCTGAGCAGCTCAATGCTCACGTGGAGACACACACTGAGGATGAGCTCTATATCAAAGAGGAGGGAGGGACCTTCGTGAAAGAGGAAGATGAGGAGGAAGCAGAGGACCTTTCTGCCCCTGTGGGCCCCTCCACCTTTGGCTCTGAAACGCGCCCATTCAAGTGTACAGTCTGCAGTAAGAGCTACAAAGACCCGGCAACGCTGAGACAACATGAAAAGAGCCATTGGCTGACCAGGCCTTTCCCCTGCAACATCTGTGGTAAAATGTTCACCCAGAGGGGCACCATGACACGCCACATGCGCAGCCACCTTGGGCTCAAGCCGTTTGCATGTGAAGAGTGTGGCATGCGTTTCACACGCCAGTACCGTCTGACAGAGCACATGCGTGTCCACTCTGGGGAGAAGCCCTATGAATGCCAGCTATGTGGGGGGAAGTTTACCCAGCAGCGCAACCTCATCAGTCACCTGAGAATGCACACCTCACCCTCATAGAAATGCATCAAGCCAAAGAACTCTGGGAATAGAAAAAAACATTTCTGTCTTTTTCCCATCTCAACAGCAAAGAAACGCACATGTACGCATTCACATGCAGACACACACAGTTCAACATAATAATTCCAGTTTATGACGCCCTGGCTAAGTGAATGATGTAGCTGTTAGCCGAAGTGGGCTCTTGGTGACGGTGGGATCTTGTTGATTCGAGGATCGTGTCATCATTTATATCAAGTGACGTCTGCTCACCTCTCAGGAGTTCTAGAGGGACAATTACTCCTGTCTCTCTCCAAAGTCACAAAGCCATGGTGGAGTGGCATGACTTCTGGTCTGTATTGTAAGTCTGTCAAATGTGAATGTGGGTACTGATATAATGTCAAGCCCCCTCACCTCATACCCCTCAGCAGCCTTTCTACCTTCTACCTTTGCGCATTGAGTCTGAGTTTTTCAGATTGTCCCTCAAGCTGATTGACTCAAGAGTCCCCTCTCTACTCCAGTGCTATTTTGACCAAAAACCCATGCAAACAATACTGGCAATAATTCAGCAAAAAGATTATTTCTACCCAGACAGCTTTATATCCTTTGTTATGTTGGTGATGGGGATCTGTATGTAAGAGGAGGGGTAATGGGGTTTGGGACCATCTCAATGCTTTAACTGAAAGTCCTGAAAGAAGGTTCATGGTGGGATGACATTGGATTAAGTTTTAGTTTTTACAAACAACAAATACTCAAAGTCCTCTCTACAGCTGTTCACAGTAACAGAGAGGATTATCGGTTGTTTTCAGTTTTGCCTGCTAGTGCTACCAGGAGTGAATCCTGGTTAGAAAGATGAACCCCTTGAGGTACTTGTTTTACTTAAAAAACTTGTAATGTTTCAGTGAATGTTTTAACTGGAAGGTCTTGGGATTTTTCTTGTGGAGGGGAGGGATTTGGGTTGGGGTGGGTTGGGGTGGGGTTAGTTTAATGGGGGTAAGAAGAGGGTGTTTTAGATTGAACGTTATGTTCAGTGGGTACGTTTATTTTTTTGTCTGTATAGCTTTCCTCCCCTCAGAAAAAAGAGAGTCTATTTATATAGGCTTGTGACCTCGCTACCTCTGATTACTCTTACGAACTCTATGTTGATTAGTTGAAAGTTCCTATGTAATTAATTGTAAAAAGTGTGTAGATTATGGTAACTTTTCACCTAATGCTTTAACCTGCCCATCTCTCAACACAGGTTTTTAATGCTCATAGATTTTACACATTAATATTGTTTTTAGCTGTTGTTTTTACTCGTCAAATATAGCTTTTTGGGTGCCCTGCTCAGTGTGGCCCCCACCTCAAAGTGTACTGTAGCTTCCAGCCTGGAGCAACTAGTGGTTAGTTAGTATAGATGTATAGTGTTCCAAAGATCTTATGAATGTTGAGGAGAACAGAGCTAACTAACAAACATTGCTAGACAAGTTCATAACCAAAGTTTTTAAAAAGATGTACTTAAGATATATAGCATACTAAATTATTTCACTTTTGAGTTTTCTTTTGCTGTATAAAACAAATTATGAATTATATTAAGTCCAGACAAAGAAATCCACTCTTTCGATGGAGTTTTGGCCAATGACTCTGACACTGAGGAAGGTTCTTGTGGTTTGCAAGGAAAGCTTGTGCTGATTGGTGGGCCGGTATAATGTAAACTTTACCACCTAACGAAAAATGGTAAAGTTTGAAAACATGTTCCCTGAACATGTTTTTTTGTTTCCTTTTGTTTGTGTCCAGAGTCCTTATCACTTTATATTCCCTGACTTTAAAAACAGGACTTGATGATATTGTATGTGTTCTGTTCAGACCAAAAAAAGAAAAAGAAAAAAAAGATAGGAATTATAATCAGAATTTTAATGTGAAGTTCAAGTTGCTTGTTAGTTTTTTGAGCCAGACTTGTGAAAACTTGTAATAAGAAGGGAGAAGTAGAGATGCACTGGACAGCTGGACAACTCATTGGTCTTCTGCAGCATCCTTTTGTTTCTGATTGTATTCCATTATAATCATGTATTCCATGATTTCCATGATAAGTTATTTTAAACCTCTGAAGCTTTACCTCATCATAAGCACCCATACGTTGGGAATGCCCCCTCTGTTGTCTGTGGCTTTCACTGAAACCTGTCCAGTGTATCTACTCTTAACGGTTACACTGTGGAGCATGAACCTTCACTACAAGTTTTTGGTATAGGCATTCCTCTGTTATGTTGGTTTAACTGTCTTCTTGATTTTTTTTTTTGATTTTTTTTTTTTTTTTTTTTGATTTTTTTTATTCCTCTTTCGTCCTCATGTTATGGTCTGTGAAATGTTTGTCATAATAGGGATGCAGCTACAGTTACACAAACATCACTACCGTTTTAAGGTACCTGCGTCCTGGACTCCCTGAGTTGTTACTTGGTTATGTTGGATGTTGGTGTCTTGCTGTTTAAGCAGTTGCTGTTTAGTGATTGCATGGTACATCTATGAAATTTTCACACTACCCCAGCCCCCCCCCCAAATCACAAACATGTTATTTATCGCCTGATCCATTGTTGCTTGTGACCTCTTCTAACTTAAGAGGGAGTCCACAATGCATTGCCTTCAAACGTTATTGTACTTGTCAGCACTTACTGCAGTACAGCATAATGTCTGTCACGCAAAAGGTGTTTTTGTACAAGATCTCTAGCCATCTCTGCAAAAGACTTTGCAGTTGCATTTGAATGCTTGCTTGTTTGACATAACGAACTACGAACTCCAAACTGTGACCATACTACTACTACTACTACTACTACTACTATTACTACTACTAGTACTACTACTATTCAAATACTTCAGGGATTGTTCTGCATCTGTGAATGCAGACTCTCAGCTACATTTGTAAGACATAGTATTGTATCGATTTCTCTGTATTTTAATCATGGGAAAAGCAAAACACTAGTTTCATATTTAAGACAAACGGGGGTACTTTTTCAACTAACACAAAGAGCCTTGACAAAGGCGGGGCAGCTCGAAACAAGTCTACATTTTAGTTAGTAACACAGTATGTTCAGAAATAGTTGCAAAGTTGTACAAAGAACTAAGAAGAAAAAAAAGCTCATACCCAAATCCACAAACTATTTTTTAAACCAAAGCACATTTGAATGATTATGGAACCATGTGTGGCTCTAAAAAAGAAACATATGTATTTATCTCATTGTTTACATGAACTTTTACAGTTTTACAGACCTCAGTCGATGCTCGGCCAGTCAGAGAGGTGGTTTTGTGTGTATTTTTTTAAAAGATGCTTTTCCACAGAGGTTGCTGCCAAAACAAAAGCATAGCGTCAAACATGGGGTGAACTGCTGCATATTCAATTAAGGGGAGGGGCGTGTGGTTTAGGGGCACCCCCCTGCCAGCTGGCTTTGGGGTGACCCTGCGCCCCAGTCCCCCTGGCCTCTGGCCTGTCTTCTGATGGGACGGCAGCAATGGGGGTGGGCAGAGCGTCCTTGACATATTAATCAAAAGGCATTGTTAGTTAGGGTCTTTAGCTCAATGTTGTGTCTCTGTGTTTACCCAAATGCACTTGAGGACTACCTTTGCTGATTGGGTCTCTTAATGTGTAGAAGTGGGTGGGTGACGCTTGAATGGTTTGGGTTGTTTTATTAAACATGGTACATCTCTTATGCTGGCGGTTGTTAAAACCTATCTGGAGAATGTAGCTTTAATTTGCTCACTGCATGTAAACAGGCTTATCTGGTAGTCTTAACTGTGAATGTTATTGTCGTATTTCTGATTCTATGTTTTGAAACAATTTTTCTTTTTAGTTGCCTGTGTTCTGTGGGTAAAAGCAGCACAAACCTCTGGCTGGCCGGGCCTCATACAAAGTTGGTGCAAACACTTATTGACAGTGTTCTTTTTTTATCAAATGTCTATTGTCAGTGATGAATGTATTTATTTCTGGTCCTGCCCTCACCTCTGCAAAGAATATGCTCAGTGTGTGAGACTGAGGTGGAGGCAGGACCCCCTTTTTTTTTTTTTTCGTTTTGAGGATTTCAAGCTGAGAATCAAAAATGAGACACAAAGCATAGCCATTAACCACAATCTGTGAAGTTGACTTTTTTTGTGGGAGAACTGATTTTATTTTTTCCAATTCAAAGAAAATGGTCTATGGCATTTAATATCTTCTTTCTCAGTTACACCTGACAGTCTGTAGGGTTCTTCTTTCATGTGATCCACTATGGGTATTTTTTTTTTTTTGCCCATGTGTTCTTGAGTTCTCACTGAATGACTGCACACCAGGGGAGTTGAACCTTAACCCCTTGTGTGTGTCTGTGGACACAGGCAGGACACTGTGACCTGCCTGTGCAGAAAGGAGGCTACTGTATCTTTTAAAGCTTGCTCTCCCTGGGTGTTGCCATGCTGCTGCCATTAGGAAAAAAACAAAAAACATTCACACAGTAGAAAACACGCACATAATCGACACGCTCTCTCTGCTGAACGGTAGTGTTCTCATGACTATTGTTACATTTCTTGTCTTAAACCACTTGCCACTTCTTCCATATCTTTTTCATGACGTTAATGTTTTTAGTGTCTGTTAGTTCTACATTGGAGGATTTTAGAAACGGGGGTGAGATAGCTTTACTAAGTGCACTTTGTATGTTTTTTCAAAGCCTCTGGGAAGACCCGGGCGCTCTCATATCACTTCCCATTTAACTGATGGTTTACTCTTTGTCTTTCTCTTCTTACCTCATCATTGTTCTTGTGTGTTTGTTGAAATATATCATTATGCAGTGTTACAAAAGCTTTAAAAATGAATATACAAAGCAGGAAATGCAACCGAGAGACTGTACTTGGCTCTAGGCATTCGAGTTTCCATCTCATTTCTTGGTGTTATTGTTGTTACACCTTGTACGGTTGTTACTATCACCATCCTCTCCAGGCGTTTTGTATAGTTGAGGGGCTGGTCTGTCCAGTTATTATGGAGATGCTCCTTCTTACCTCGGCAGACTTAACCAAAGCCAGTTTTAAAATGGCCTCCAGTGCCATTAAAGCATGTCTAAGCTTTATTGTCCCTTGCTTTATCTCAGATACACCTGACCCCCTGCTTTAGCCCTTTGACCCTCTGTAATGTTACTGCACAGACGACTGTATCCTCCGCTCTGTTGCATATTACATTTCACACCAGTATTTCCTGTACCTCCAGTGACATTGTGCAGTAGTGACTAAAAAACAGAAAACACCAAATTACCTCAAAACTTTCAGTGTTTACAGAAATGTGCTATCTTGCCATTACATCACAGCATTTATTCTTTTTTTTTTTTTTTGCCGTCCACCTGTAACCAAAATATGCTTTCTTTAAATGGGAGTTGGTAGCAGCATATATTCACGCGTAACTTAATTCACATCTGTTTATGAATTTACAATGGCACAGTGTCACCTTGATGTGCACTACATTAATGGAAAGACAAGCTGCTAAAAAAAATAGTACTTGAAGAGTTGATTAGTGGAGCTGCCCATGAAGTGGGTGTATCAAGCTTCCTCTCTGGTCTGTTTTCTTCAGGAAGAGCCTCTCAATAATGTATCGGGATCCGTGGGCTGAGAGGCTCTGGAATGGACATATAGGGGCTTTGCTGATAAATTATTAAAGACCGAGAAACCCTCCCCCTTGGCAAACACACTTCACATGCAAAGGTGTACACACCCAGGTGCACTTTTCCTGGCATGTATGCATATGCACCTACTCATGCAAACGCACATGCCACCGTCTAGACTTCAAACACAACCTAACATGCACACACCAGTATTTAAGGTGAGATTCTGTGACCCTCTTTGTGGCTTTTGGCAGCACCCAGGCTGGGCTCTCTCTTTATCTCCACTCCTCAGAGAGCTCGTATTCAGGTCAGAGCCACCACCGTGCATAGCGATGGGGCTCGCAAACTCAAAGTGTCATAA